TGGAGGTCAGGACCATTGCCATGGAGCCGCGTGGCCGTGCAGCCTTGGGGCAAGAACCAAATAGATGCCGGGCCGGAGTGAGGACGGCCCGGCACGACTTCGGGACTCATTTACGATAGCCGTGGGAACGAAGTTTTCGAGTTCACCTCCTGAGAAGTGTTTACATTTCGAAAAAGCAGTAATGCAGCCCTGAGATGTGCCCATGCGAAATTAATCTTGGCCCACATCTGAGATTAAAATCTGCAAAGAGTCAAAACATGTGTGCCTGCGACTGTACCTGTAGTTTTCCTTCCTTCTGGCAGGACCCCTGAACATTTTAAGGTTACACCAGACCCCAAAACGATCAGCGCCGGTTCTTAAGCTTGAAAAACACACGCGTAGAATTGCGTGCGCACGGTTCACGTTCAGTTCATTCGAACGTGTTGTTATCGGTTCTCGTGATCCCTGGAGCCACGAGCGGCCGCTATATTCACCGCATTGTTGAAAATAAAATAACCCATTCTTGAATCGCAAGCATAAATTTGTGCCGATGTATGTATGCATGTTTCCTTCGCACCATATGTAGCCGACCGTGCTAATTAATAGAGCTACCAGGAGGTGATTACCTCCAGTATTTACCGAACCCACGCAAGATGGCTGGGTGGCTTTGTGTGTGTGTGTACGATTTTTGCCCAGTAAAGGTTTACCATGGAGACCTTTTTGACATTGGAATACAGTGAGTGCACCACTGTGCAGTCAACAGCCCTCATAGCGGCTGCACAGAAACTCCGGTCCCCTGCTCCCAGCAGCTGTGGATCCACTCACCGTGGTGTTGGCAGGGCAGGTGGTGAGATGTCAACTACCTCACCTGGTTTGCAGGAGATCGTGGATTCGATCCCGATCCTAATGCCTATATATTTTGAGTTTGCAAGTGTCTCTCTCCCCGTGGTCGCGTGGTTTTCTCTCCCGGGTCCTCCGGTTTTTCCCTCCACATTTAGAATCAACATCGTGTGTTTCGTGTATTTGGCTGCTATATACATGCCCACATGATAAGCCACTTTGTTGAGATATAATTTGTGGCAGCCAGGTCGCTTCTGAAAAAGAGCTATATAGCTCAGTGGGCCTTAACTTGTCAAATAAAAAAATGTTTATTATCATTTATAATTTATTTGTCGCACGTTCTGTAAACCTGGCTGGTTGTCGCGAGGTTGATTTCTGCTCTGCACCGTGCTTCCCGTTTGGCCGTCCATCTCGTGTTTGGTTTAAAAAATGCGACGTTACTTCTGCACCACTGGTCCTGGTGTTTTACTCCGTGTTTATTTAAACGTGTTCGTTACATTGGGGGGGTTATTGCAGTCGCGAGGACAGAATGACGACGCTCTTGCCTGCAACCGCTGTTTTTTTGACGATGACTTCTCTTTCATTTCGAGTATTTGGCTGCTACGCATGTCTACGCAATGAGCCACTTTGTTGAGCTGTAATTTGTGGCCAGGTCGCTTCTGAAAAAAAAGCTGCGTAGCTCGGTGGGACTTACCTGGTAAAAGAAAGAAAAAAAAGCTCAGTTTATGCATTGTATAGTTTCACGACACACGTAGCGTGTTTAGGACTTGTACGTAACAATCTGGCAGTTGGCTCTATTGACTTGAACAAAAAAAACGCACCCAGAGGGTGATAAGAGTCACAGCGTACGAACCGGATGTCCCCCTCTCACCATCGCTACTTACGACGCACGGACTTTGTCCGCCAGACCGATTTGTGAACAAACGAATCGGGACACGACTCGACTCTGCAAGGCGGGAAGGGAAGGGGAGCAACTCTGCACTTCGAAACGGTGCCAACCTTCCCTCCGTCACTTCTGGAGGACTGAGGTTCTGGATGTATCTCTCTCTCTCTCTGAGCGTCAAAAACAGAGCTTGAGGAATCCTCCCCCATGTGTGGTTCCCACTTGGCTGGGGCAGGGAGTCCAACATCCCCCCCACACCCCCAAAAGAGTGTTTTTCTTGGGGGGGGTTTGATCACGCAAACATAAATGTGTCATTAAACCTGCCACCACCAAACAAACAATTTGTAAGGTTTGTCACGTAGAAAAACACATCTGCCAATTCGTTGCTAGTTCAGCACTAACCGGTCTGTTGGAGAGTAAACCCACAACATTTGCAATTCGAATACCGTGACGTTTCACCGGTAATTACAAGAGCCTCATCCAGGCGACAAGCCAGAGTTGTAGAGCAATCCCCCTGTTTCGAATTTAAAGAGGGATACATGTGATGTCCCGTTGCACCGAATTAAAGTTTTCTCGGAGTTTATGTACCCCCCACGCACCAGTGTCAATTGGTGTATTGTAAAGGGCTCGCGTATTGTTGCAATAAAAAAAAACAGAGATTGGGGATTCAAGAGGCCCTCCAGATGGAGCTGGCGGCCCAGGTCACATTTAAGGCTCTCAAAGCACCGCAAGTTTAAATGCGTATCAAATGTATCCTCCGGGCACAAGAATTAAATCAATTGGCTCAGACGAGGACAGAATACACGACCTTGTCGTAATGAGGGAGGCTTTGGTGCAACAGGAGAATGTGGTGTCCCCTATTCGTGCTTGTTCCCTGGTCTATGGTGAACTCCTCTTTCGTGTCGTTCTCATTCTGGGTGTGCATGCTTTATAGCTCTTGCTGCATTTTTACCAAAGTCCACGTGTTTAAGCCATATGTCATAGCTGCGGCTGTGCGCCGGGCGATGGTGGCGCACGCCCGTAACCCAGCGCTGTGGAGGCAGCAGCGGGGATTGGTGGATCACCGCACAGATGTCACGAAACTCCCTTTCCCCTGGGCATCGAGGAGGTGTTAATACCCTGGCTCACCAGGGGAAGGCAGAACAGCAAAAATGTGGACCCCACCTATAACCGTCTGCATGGGATAGAACGTTTCCCCCTCGCACGCGTGTGTCTTTTCCGGTTGCTCCGGTTTCCTCCCACGTGTAAACATTAATTGTTAGTGCAGACGTCGCCTGCCTTCACGCTTGTCTGTGGTTGGCGTCTCTACAACAGCGAGTGAATCCTGTGTGATGCGTTAAAAGCTGACCTGATTATTATTAGTCTTCTTCAGGCAGAAAAAAGTGCTACTTTTTATTATCTTAATATGTATATATGTTGAACTTCCATAATATAGTGTTTTTTTTGGGTTAGATCGTGTAAATATATAAATGTGTCGTTAAACCTGCCACCACCCGACACAGCCAATTAGTAAGGTTTGTCACATAAACAGAACATACCAATTCGTTTCTAGTGTAATGGGTTCGTTTGAGGCGCACAATCTTCTGTGGAGGCAACACTATTTATTAACACTTGTTACACACACTATACATAGGGTGGTAACCACCGACCTACTCTCACTAACACTCGGGTATATTAGCTAGCGTGGCCAAGCCACGTGGACCTTGGCCCCGACCTCTTCGTCTTCAGTCTTCATTAGGCGTCTTCATCCCGGGGGCGAACAGCCCTGCTCTCTCAGCGGCGCCCGCTTACTGTATATGCCTCTCCAGCGTGGCCGGCCACACCTCGGCCACGCCCCCCTTCTCGAACCCTCGAGAAGGCTCTGGACCCCGACCACGTGACCCCCTGGGTCCCCCCTGGACCCTGGCCCCCACCTTGATCTGGTCACGTGTCTGGCCGGGGTCACCCAGAGTGCCACGGCCTGCCACGACCTCCGTGGCACACGTCAACGGCCTCCGCACTGCCCGACCCGGCAGTGACGTTGTGTGTGTGCAGACCCGACATGGTAGTGACGTCATGTGTGTGCAGACCAGACATAGTAGTGACGTCATATGTTACTACACTAGCGTAGTGACATAGAATAGTAATGTAACAGCATAGCGCTGGCTGTTGGCAGGGAAGGGGATCTGCGGCTTACGACAGCCCTGACGTCAGCAGGCCACGTGATACACCAGAGGGGGATCTAGGGGAAAGGTCACAGAAGGGGCACACCGAGAACCTGCGGGGAGGTTCTAGAAAGGGGGCGTGGCCGGAGGCGGAGTCAGGCCACGCTGACAGTATAAGAAGGGCCCTTGTAGGGGACCTCGGGGCTGTTGTGTGGAGTGGAATCCCCGTCATGCTGCTGGAGTCTTCGTCCCCGTTCTTCTCATCGTTTTCACCATCCTTCTTGTCATCGTCTCCGTCTTCACCATCTCGGGGCGTCAGCAGTCAGGCAGCCTACCAGCTGTCCTGACTGAGTAACGTCACCGACAATAAGTGTTAACCCCGATGGAGCTTGTTAATGAAGAAGTGCCTCCAACTCTTATCGTCTCCGAGTTAGTCACTACACTAGTACAGCACACCGGTGTGTTGGAGAGAAAATACACAACATTTACAATCTGTAAATGTAAAAAATAAAAACTGTATTATGGATATTGTTCGCGAAAGCCTCTGTATTAAAATGTTGAACTTCTTTTGCACCTTACGTAGCTGTATTGGCGCACGTGTCGCCTGCCTTCCCACTTGCCTGAGGTTCTTGCCGCCTACTTTTCATTATCATCGTATGTATGTTGAACTTCTTTCACACTAACCGTGCTTATTGGAGGTGCGGAGATAATCGGAGGTGCAGCAGGGATGATCAAGTTCAGCTTTGCTGATCTGCCCCTTTATTCCAATAACAAAATTACATTTAAATTCACCGTCAATAATTTATCCCTGGGGTGGTGGGGGGGGGGCATGGGCACAGCGTGGGCACAGTTGCTGTATGTATCCTGCAGCGCAACCATACATTTGCCGGGAGCTTCTTGAGCACGTGGCGCGGAACGTCGGACGACGCTCCGATAACACAACCCGAAAAAACCCCGTCGGGCGAGAACTTTGCGGCGCAGAGGGACGCGGAAAGAAAAAACCATTGCGGGCGCTCGCAACCACCGGTGCTGCGCACGGCCGTGGCCTCACGTCAACGCGCGTGTGGAGCTGATGACCAACGCACTCGTGATCAGCAGCTGTGACTGTGTTGCCCCATTTACCCACCCGCCCCTCCCACCCCCCTCCGCCACAGGACTTGCTGTACGAAGATGTCCTCTACACGCTCGTGCACCAGCCCGACGTGAAGAAGAAACCAACTCACACCAAGGAATTGATGTGGCACCTCCAGAAGGTTTGTGGTTGTCGGGGGGGGGGGGGGACCCTGTAGCCCTCTGCAAGGATTGCATGCATCCACGACCGTTTTGTGCATTTATGTATCTATGTATGTATGTATGGGTGTGGAACTTATTTTACATCGTACATAGGCAATCATGCTAATTGGAGGTGCAGGGGAAGGACAGCAAACTAAACGCAAAAAGCAGATCTAAAGAAATGAGCTTTCAATCTATAGCTACCAGTGGCTTCCTAATATCGGAAGGAAGAGCGTTCCAGACGGCCGCAGAAGTGCATCTGAAAGTGCGCGATGCGGTGACCGTCTTTGTTCGATGGCCAGTCAAAAGCCGCTGCTGCGAGGATGACCGGAGTTCGTGTGATGGTTTATGTTCCTTGACGAGATCGACGGGGTATTATCTGGACAACTTCATGAACGCTTTCCTCGCAGCCTATTACTGTTCATCAGCTTACAAAGCACCGCCAGGCTCTGCTTGTGCCGCGAGTGTTTATTTATATATTTGTGCTTTTCGGTGTCTTGAGAAGCTTGGGTTTGTTTAGAGGCTATTGTTTACGGGGTATTATTTAGATGACGCTATTGTTTAGACACTGCGATTGAATAGATGCTTTTGCCAGACAGGGAAAAGGCTTTTCTTCTCATTTCATCAGACGGTGTTTATCTACATCATTAGACCTGCTTTGCCAGTACCAAAATATAATAAGGTTTTCCCCTTTTTTCTGGCAACAAAACTGAAACCTTTTTTTTATGAGGATTCATGTCTGCATTAACCACAATACTTGCAGTCAAAATGCAAACAAAAAACATACTCTGATAATATATGCATTGTCCTTGAAACTGATTGGTCCACACCAGAGACAGCTTTCTTTGGAGCCTCGACCCAATTGGTGCTAGACCAGATGACGCCAAAAGGCGTACAGCTCAAAGACAATGCACTATCAGCCCTCATTACTTTGAGCTGTACGCCTTTTGGCGTCATCTGGTCGAGCACCAATTGGGTCGAGGCTCCAAAGAATGCCGTCCCTTGGTGTGGACCAATCAGTTTCAAGGACAATGCATATATTATCAGTGAGTTTTTTTTGCATTTTGACTGCAAGTATTGTGGTTAATGCAGATATGAATCATTGTAAAAAAAGGTTTAAGTTTTGTTTCCAGGAAAAAAGGGGGAAAAACCCTATTATGGTGTTTATCTGTTTAAGGTTTTCGACAAGAGTGCATCCGACCACGAATCCATTCTCAAGAAAGTGGAATCTGCAGAGGTACGTGTCCAGATGCTCGACCCGCTCTCTCTTTCACTCTCTCTCCGTCATGATTATAATTTTTATGGCAGGCAATACCATCATCATCAATACCATTTACGTTTATGTAACGGCGTCTAAATGCAACGGCGTCTAAATGCAACCGCATTTGCTGCTGGGCGAAGGCCTTCCCATGCCACCGTCGTCGCAGCTGCCAACTCTCCCGATTCCGCGATGCGACAATCCACGCGAGCGCGGGCGTCCATCGCTCCATCTCTTCTGGAGGACTTCCTCTCGGACGCGTTCCGTTAGTTTTGCTGCCACTTCCTTCACGAGTCTCGATCACCTTACAGTCACGTCTCCTGCCCAAAGCCTCCACAAGTTTGAATCGCGTCACCAGCCGGTTAGATGTTCTCCAATCCACGTGCTCCTTCTCTCTCTCTCTCCGTCTCTCAGTGTAATTCCAAGTGTCCGTCAACGTTTATCACAATAATAATAACAACAACAACAACAATAATAATAATCGGTGCACAATGCTTATTTGTTTGGGGTTGTCTTTGTCTACACCTCCAGGCCCCAACGTTTTCTCTGAAGGTGACCGTGAGCAGCGCTCACAAACTGGAGCCGAAGGACACTGATGGTGAGATGCGACGCCAACTTGAGCCGTAGCCACTGAGCCGTGGCCACTGAGTCGTAGCCACCAAGATCAAAGGATCGTCCTCCTGCTGGAGGCAGCAGCTGTCCTGGGGAAATCTCCAAATATTCCCAGGAGCATAATAATAATACCGCCCTGAGAATAATTGTTTAAGGGCGCTTCATACATTTAATTAATATTATTAATCTACGACACGCCGCTCAAGACGAAACGTATTGCGAGAAATATCTTCCTTTGATATTAAACTATTTCAACCATTTTTTATTTCACCAGGTAAGGCCCACTGAGATAAACAGCTCTTTTTCAGAAGCGACCTGGCCACAAATTAAAAGTCAACGAAATGGCATATCACGTGGAAATTTATAGCAGCCAAATGCTCTAAACGCATTTTGATTCCCAATGTTGAGGGAATTGCCGGAGGACCCGGAGAAAAATCCACATGGGAGAGAGACATGCAAACTCCAAATATGCAGCAGGCATCGGTGTCGGGATCGAACCCACGACCTCCTGTATACCAGGAGAGGTAGTTAACATCTCACCATCGTGGCACTCTAATCCGTAGCAACCGCTGTTGCCTAGGGAGCTACGACACATGTCCTTGCGTTGATTTTACAATCCGGATTTTACTTACGACATGCAGAAGCCTGCTACAGCGGTCGCCTGCCGCACTTACGACAGATCCTAAGGGAATGCAAAATGCAGTTTGCCACAGTTGTCCGGAGCTCGCATACTCAGCACCACGCGGAGGTTTCCCTCTGCAATGGTAAGCCGCATGCTGTTAACCCTTTTCCATTCCGAAACATCTGCAAGTTATAGGGTGGGTGTCCCGTTCACCGCTGAATCTCGGAACGTGCAAGCGGCTGAGCATTCATTTTATTCAGAGAGTTGCAGTAGCGCCGTTATTTTTAAAGACGCTGTGCTCACCGCGGAGAACTGTAGCGACACGACCGCCATTCTATGATAGCTAGCGCCAAAATGTGCCACACGCCCTCCTGCGTGGCCTTTTACTTCTGATTCCGTTTGGATGACGTACTATACATGTTCGCCATCAGAATGGAATCGCAAGTAATACTGCTGGCGTACACATATGTCATCGGAATGGGAAAAGGGTTAAGGCTGAACTGACCTGCGGCTTTAAGGAACCCACGATAATCCCCGGGGTGTCAATCACCATCGCTCCTCTTCACACAGGGACCAACAGCCCGTACTGCACACTGGGCATCGTCCACGGAGTGGCAGACGCCTCCAAGATGACGGAGGACATGCTGTTCGAAGCGGACCTGCTGGAGAAAACGAACCGGCAGCAAAAGACCCTGGAGCCCGTTTGGAACGAGACGTTTCTGCTGTACGTGACATAATCTGAATATTTATTTACACTGGAGAAATCTGATGAGCTTATGCAGCTCTTATTCACAAATGTCCAGTAGGTGCAGGTAAGAAAGTTACACCAAACAAGCCAAAAAAACGATAGGAGTGCAATATACAAGAAAGGTAAATAAACCACCCCCATCCTCTTCTTTGGTTCTTTCGGTAAAGTCACGTAGAATGAGAATAAAATAATAAATTGATAAAATAAAATAACACAATAATATTCTCACGACGTTTCGGCCACAACACAAGCTGCCTTCATCAGGTGAAGGGACGAGACTGTCTGGTAGGACAGCGCTGACAGTCTCGTCCCTTCACCTGATGAAGGCCGCTTGTGTTGTGGCCGAAACGTCGTGAGAATATTATTGTGTTATTTTATTTTATCAATTTATTATTTTATTCTCATTCTACGTGACTTTACCGAAAGAACCAAAGAAGATGAATCATTGCAGTCAGGAAAGCTTTAAATCGAAACACCCCCATCCTACCAGACAAAGCCCACTGAGGCATTCACTTCGTTTTTAAAATCTCGGGAGGCAGCGCTTGGCCCCGACATCTCTCGTACACTGTTCCGATGCACAACTGAGAACGTTTGTATCCGCGGGCCGTGAGAAGGCACTCGGGCTTGTGTGGATATGGCGCACGTGCACGTACGCATTCCACAGGCAAGGACGCGGCAAAGGTGCAGCCCTGGAATTTGCTTTGCTCGCGCCACTGATGTAACCCAGAGGACGACTGGCGACATGCGGCTTCCTTAGCTCTAACCCAGAGGGCGACTCATGGAGTCTCCATGAGGACTCTCCATGAGGACTCTCCATATGGAGTCTCATAGAGTCTCTCTCCATGGAGACCCCTCATGGAGACTGAATTAACACCCCCGAATGCCATTCGCTGCTTGCATACGGAGCATCGACAGAGCTCAATGCGTTGAACCAGCATGGCCATTGCGAATCGAGGCAACCTTAGACGTTGTAGGCACAAAATTGACAGCTACACGCATAACCTTCGAACTGTGTAAATGGTGGCCTTATCAAAAGTGTGAAAGTGTGCACCTACATTTTAAATATAACGATAACTTGGTTGGAGCGGTGGCACAATGATTAACGCACTGAGCCAGTGAACCGAGTTAGATTCCCGACGGCAAATAGAACAGCGTTGGCGAGTGATCTCTGGACTGGCCCTGAGCTCCCACCTTTACCAACGCACAGTGACCACAGCGTGGTAGAGTCTGGTCTAACAGCCCCAGTGACTGACATGCCTTGGGGCGGGAGGCCTTCACCCAGCCAGTGGATTCATTGACAACGGGCTCTGAATTATTACAAATGACTAATCCTTATATATATATATTTTTTATCAAAGCCTATTTTAGAACCGTGGATTCACCACAGCTAGGAGCGGTGGTGCATACTTGCAATTCACAGCCTGGGTGTACGGAGGTGGTGGATCACACAGGAATGGCGTGAGAACACAACCAGTATGACACCACGGGGTGGGCTGGGACTGCCTTGTCCAAGCTTGCGTTTGACATTGACAAATCGTCAGGAATCTAGTTTTTTGTGCAATTTGTACTTCTACACTTTATTTATGTCTTTATTTTTAGCGACTTGCTTACCTTTCCCTCTATCTTGCATCGTCTTTTGTATTGTTTGTTATGTAACACGCTGACCCGCCACTGCTGATGGGTCAACGAGCTTCACGGCTCATTGGATTCCTCCAGGATAACTAAATATGCTGAGTCTGACATGCAGACAGCAGGCTCTGCAAGTAGAACTAAAACCCAGGGCGTCGTTACAACGCTCGCATGTCATCTCGCTGGTCGGGTGAAAAAACGTGAAATGACGAACCGTGATGACGCCCCGTCTTCTTGTATCGCTTCAGGGAAGTGGAGTCCATGGAGAGCGATCTCTTCTGTCTCTACATTTGGTGAGCATGTCGTCTGAAACACCCCCCCCACCCATCCCATACCTGTCCAGATTACGGGACAGTGCCTCTTAGAGATAAATAGGACGTGAGTCTGTCACCCAGAGTTTTACGGGTGAGCAGCAGGGCATTCTGACAAGGCAAGGTACTGTACAAACAGTCACGCTTCAAGTTATTTGTTGAGTTTTGCAGCCAGTCTGGGCCAGCATTGGGCAAGGATGCAGCATCACCACTCTGTACCCAACGGGAAGGGCACAGACGATAGGTATTTCTTGACTTAACAACGAACAGTATAACAGCGAATATATAAAAAAATAACAACAAACAATTACATATATTCTGGCATGCACAATTTAAACAATATGTAACATATATACAATGAATAATAATAATTAAAATAACAATTTATTAAAACTTAAGATCTTATCGAACCAGTTTATGATTTAAATAGCGGTAGAACTGACCAACGTTTTTGTGATGTGTATCGGTTGGCGATGCCACAGTGTCCACATCCGGCTCGGCCCTTCCTCGCGTCGTGCCTTGTGCTTAGTTATGCACCGATATTGAACATCCCTAGCGCCGTACGTAGCCAACCGTGACTCATGTACCGCGGCCCAATGGCGGACCTCCCTCGTTCATTGCGTCCGGTCGCAGACTCGGGTTGATTCCCCCCCTCTCGTCGCAGGAGCCACCACCAGTCGTCGATGGTGAAACAGCTGCGGAGAGTCAACTCGTTGGCAGGAGTACGCAAGTGAGTCAATTACTCAACTACTAAAGGACTTGGCAGGAACCCCCTTTTTTTAAAAAAAGAGTGAGACTCGGTGAGGCTTTCCTGGAAAAACAAGGGCAATAATAATAATGATGAGAGTATTTTTCTAGCTCAATCATTGTAGACTACTTGCCGATATGAGACCGAATGGGGGGGGGGGTGGGGGGGGGATACTCTCGGACGCCGATAACGAGTGAGAGACGTTTCAACGATGGCGGGGAGACGGGAGTCGCCCATCTGAAATTCCCCTTCCCTGTTCCGTGACGTCTGCAAGTTGCGGGGTGCGGAGTGTCCCATTGCCTCGCCGAATCTCGGAACGCGCCAGCGGTTCGGCGTTAAAGTTTATTTAGAGGGTTCGAAGCGTCGCTGTTGTTTTTAAAGACGTCGTTACTCGCCGCAAGGAACCGTAGTGGCAGGACCGCCGCACTCTACGATAGCTGGCACCAAAACTGTGCCGCACGTCCTCCCGCCATGGCCTTGCGGGAGCCTCGGTACGCCTTCGGACCTGAAGACGTATGTGTACGCCTTCGGAACGGAATCGGAAGAGAAACTGACGATGGCCATGTACGTCATCGGAATGGGGAAGGGTTATGTTGAGCATAATCCATTGAGGGAGGTGAACGCGGTGGACAGTCATGCATGTGCACAGCTGACTTTACAATCCACCACCTATTCTTTGGGTGTTTCGGTAAAGTCAAGTAGATAGGTTCAAATAAAATGAAAAAAACTACGACGTTTCGATCACAATACAAGCGATCATCATTCACTTGATGATGATCGCTTTACCGAAAGACCCAAAGAATATGAATTCGTGCAGTCACGAAAGCCTTAAGTCAAGATTTAATCCACCACCTCACGTTTTAATAATGCCTGTCGTCAGATCAACACAAGATTCAGCAGTCACGTATGAAGCATTCGGTCCGCATTTTGACACTTTGCATTCTGATCGTCTGTCTGTACAGAGTAATGCGTGAATTTGCCACTCAGCCGGTAATGTCCAAATGATGGGCTCACGTTGAGGGCGAGAAATGAGACTGTGGTTTGGGAAATACTTAAACGGAAAGTGATTTCTAAGGAGACTTTACCAATTAGTCTAACAATTATCATGACCCTTAAATGTGAGCGGATGCTAGGGATGGACGTTTGGTAAATGATTGTTTGAGAAATAGCTCGTTATCGTGCAACGTTGCTCACGTGTTATTTTTTTTAATTCCCGTGCGTTCTCTTGCAGCATGGGCAAGATTGTGATTAGAAATTCGCTCAAAGCAAGAACGGAAAATGTTGACGTCTTCCTTGGACGACTGTGTTTGCCACTGAAGGTACGAACCGTGAACAAATTAATAGGCTAATCGCTGCTTGTTATCACCAAACGTTGCACTCGAATTGTCAATGTTGTGGGTTTACTCTCCAACACACTGGTGTGATGAAGTAGTAACTAATTGGCACGCTTTGTTTCCGTGACAAACCTTACTAATTGGCTGTCGGCTGATGGCCACAAATGATAGCTCAACAAAGTGGCTCATCACGTGGAAATTTATAGCAGCCAAATACTCTAAACGCGTGATGTTGATTCTAAATGTGGAGGGAGAAACCGGAGGTTCCAGAGAAAAATCCACGCGATCACAGGGGGAGAAACGGAGAGAGACACGCAAACTCCAAATATACAACAGCAGGCGTCAGGGTCGGGATCGAACCCGCAAACCTCCTGTATACCAGGCGAGGTAGTTAACATCTCATAGCCCGCGGCCGCGTGTCGGCACAAACCGGCGCCGTGCTAATGTCAGCGTTGTGCTCCGCGTGCCCCCACGTGCCCCTAGGGTTTCCCGTGCGGGCCCCACGAGATGTCCTACAAACTCCAGCCACGCTCGCGCAAGTCCACCGTGCGTGGAGACTGCAAACTCACCACAACGTTCGTGGTGGAAAGCCAGGTGCGCGTGCATGCGTGCATGTGTGTGTGTGTTTGTACACGGGCTGTGGAGGGGCCTAAGCATGTACAGGATGTACGTATTTATGTTAAACTTATTTCGCGCCATACGCAGCCAACCGTGCTAATCGGTTGGCTGCGGGGGAAGGACAAACAAACTCAACACAAAGAGAAGTTCTAAAGAAATTGGTTTTCAATTTGGATTTAAAACAGCAATACCCCGATTAACGTCTCCCCCCCCCCCCCCACTCCGTTTTAGGGTGTTTCGCAAATACGTCGTCACTTTATTATTAATATTACTATCTAATTTGCGTCGCCTCAACCCGCCCACGCTCACATCGCTGACAGCATCACCGTCCGTCCTTTCTCGTTATCTGCCGCCTCTTGGCCTTCGCCTCCACCACGATCCACCACCACCACCACCCACCACCACCACCACCCACTACTACTACGACTACTACCCTGTAAACCGCTGCCATTTACATCATTTCGATATTCACCGTCGCAGCTTCCAGGAGCGCATCTGCAACGCAAACCGGGGTGTTACAGTGTAGTATACAGTAGAACCTTGGAGATCGAACGCCCCAGAACTCGAACAATTCGGTGATAGAACAAAATTTTCCACCATTTTTTGCCCCGGACATCGAACAAAAATTCGGAGGTCGAGCAACTTGAAAGAAGCTGCGTGGGCCGAGACGTGTAGCCATGGCGACCGAGACGCGTAGCCATGGCGACCGAGACGCGTAGCCATGGCGACCGAGACGCGTAGCCATGGCGACCAAGACGCGTAGCCGGGGCGACCGAGACGCGTAGCCATGGCGACGAGACGCGTACCCAGGGCGACCGAGACACGTAGCCATGGCGACCGAGATGCGTAGCCATGGCGACCGAGACGCGTAGCCAGGGTGACCGAGACGCGTAGCCATGGCGACCGAGACGCGTAGCCATAGCGACCGAGACGCGTAGCCATGGCGACCGAGACGCGTAGCCATGGCGACTGAGACGCGTAGCCATGGCGACCGAGACACGTAACCAGGGCGACCGAGACGCGTAGCCATGGCGACCGAGACAAAGGCGAATGAGCCAGTTCACGCGTAGCTCTCGCCCAGTGCGGACCCGCCAAGAACATCGTTCCGTTAACTTTTTCCTCACCACCTTCCACTCAAGCCATCCACTCTCCTTACTACAGGTAAAGTGAAGTTCAATGTTCATTTATTATATTAATTGTAACTGTGTTTCTTGTTTTGTTGTATGCTTTTATGTACTGTACTGTATGTTAATATTATAAAATTTGTGTAAAAATGACCCATAATAGAAGCATCCTTGGGTGGGGAACCAATCAATGCTATTTCCATTCATTCTTATGGGGAAAATTGATTCGATGTTCGAACAAATCGGTGTTCGAACACGGTTTTGGAACGAATTAAGTTCGATCTCCGTGTTACCACTGTGCAGTATATTGCAAACAAAATAATTATGAAGTCACAAAGTATATTTATTTATTTACCAATGTAAAAGAAACCCCTCCGATTCATATGGTTGGCTACGCACGGTGCGGAAGAAGTTCAACATAAGTATATTTATTCGACCCGAGGTAAATTTACCAAACAGAAATCACTCGCAACGCTAATTTCTTCAAAAAAATTGTTTCCTCCTAGCTTTAGCTGTGGCAAAGTCATGAACGCTGTCACAACGTAACTCAAAGAAAACAACATTTACAATGGCCGCGTTACCGCTGCTTAGCTGTTACTTCCAATGTGGAATGGGGAGGGCCTTGAGGAGGGCCTACACAATATGAAGGCCTTATTAGCCTGCGGGTTAATCCGGCCCTGTGTGTACGGTATCTGTGGGGAGTGGCGGTATAGCAGTTAGCGCGCTGGTGCTCCAAAACCGGCGACCCGAGTTCCATTCCCGCTCATGGCGAACACCTGTGACGATTATCTGAACCAGTTCTGGGCCTCCGCAAAGTCGACTCGGCCTCAAATGGGTACCTGGTGCGGTGTGTCAACAACAACACTGGGGAGACAAAGGCGGCCGGGCATGGTGCCGACCGCCCACCCCCTCGTGTGCCGTGTTGTCCTTCATAGGTGCTCGCTAACAGCACTTGCCCCAACAACTTGTTAAGACTATACGGGGAATCTTTTGCCTTTGTGTGTGTGTGTGTGTTCCATGTGACGGACAGTCGCAGCGATGCACAGGCCTGGGTGCGGTGGGAGTCTCCCGCCTGCAGACCTACAGGGGCCTGCTGGAGGTGCTGCTGCATTGGGAAGTAGAACAACAGGTGACGTCCCAGCATGCCCACACCACTGGGCGTGCGCAGACGCCGCGGTGGCTAGGAGATGTTAACTACCTCGCCTGGTATACAGGGGGTCGCGGGTTCGATCGAAACCCTGTCGCCTGTATAGTTGGAGTTTGCGTGTCTCTCTCCCCGTAGTCATGTGGATTTGTCCCCGGGTCCTCCGGTTTATGCCTCCACGTCTATAATTAACACGTGTTTAGAGTATTTGGCTGTGATATCTTTCCACACGATAAGCCGTTTTTCGCTGGGCCATTATTTGTGGCCAGGCCGCTTCTGAAAAAGAGCAGTGTGTCTCAGTGGGCCTTTCCTGGTAAAATAAAAAAAATAGTTTGGAGTTTTAATAACATCACCGTGAAGCTCAATCATTACACGCCTTGTATAATAAACTACACGCACGGTACGAGGTGGCAGGGGGCTAGGGAAACATTGCCCATCCTCATCCTCTTCCCTCGCCCCTCCACTCCTTTCCATCCTTCCCCTACCCTCTCGTGATCCCTAAGAAACCCCTCTATTGTGGTCAGTCATTCCTCATTCCTTGCATGCCCCTGCCGCCTGAATCATTCTGTTCACATGGCGATTTTCAAACTACGTCAAGCGCCTTGAAGGAATGTGCTCTTTACATGAAATGTTTTATTAGATCGGTTCAAAATGATAACATTGTGTGAACAGTGTAAGGCTCCTGTTCAGCATTCTTCGTTGCAAGGCCCAGGGGCCGCTGGAGGCCTCCCATCATCACCATCATCATTGTGCTGCTGTCAAATCCCCAATGGCTTCAAATTTGTGGCGGCCCCTCACACTGACGATGTCTTATTGGCGAAAGTGGCCCACCCTCTGAAAATTAGTGAAGAACACTGCTCTAGTTATTCACACCACAAGTTAGTGTGATTTACGGTGTTCACCAAAATGTGACATCAAGGTTGTGTTTCACCACCGTTTCCCCACCATCCCTCGCCTCGCTCCTCTCGTCTGCACTGAAGGCTCACGGTAGAACCGTACGCAGCAGCATCACTCAAAATCTGCTTCGGACACCGAGGTTCTCGAACTGTTACAGTCTCGCGTCATTATACACTACACTATACACTACACTATACACTACACCACACTACTATATACGACACTACACTAGATATTACACCACTATATACCATAACACTCTTTGCTACACAATACACTACACCACTATGCACTACTCTACACTACACCACTATACACTACACTATTTTCCACTACACTATACACTAGACTATACACTACACTATACTGTTACAGCCTCATGTCGGTTCTCTGCTGTTGCCCCCTCGGTGTGGAACTCTCTAATCCCTTTGCACAGCCGCAACATCAAATGCACTCTGACTTTTAAGAAACACCTAAAGCCCTAATTGTTTAAATCTTGATTTGATTTGGCTCAGGGATTTCGATCAGCTCTGAGCTTGGCTCCGCTCCTTTGAGTTGTTGACTTGCGTGCAAAATCTGGCGCGCTATAAATGTCATCATTATCATGATTATTACTTTACCCCCCGCAAATACAACCGACTCGCACCGCGTCAACGGTTTGCCGTGAATTGCTCGCCCAAATCCTTACCGGCCGCGACGCTGCTCGTGCCAAACGAATGGCGCCGTTCTTTCTCTTTCTGTTGCTGCCGTCGTCGCCGTCGCCGCCGCCGCCGCCGCCGCCGCCGCTGCGCCGGCCGCGTGGCGCTTCCAGGCCGCCGTGCATCTCGGCGAAGCCAGCGCCCGCCTGCTGGCCCAGCTCGGCCAGCAGGCCAACCTCTCAGCCCAGCAGCGGAACCTCGCGTGAGTTCGCCCTTCCAGCCCGCCGGGACACACGCTCGTCGCGGACGCGTTCTATCCGAAGAGGGCACAGCGGAGAAACCTCTCGAAATTTTGATGCAATCGGCGGGGGTGGTGGGGGGGGCGGGGGGAAGAACCTCCGATTAGCACGGTTGGCTACGTACGGTGCGAAAGAAGATCAACATGTGTACGTACGTTCTGGCGAGAGTGGGGGGGACGGGGGGTTTGCAGCAAATGGCCCCGGACCTCGCGGCTCGCTCGACGCGCGTGGGGAGCTGCGTGTGCCTGGGCGCTGCGTGCAAACACCACGTGGAACGCCGAGGTAGTTGTACATCATCACCACGGCGGCAAGATGTTATCTCCCTTGCCTGCTCTACAGGAGGTCGTGGGTTCGATCCCGATCCCGACGCCTGCTGTACATTTGGAGTTTTCCTGTCTCTCTCCGTGCTCCGTGCGGTCGCGTGGATTTTTCTCCGGGTCCTCTGGTTTTTTCCTCCACATTTAGGATCAAAGTGCGTTTTGAGTATCCGGCTGTTATACATTTCCATGTGATAAGCCACTTCATTTCCGCGTGATAAGCCACTTTCGTTGAGCTTTCATTTGTGGCCAGTCCGCTTCTGAAAAAGAAGCTAATAGCTTAGTGGGCCTAACCTGGTAAAATAAAAGAAAATAGTTGAATACCCTCCTGGGCATGGACATTGTGCTTCAGAGCAGTGTTCTTTGTGTAATGCTTTGGATTTAAAGACGTTGTGATCCTTAATGTTGGAGTGGGAGAGGTGTGGCGGATTACAAAAGAACCCTGCCTTTTAACTCAACTGGCTCTGACTTAGAGAGGTTTCACCGCAATTCCCAGTAGATTTTTGCGTCGGATCTCGTCAATAATATATTTGCGTGTCGTACACCCTTCCTCTGCCAGACATGCCCAATGAATAACGTTGTCACGCGATGACAAATCGTGCCGATTTTATTGCTGCTTCAGCTGCACCACACCGGTGCGGTGAAGAGCGATTGTCAAATGTTGTGACTTGCCACGTGATACGTTTAGCTGTTACTGCGGTGATGATGGCCAGTGGGGGGTGGGAGATTGACCCAGTGGCTGCGTGCGAGACATTTGGAGATGGTAGGGAGCTGCGTTGTCTCTGTGTTGGCCGGTGACATCATGAGACCGTGCCTATCGCTGCGATCTTCACGGTGTGATTACTTCCTGCCAAATTTATCTTTCTGTTGACAACGTGATGCTGAACTCGCCAAAGCAGTTCCAGACGGGCATTCTGAACTGATGCGCTACGCCTGAAAGCGCAGTTGAAATCTATTTATATTTATGATAAACAAACAATGAAAACGTTATGTGTGTGTTTTAAATATGTTAAGCACACTGTGCATTGCGCTTGTGGCAGGCAGTGAGTGGACGGTGTACAGCAGGCACACCCAGAGGAAGGAGCTGGATTATCTCCTCAAGCTGCTGCGAGACATTAACAGAAATTGGGAGAAGGGCGCTGTTCAAGACCTGGTAACGTCGGCAGCTTTTCGCATCCTTCAGGCGTCTTGTTGGCCTTTTTTTTACTTTGCATTACTATAACCTTTTTGTACTGTTTGTCGCTGTAACATTCTTACCCGCCCATACTGGACATCTGTGAAAAAGAGCTTTATAGCTCATCGGATTCCTGCGGTACGAATAAATATTCTAATTCTGATATTTGGTAATTAATTAACTCGCCTGGGGGCCTGTGGCCCGAGCAGCCGATCGCCGACGCAACGCGACCGGCTCATCACGCGTGGCTTTCCGTCGCGCGAGAACGAGGACGTTCCGTTCCCGAAGAAGCTCGCCGGGACGCGGCACGACCCCCGAACTCGCGTCGGAGAGGAGCGTTGCCCGCCTGCCCACTCTCCCGCCGCAGCAGTCCCACGGGGTTGAAGGGTGACTGCCGAGGGTTTCCTGGGGCAGTGTGGTCCCGAATAGCTGGCAACTACTGGGTTCCAGGCCTCCGGTCCGGAGCCGACACCCCTCCCCCCCCCCACTCCACGGTGAACCTACGCTGGCCGCGTTACCGCACGAGGTTTGTGCGTGGGTAACGGCAGCGGTAGCAGGGATCACGGCGGGCCGTGGATCATAGCTGGGCATCAATCGGAAGAGCCGGTTCTGCGCTCCGCTCGCTCACTCGGTGAGATGGCACAGAGCGGATTGGTCCAGACGCTTGTGGACGAGGGAGGCGTGGTTTGTAAATAATCCTTAATAATGGGTAGCCAGTGTAGCTCACGTAATTGTCAACACAAACAGAATCGGCATCAGAATCTTGATTTATCCTGGAGAAAGCCGATGAGCTATATGCAGCTCTTTTTCATAGATATCCAGTAGGGGCGCGGGGTCAGAAAGTTACAACAACAAACAACACAACGACACGATAGGAGTGTTAATTCTCGATTTTTCCGAATTTTTCTATTTCCCTTTTTTCTACTGCCCCCGTACAGCACATCCTCGACGATCTTCTTTAATTTTCTTCAATTTTTTTTCCCGTTAATATTGCACACACACAGTGACCCATCTACACAACAAAATACAGATTAACTCAGCTCCGCACTCCACTAAAGTCCCCTACATGGCCCCTCCCCCCCCCCCCCCCCCCCCCACCTTAACCCGTATTTAAGCTCGAGGTTCCCAGAACCTCACCACTTGGTGCAGCGATTTTGCTGTGACTGGTCCCACCTGAAGACGGAAGCTTGCTTTGCCTCCGAAGCGTCGTGTTTTAATTGTTTCTTTCATTTTATTTCAATTCATTTCAATTTGTTTTACCTACGTGACTTTACCGAATAGAACCAAAGAGTACGATAGAGAAGGTAAGCAAGTCAAAATATTATGGCAGTCACCTCAGTCAACCTATGGCACCTGGCTCTGTCCCGTGACCTCTTGTCAGCGAGCCTTCGACACTTCACGTGGCCTCAAAGTGCACCTGGCCTGGCACAGGCGCCGTGGTGACGTCACCGCCGCTTAGTGGCGAATGGCGCCTGTTGTTGTTGTTGTGCAAAATTTCGGAAAGGTTAACAAATCAGTAAAAAATCTATACAAATGAACTATTTTATTTTACCAGGTAAAGCACCCTGAGCTATTAGCTTCTTTTTCAGAAGCGACTTGGCCACAAATGACAGCCTAACGAGAAGTGGCTTATCATCGCGTGGACATTTACAGCGGCCAAACACCCCCCTGGGAATGCACAACGCTGTTTCCATGCTGCAGGAAGGCGATCTGCAGCGGAGCTTCCGAGATTTTACCGCCGTCGCCACGGCGAAGCTCAGAGACTTGGAGAAGAGCTTCCCGCTCTCGCAACCGGAGTCGCTGGCTCACCTGAAGACTCTCCTGGAGTAAGCTCTGCCACCGTCTACCCCGTGAGAGGCGAGCGACGCCCAAACCGCGTGGGATGGCCGTGTGGTGGTGGTGGTGGGTGGTGGTGGTGGCGACGCGTGTTTTGTTTCGAGACGGTGGTGGCGAGAGAGAACATCGATGATGTTACCATACGCTGGTGCTCGCTGGGCCCATGTGCATAACAGTGGAGAAGATAAATATGATGAGGGTGTCACGGTGGCCAGATGTTAACTACCTCGCCTGGTATACAGGAGGTCGTGGGTTTGGCCACGACCCTGACGCCGGCTGTATATTTGGAGTTTGCGTGTTTTCCCCGTGTGTATTTTTCAACTTGCATTTAGAGTGTTTGGCTGCTATACATATCCACACGATGAGCCACTTCGTTGAGCTATCATTTGTGGTCAGGTCGCTTCTGAAAAAGAGCTGTAAACCTCAGTGGGCTTTACCTGGTAAAAAAAAAAAATCTTAATAGTAGTTTCATTTAAAATAGTAGTTTAATTTAAGTAGTTTAAAATCTAGGAATAGGTTTTACCCTTTTAACTGGCACAAAAACTGACACCTTTATTCAAGGCATCATGTTTGCAATAACCACAACACAAGCAGTCAAAATGCAAACAAAAAATACAACTCTGATAATAATATGCACTGTCCTTGAATTTGATTGGTCCACACCCGAGACAGCTTTTCTTAGAGCCTAGTCTCCATTGGTGTTGGACCAGAAGACGCCAAAAGGCGTACAACTCAAAAACAGCGCACTATCAGAGTATTGAGGGCTCGGGGTGAGCATTTACATTATGATACCTCCTTTGCCAGAAACAAGATATAGGAATAGGTTTTACCCTTTTAACTGGCACAAAAACTGACACCTTTATTCAAGGCATCATGTTTGCAATAACCACAACACAAGCAGTCAAAATGCAAACAAAATAAAGGTGTCAGTTTTTGTGCCAGTTAAAAGGGTAAAACCTATTCCTATATCTTGTTTCTGGCAAAGGAGGTCTCATAAAATAAAAATAGTTTAAAATCGCCATGGCAACTTGTCGGTCAATGAGTGCCATTGTTTGTAATGGGTTAGATGGATGGCCTGGCAGGTAAGATGCTTCGTTGCGGTGCAAAGAGGCCCCCTTCGAATTGCCCCGACGCACAGAGGCGGTAGAAACTATGCAGTCGCACGTTGTTACGCACCTCCGATTAGCACGATTGACCACGTATGGTGCAAAAGAAGTTCAACATACGTACGTTACGTGGAAAACTGGCCAGTTTCACGCAAGTCCAACCAACAGGTGGAACGTGTACGCGTGCGCACAGCAAGTTCGAGACCAGCAGCCGCACCTGGCGTTCGTGACCCTAGACATTTCGTAGCGGTAAAGCAATGTGGCGTGTATGTATGTGGATTCCGCTTTACAAGAATTGTCACGGCAGCATAACCTTGCTAGCCCAATGTGCTGGTTGTTGTCCGGATGATGGTGGGGAGGCTACCAGTAACGGGAGGCTGGAAAGCAGAGATGGCAGAACCGAATACTAAAATATCTAGCGTGTTGGCCTTGATGGGCGGCTATTATTATTCATAATGGATTTTTAGGTCACATCGTGTGGGTAAAATGTGTTGTTTACCCTTCTCCACCCGATGCAGCCAATTGATAAAGTTGCCACGTGATGAACACATTTTTCCTGGAGGACATTTTCACAATGCTGGCAACGTGCCTGATGATGCTGGTTGTGACTACCAGCGAAACATCCGCACTCAATTGTTAAATGTTGTGGTGCAGATCTCTCTCCCACAACAACAGCACTACCAGTGGTGCTGCTAGAGCAGTAGTAATACATTTGAACGTTGTTCACCTGACAAATTTTTAGTTTCAGTTCAGATATATTCATTGGCCGTGTTGGGTGGATGAGGATGTACGACACACTTTGTGCTCGTGTGATCTGACCTCACAAATCAATCGTGATATCAAATATCGCGTCGTCAAAATACATCGGCGCGTTGTGCCGGGCTAGCGTGCTCACAAAAATAAATCTTCCAGTAAATAAATAAGCGATCATAAATAAATCGATCAATCTTATCGCCCTGTTGGGACCTCCGCACTTGTGCTTGCCGAAAGCATTCGTTTAAATCAGTGGTTCTTGAACCTGGAATGCATCACGCTGCACCCCCAGGGGGTGTGAGATGCCCTTTCTGGGGGTGCGAGACATGGGCAGATTTGTTTAGAAGGCACATCATCTAAACACAAATTAATTTGTCTCATCAAACCTATCTATTTATTAACAACGTGACTTTACCGAAAAAACTAAGAATATGAATTACTGCAGTCACGAAAGCTTTAAATCAAAATTGTAAATGTTTTTAACAATTGAGACCCAAAGGGGTGCGAGGCTGCAGTCAAGGTTAAGAACCACTGGTTTAAACGCTGCGGCGATCGCCTCCAACAGCGTCCCTCACGTGACAATTTTCTCTTCCACGCGTGCCGCTCAGAACAGTTTAACACGTAGCCTTTCGTGACGAATGTCATCCATAATGTAGTTTTTTTGGGGGGGGTTGGATCGCGTAAATATTATTTATTACGGCCGCGTAGAATGATGGCACGCGGTGACGAGCATTGACGGCGCCGCCGGTGCCGCTGTCTCCCCACCCCCCTCCCCCCCCCCACCCCCGTGCGCTGCAGGTGCCTGTGCGAGGTGTTCACATGCAGGGGCAACATGGACGGCACTGCACCCGCCGCAAGCCTGGCCATCATCCAGCAGGCCCTGGCGGTGAGCCTGCGACACCTCTTGCCGACCCGCCGAGTTCGGCGTCGCACGCGGTTCAATGTCGCGGTTCACATCTGTCCAGTTTAACAACCCGGTTTATATCTGTCCGTGCGTGCGCGTGTGTCGTGCTGCTATTAATTAGAATCTATTGCCTCGAGTTTCCTGCCTGCTGCTGGCTGGGCTTCTTCACTTCATCCCAGCAGTAACTCTCCCGTTGTTAGCGGCTCGCAGAGAAGACTGAGTGACTGAGAATGGCGAGGAACCATAAACGAGCGGAGGGGGGGGGGGGAACCAGTTGGTGAGCTGGTGCCAACCTTTGCCCGAGTTCTGCGGTCCTCTAACCAATAAAGACGTCGTCAGCCGATAAGTGAGCGTGGGTGGAAACCGGAGTACTCGGAGAAAACGCACGCATGCGACGGGGCAACGGTGTACAATGTAGATGAAACAGATGGAGATTATCTTCTTTGGTTCTTTCGGTAAAGAGCCAAAGAAGATGAATCCTTGCAGTCACGAAGGCTTTAAATCGAGATGGAGATTAGTCCACAACTTGCTGGTGCTGCCTGACGGCGAGCCAGGGTATGGCACCTTGGACACCCAGGGTAAGTCGAGTTCGTTGCGACCCATCAACCCTCGCCTCCGCAGTGCAGGGTCACGGGCCACGTCACAGCCACCGCGCGCCCCAACGTGTGAATTGTGCTGCGCACCAGTTCTCGGCCCTTAAAATAACAGCAGCCGCCACCGCCACAACTGACTTCAACGCCACTTCAACCTCCACCACAGTGGGACCACAACAACAACAACCACCGCTGCAGCTTCACAAACACCATCGCGTCGTCGTACGATGAGTGGCCGCGCTTTATTTCTGGCCGGTTATATTGGCTGTGTGCGAGATGGTGAATTGTAATATTTCCCTAGGAAGGAGCTGAATGCTGGTACAATGAGAAGAGGGCACCGATAATCTCCGAGAAGGTAAAGCGCGCTGTGCCGTTAAATGTGGGGCAACGCGGACGGACGCATGATGCTGCTGGCGCTCGTGAATTCACGCCGTTGCTATCCTCGGCCATCACACGCTGCTGCACCTCCGATGAGCACGGTCGGCTATGTGCGGTACCAAAGAAGTTCGACGTCGCACCGTAGAACTCGCGTCCGTAAAGGCAAAGCTGCAGGCCGTTCCACCGCGTGACAGCGGTGACACCAAGTCGGTTTTACGTTGAACTTTGTGCTCGGGGATATGTGGAGTGGCACAGGATCTGTTGGCTGCAGGAAGGTCTCGCTTTCCATCGCAGGAGTCGTACGTAGTGGTAGTAGTAGTAGTAAACCTCGCGGTCACTCGGGTGTAACCTGCCAGTTCTCAAAAAATCAACGCTGCAGTGCCTCTCGCTGCCAACAACACGAGACGTGACGCGGAGTGATCCGTTGAACTTCTTCCGCACTGTACGTAGCCAATCGTTCTAACCGTGTGTGCGTCACCAGAAGTTGCGACCAATAATTGGTGAAAACATTTACGTGTACCGCTGCCATTAATTTTATTCATTCCTGTTGCTCCATGCCCCCTGTACGTATCGGTCCGACCTACTGTAATGTGCGCTGATGCCCATTTAATTGAGGGCGATGTTGGGCATGCAAATTGAAGATTTATCGATTGATTTGGCATCGCTTTCCGCGGTTGTGCCGCTCAGCTGTCCGGTGCGTCTGCTGGTTGTGCCGTGGGTTTCTCTGGCACGCGCGCGATGCCCGACGTTTTGCTTCCTGGTCATGGCCGACATCGGTGATGCGAAACTTTTGAACCCATTCCGGGACCCCCCACCCAACCCCCCTCTTCACCGAGCCTGCGCTGTGCGGCGTGGCCAAATACCCTCCAATAACCTTCATGATGATTGTCACTTGATATACACTAGGTACATTATTGGGGGAATGAGGGGGGGTGGGGGAATAACATTTGTATTTGAGTGATTGGGGCGCCATGGCGGCGAGATGTAAACAACCTCTCCTGTTATAGAGGAGGTCGTGGGTTCGATCCTGACCCTGATGCCTGCTGTGTATTTGGAGTTTGTGCGTCTCTTTCTCCGTGGTCACGTGGATTTTGCTCACGGTCCTCCAGTTTTTCCCTCCACATTTTTAAAATCACGCGTCTAGACCATTTGGCTGCTGATATAAATTTCCACGTGATCAGCCACTTTGTTGTTGAGCTATCACTTGTTATAGCCAGGTCACTTCTGGAAAAGAGCTGCATAGCTCAGTGGGCTTTACCTGGTAAAATAAAAGTTTATTTTATTTTATTTGAATTCCACTGCTAAGCCGATCGGTAAGCAGCAGTCGCCCTGAACTCTGCCTGGCACCGATGGCACTAGACACTTCGATATAGCGGTGCGATAGCCCCGTTGCTGTTGTTGATGTTGTTTTTGTTGTTGTTTAGTCCACGCAAGAGCACCTGGACAGTCTCGTGGGCCTGTGCGAGGAAATGAACAACCACCTACAAAGCAGTCCCTACAGCAAACTCTTCACCGAGTGAGAGCCTCTACTGCTCACTAATGCTCACAGTCATCATCTCTCTTTCTATATATGCATAGACATCTCTTTACACACACACAAGGTGATGCATGTATAGACACCCCACTAAAATCATCATCCTTAGACATGGTCAATCTACTACTGGATGAAGGCCTCTGCAAGCTGCCACCTCTCGTGATCCTGCGATGTTAAATCCACCCCTTAAAAAATAATAATAATAGCACTGAGGAGTTGCAGAGAGAACGAGGCGTTCGAGTTGGAAGCTTCCACTTCACCGCCCCTTCAATCGTAATGCGTCCGCTCAATATTCTTGCTGCCATGCTTCTCTCTGTAAGGCGATTCGTAGACGGAAACCCTTGGGGGGGAGACAAGGAAGACGCCACGGCTCGCGATAGAGGATTATAAAAGTTAGCGTCGGAGTTGTACGCAGAACTCGACGGTGGAATACATTTGTGAAGCACGGGAATTGGACAGTCGTTCAGATGATGATGAAGAGGAGGAGGAGGAGGAATGAGCGGAAGAAGCGCAATGACCCGAGTAAACCTGCAACATAAAACCGTCAGAAGCCACAAAAATAAACTCCGCGAACCATTTACATTACTCGTGCTACAATCGTGACGATAATCATTACAAACTATCCAAAACAGCGAAGCGAGTGAACGGTACATTTTCACGAAGGTTAAGAGGCGAAGTGCGCGAGGAGTGCGCAGTGCCGCCGGCAGCTGCCGGCGGACGGTCGACCGCTCGACTGACCCCCGCTGTGCTGTGTCCTTCGGCAGCGTGGCGAGCGTGAACATCAACGCCGTTCGCTATCAAGCGATGGAGAAGCTGGTAAGCTCTTCACGTCCGTCAACTCTGTGCCCCTGATCAAGTCTAGACTCCGAGACATTCCGCTATCTCCTCCCCCCCTCTACCTGCGCCTGCCCGACTCTCACCGCCTCTCTCTCTAGAGAATTAACGTGCGCACTCTTTCTGTACGGCGTCATCTTGAATTCGCTTCGTATTTCTCTGGCACTGTTTTGGCTGTTGTTTTTGAACTGCCTTTCCCAAGATTGGGAGTTGATGTATTTATGCACTTTGAACTTATATACTTTATTTGTTTTATTATTTAAGGGGTGCCACCAGTGGCGTGATGTGTTATTCCTTGCCTGGTTAGTGGTTTGGTCTCGACCATGTATCTTCTCCCAGTGGTCGCTTGGATTTTTTGTCCGGGTCCTCAGTATTTCGCCACTTTACAATTCCACGTGGTAAGCCACTTGGTTGAGTTATCATTTCTGAAAAAGAAGCGAATAGCTCAGTCAGCCTTACCTGGTAGAATTAGAAATAGTTTCGTTTGATTTGTATTTTTTGGGGGAATTGTTTACCTCTCCTACACTTTGCGCTCCGATCGTGTGTTTGTGTTGTTTGTTGTAACGTTCTGACCCCGTGCCCCTACTGGACATCTGTGAAAAAGAGCTTTACAGCGAATCGGATTCTTCCTGCTGTATAAATATTCGAATTCTGATTCTGAATGCCCCTGTAGCCTACATCCCCATTGGTCGTCTCATCCTTCGTCTCCTTCTGAATGCCCCTGTAGCCTGCATCCCCATTGGTCGTCTCATCCTTCGTCTGATTCTGAAAGCCCCTGTAGCCTGCATCCCCATTGGTCGCCTCATCCTTCGTCTCCTTCTGAATGCCCCTGTAGCCTGTATCCCCATTGGTCTTCTCCTCCTTAGTCTGATTCTGAATGCCCCTTAGTCCCCCAGTGCTTGGGTGGCCGTTGGGCTGGGGGGGGGGCATCACCATTCCCTTGAAGCGACCTCTCTCAATGCCTCTTTGACGTTGTTTGCGCTCCTCAACCGAGACGGCTTCCAATCCCCCCCCCCCACCCCCGTTCCTGTGCGTTTGATGTTTGACGTCCAGCCGCGTTGCCCTCCTCCTCCTCCCCTCCATCGCCCGGGCCCTTTGCAAGCCGGTCTCACCGATCGTCGTCCTTGCCACGTGCGTCGGATGTACCGCGGCAGCTTCCTGCACAAGACACCGAACAGCCTCGATTGTCCGTGTCTCTCCCCCCTCCACCCGCCACATTGCAGGGGGGATGTTTTGCTCACCACCACTGCCACCATCACCCCCCACCCCCCCCCCCCCACCTCCTCCCTCTCTCTCTCTCTCTGTCGTCCTCGCCAGGTGGCGGCCGACGTCTCGTCGGCCATGAGGAGCTTCTCCGAGCTGGACGACTCCGTGGCGGACATCATCCACAGGCTGTACACGGCCGTGCAGGGCCTGCACCAGCTTGGCACTCAGCTGCTCGCGTGCGTGAAGGGGGATGTGGCCCAACCGGAACTCCCGATCACAATGTTTTTTTTATTTGTCCTGGAAGAATCCAAAGAGCTGTGAAGCTCTTTCACGGATGTCCAGCAAGGGGGAGTGGGGGGGGGGGGGGGGTTCAGCCTGCGTGCTAAGGGCAGCGTTACCTTCAATTGTTTTTATCCGTCATGTCGGGCACAAAGGTGCCGGTTTATCGTCTGACTGGTGCCTCTACGTTCGTGGCCGTTCGGATTTTTTTTGTAATCGACATGCAATTGTCATTTACATTTAGAAGGCGCAATTCATCCAGGGATCTCGGTGCAACCATGCACGAAGTTAGGAAATATACGCGGGAAATGTAGTCCTGCAGGCGAGACAGGTGTGAGTCTTCAGATAATGCCTAAACAGAGCGAGTGAGCTCATCTAGCCTAGACACTGGTGGGGAGGGCATTCTATCGTCGGTCTTGTTAGTGGGTCCACCGCAGTCAACTGGCAGTTTTCATGTAGTGGGGTAAAGCATGGGGAGGAGAAGGGTGCTCCCACGTGATACCTATAACGTGGTGCTGGCCACCCCCACCCCCATCGAGTGCTTGTGGCGGCCTTCATACGTGCTGCTTGCTAACAGCACTTGCCCCAAATATCTGTAAAGGCTATACGGGGTGGGGAGGATCTTTGTCTCTTTTTTTTTCCTCCCCCTCCCCCCACCCCCACGACCTCAGTCGAAAGGCCCTGGAGGCGACGTTACTATCGTCGTTCCACGAGTGGTTCCACTCGGCCATCCACGACTGGCTGCTCGTGTGCTTCCGGAAGTCTCGCCAGGTCACCTCGCTCGCCGTCGAGAAGGACTCGGTGAGCTCTGCACCGTCGCCTTGGCAAAATCGCAGACCCCCCCCCCACCCACCATCACCGCTGCCCCCACCGGCGCCCCCCACCAGGGCCCTTGCCACCGCCTCCGTCACCCCCACCGCTGCCCCCACCACCCAACACCACCCGATAATGATGGCGATGATGATGATGATGATGACGGCGATGATGTTCTTGTTCACATGGACCCGCTTAGCTGAAGACGGAAAGCTCATCGGTGGACTACAGCAGCTCGGCGTTCGACATGGTGTCCTGGTTCACGAACATGCACAAGTTCTGGCTGCGACTCGCCTGGCCTGACTCTAAAGGATCCATCGGTTTAGCGATGAGGATCATCAAGGTGCGTGCGTTATCATGAGCGCCTGCACGATGGATGGCGTATTGTCGTATTCGGCCCGTTGACACGTGTTAACCATGATTAAACGAAATATTATATAATTCAGGTTGATTGATAATCCAGCACTCACTGATTCAACCCAGTCACTCACCCACCCAACCACTCAGCACACTGTATGTCATAACCACACACTAAACCACCCACCCAACCATTCACCCACTCACCACACTGCATGTCACAAGCACCCACCCACTCAACCACACTGCAGGCCACATTGCTTCTCTTTCTGTTGTTTTCCTCGCTTTGGAATTCCCTCCTCCACCATCATCATCATCATCATCGCCTTTTCCCCAAGTTCGTTAAAACCTCGCCCAATTCAAGAACGTGTCAACTCTCATCTTGTACACCTGCGGTGGTGCCGTTTGTTGCTGGGCGCTCTGTGTTTTTGGGCCCTTGGGCCTGTGCTCACAGCGATCCCGATGACAAATACGCGGCACGCGCATTAAGAGGTTACCCGCGATAGATCAAAACCGCGAACGATGAGCAAGCGGACACTCAACGGTCTCCTGTGTCTGTATGTATTTACTTATTTGTATATTTGAAGGGTGGCCGTCGTTATTGTTGTGGGGGGGGGTTGCAGGATATCTTCGGGATGGCGCAGTACTACGTGGAGATGATGGAGACGAAGCTCAAGACGCAAGTGTGTCCCCCGAGCAACGGGGGACAGTTCCTGCTCTCCGTGGAGGTGAGCGAGCGATGCCGTGCCGCCCCCACCACCACCGCCACCCCCCGCCCCCACCCCTACCCCTCAAGGCCCCCACCCGCCGCCCCCCCCCCCCAATCACCGTGACGTTAAATCGCATCGCGTGTCGTCACATGCACATCGTGTCGTTACGCGTGGTGTCGTTCGTCGCCCGTGCTCTATCCACTGCTGGATGAAGGCCTGCCCAAACTTTGAATCTCTAGATCCTCACGGTCTCGCAGTGCAACGATGCGTCCGGTGCCTGCACACGAGCTGCACTCATTGCTCCATCTCTGCGGCGGCGGCGGCGGCGGTGGTCGGGGCCCTCTTGGATGCCGCGCCGTTGGCCATCTTCCCTCCTCGCCGCGTATTCGGCCGACGTCCAAAGCGCCTCTCTCCTCACGCGGCATACCACGCAGCTCTCGTTCGATGCCCTTTGTCGGTTTCCCGCGTGCGTACGACACGCGTGTAGCCTTGGACGGATCGAAACTCTGTGCTCTAGGCAGATCGCCGCGTTGCTCTTCACCATCGGAGTGTTCGGTTTTCAAAAAGCACAGCAGCCTCCTCTCCTTCCAATCCGCCTCGGTGGCACTAACTCGGTCCTGTTTGCCAGTTGCGTCCCTCCATTTTCATTTGTTGAGCGAGCCTGTTGAAGGATAACCCTTGCTGCTGATGATGTTGCTAACGATGATGATGATGATGCTGTCGCTGTTGTCACTGCTGTTGCTGGGGCGCCACGGTGGCGAGATGTTAACTACCTCGCTTGCTATACAGGAGATCGGGGGTTCATTTCCAAGCCTGACTCTTTTGGAGTTTGCGTGTCTCTCTCCCCGTGGTCGCGTGGATTTTTCTCCGGGTCCTCCTGTTTTTACCTCCACATTTAAAATCAACAACATCACACGTTTACAGTATTTGGCTGCTGCTCCTACTGCTGCTGTAAATTTCCACGTTATAAGCGACTTCGTTGAGTTATCATTTGTGGCCAGGTAACTTCTGAAAAAGATCAATGTAGCTCAGTGGGCCTTACCTGCTAAAATAAAAAAAACATTTAGTTTTATCTGCTTATGATGCTCCTGGCACTGCCGTTGGTAACCACGCACCTTCCATTAGCATGGCTGGCTCCGTACATTGCGAAAGAAGTTAAACATACATACATACATGATGCTGCTGCCACTGCTGTTGCGAACCGTGATTATGCTGCCTTTGCTGCTGATGATGATGATGCTCCCGCTGATGACGCTGCCGCCACTGTTGCCGCTGATGATGTTGCTGCTGCCGTTGCTGTTGCTGCCGATCTGGCTCCCGCTGTTGATGCTCCAGCTGTTGGTGCTGTCACTGCTGCTGCTGCCGCTGCCGCCGGACAACGATGCGCTGACAGCGGCGGGCTCCTCTCCCCCGCAGGTGTGCACGGCCCTGAACAGCGTGCAGCACGTGCGGGCGGTGCTGCTCTCAATCCCCGAGCAGTGGGAGCTCGACCCCGCGCAGAGGGTGGACGGGGCCAGTGGCGACGAGGGCCGCCGCACGCTGGGCGAGTGCCTGCAGAAGTACCATGGCGGCATCCGGGAGGTCGCCGACAAACTCTTCAACTGGATCACGGAACTGGTGCGCGCACGTGTGCGCGTGTGTGTTTGTGTGTGCGTGCGTGCGTGTGTGCTCGCGTGGGGAGCGGTGGCGCAGCGGTTAGCGCTACGCTGCGCTACGAACCCGGCGACCCCGGTTCGATACCCGCTCACGGCCAACGCCAGTGATGATTATCTGAACCGGTCATGGGCCTACCCTAGGTAGACTCGGCCTCAAATGAGTACGTGGTGCGGTGTGTGAACATCGCCACTGGGGAGACAAAGGCTGCCGGGCGTGGTGTTCGCCATCCACCCCCCTGTGTCCTGTCCCGGCCTTCATAGGTGCTCGCTAACAGCACTTGCCCCAACAGTTTGTTCGTGCTATACGGGGGGGGCGGGGGAGGGGGTGGCTTTGTCTTTGTGTGTGTGTGTGCGTGCGTGTGTGCGCGTGTGTGCGTATGTGTGCGTGTGTGCGTGTGTGCGTGTGTGTGCGTGCGTGCGTGTGTGCGTGTGTGTGCGTGTGTGTGTGTGCGTGTGTGTGTGTGCGTGCGTGTGTGCGTGTGTGTGTGTGCGCGTGTGTGTGTGTGCGTGTGTGCGCGTGTGTGCGTGTGTGCGCGTGTGTGTGTGTGTGCGTGTGTGTGTGTGCGCGTGTGTGTGTGTGCGCGTGTGTGTGTGTGTGCGCGCGTGTGTGTGTGCGCGTGTGTGCGAGTGTGTGCGCGTGTGCGCGTGTGTGCGTGTGCACGTGTGCGCGTGTGTGTCTGTGTGTGTGTGCATGCGTGTGTGTGTGTGCGTGCGTGTGTGTGTGCGTGCGTGTGTGCGTGTGTGTGCGTGTGTGTGTGTGCATGCGTGTGTGCGTGTGTGTGCGTGTGTGCGTGTGCGTGCGTGTGTGTGTGTGCGCGTGTGTGCGAGTGTGTGCGCATGTGCGCGTGTGCGCGTTTGTGTCTGTGTGTGTGTGCATGCGTGTGTGTGTGTGCGTGCGTGTGTGTGTGCGTGCGTGTGTGCGTGTGTGTGTGTGTGCGTGCGTGTGTGCGTGTGTGTGCGTGTGTGCGTGTGCGTGCGTGTGTGTGTGTGCGTGCGTGTGTGCGTGTGTGTGTGTGTGTGCCGGCAAAACAACCCCCTACCTCCTCGCGGTGCCGGACGGGCAACTCTGTCGTGGACAGCGCTGTGGGGGGAGATCCAATTTTGATTGGCTCCTCCCCTCATGGCATATGTGTCCACCACAGGGGCTAAACGGGGGCTCTGGACGGGTGCGAGGGGCTGCTAACCCCTCCACCTTCAATTAATTACCACGAAACCACGAATTAAACTGAAATATGTAACAACTAAGCTTGTGCCGGAGGCCCCGGGGGGCCAGGCGTCTATGACGTCTCCTGGCCAAACCCCAATTGGCGGAGCCAGGAGATTGAATACCTACCCTCGGGGCTACTCCAGAAACAACGAAAAGCCACTACGGGTGGCCACGTGGAATGTTCGAACGCTCACTGCAGAGGAGAGGCTGCCACTCCTCTGTCGGGAGCTGGACCGGTACCGCCTGGATCTATGCGGCATTCAGGAGGTCCGGTGGACCGGCTCTGGCTCCTGCCACCATGAGGGGTGGACAGTCCTCTACTCGGGGCAGCAGACTGCCAAACAACAGGGTGTGGGTCTTCTTTTGAACAAAAGAATGAAGGGGGCGTGGGAGCGTGGCGGTGAGGTGTGGGAAGCTGTAAGCCCCAGGCTACTTTGGGCTCGCCTTCCCATCAACCGGAGGCGAGGAATGGTGGTCGTGGTTACTTATGCCCCCACCGAAGATGAACATCCGTGGAGGGATGCAGGCAAAGCCGATGAGTCAGATGCCTTCTATGACCTCCTGTCACAGGTGCTGGCTAAAGTGGCCCCTCGGGATAGAGTCATCATGTTGGGTGACTTCAATGCCCGAGTTGGTCATGATACTGGCACCTGGTCTGGAGTGATTGGAGGGCATGGGCCAGATCAGCTCAATAACAACGGTAGGAGGCTGCTAGATTTTTGTGCAGCCCATGGGCTTGTAATTACCAACACGCTGTTCCGGCATCGGCGCATCCACACAACATCATGGATGCATGCCGGGTCCAAGCAAGAACATCTGCTGGACTACATAGTGACGGACCAGCGAATGCGAGCCCATGTCCTTGACACCAGGACCTACCGTGGAGCTGATCTGCCCTCTGACCATCGACTAGTCATCTGTAAGATGCGCCTGCCATTCTTCCACTCCGGTGGTGGGTGTACACCCAGGACCCCATTCCAACCTAAAGTGGCCTGGTCTCAGTTATCTGATGAAAGTTGCAAGCGAGAATTTCATCATTGCTTGCGGCTGGGATTGGCATCGTCCCCGACTCCTCCTGATGTCGAGGGTAAATGGGCGAGGTTTAGGACTGTGACTCATGCAGCTGCAATGGCTGCTCTGGGTACGCGGTCCAGACCTCCCCAGACACCCTGGATGACAGAGGAGTTGTTCAGGATGGTTGAGAAAAAGCGACAGGCCCACTGTCATCGGCTACAGAATCCCACGTCAGAGAATGAGGAGGCTTACCGCAGCCTTCGCTCAGAGGTTCGGAGAGCCGTGAGGCGCTGCAAGGATGGGTGGTGGTCGCGGGTTGCTGAGGAGATGGAGTCTGCCTCAGTGGCCCGTGATCACAAATCTCTATTTAACTCCATCAAAAAAGTAACCTGCAGCGCCACACCTATTACCATCATTAGGGGAAAAAACGGTGATCCAATTTCCGACCCCCAGGAACAGGTTCGCAGATTTGCTGAGCATTTCTGTGAGGTCCTGGGGGAGGGAAAATCCCTCAGCCAGGAAAACATCGTGGCACAAAGTGAGGATGACCCTGCTGAGGCTGCGGTGCCTCAAATATTGGATGAAGTCACCCCCTGTGAGTGGCTGGCTGAGGTGCCATCTGCTGAGGAAGTATTGAAGGCGATCCGGAGTCTGAGACCAGGAAAGGCAGCGGGCAGAGATGATCTCCCAAGCGAAATGCTGAGGGAGGGTGGCGTTTGTGCACAGACTGCCCTATATGACATCATAACAACAGTCTGGACCACTGGATGGGTTCCGCAGGATTGGAAGGATGCCCTGGTGGTCCCCCTTTTTAAGAAGGGGGACCGCACAGACTGTAACAACTACAGGGGCATCTCACTCCTCAGTGTGCCGGGAAAGGTCCTGGCAAGGATTATTCAGCATCGCCTTGCCAGGCACGCTGAGGAGAGGCTTGCGGAGCCCCAATGCGGTTTCAGGAAAGGGCGGTCCTGCACAGATGCCATATTTTCTGTCCGTCTGCTACAGCAGAGGTGTAGGGAATTCCAACAAGACCTACATCTCTGCTTTATTGACCTGGTCAAGGCCTATGATACCATCAGTAGGCCTGGGCTCTGGGTCGTTCTTCGTGCTTTTGGAGTACCTGACCCTCTGCTCACGATCATTAAGGACCTTCATGATGGTGAGCGGGCCCGGGTAAAACTACGTGGCCGGGAGTCAGAGCCATTCCCTGTACACCTTGGGGTGCGACAGGGATGTCCTCTGGCTCCCACATTCTTTAACATCTATTTTGACCACGTAGTTCGTGAAGCCTTCAATAGCTGTACCGGGGGAATCTCCATTTGGTACAGATATAATGGGAGGCTAATCGATGCCCGGGTGCGGTCAAGGATTGGCTCCCTATTGCTCAACCACGTTATGTATGCTGATGATTTGGTAATAGCTGCTCAGTCAGAGGAGGAGTTGGAGACGCTGCTGCTGAGACTGGAGCGTGCCACTAAGAGGTGGGGCCTTACCATCAGCCCCACCAAAACTAAGCACCTGCCTGGGTATTTTGTACCATCGGACACTCCACCCCCACAACTCCCAATCGGTGATGGGGCAGTTGTGGAGAGAGTGGAGAGTTTCCCATACCTGGGCAGTGTGCTTATGACTGGCTCCAGTTTAACAGCAGAGGTCTCACTCCGAATCAGTCGAGCGGCAATATCTTTTCATCGGTTGCGTAACGCTGTGTGGAAGCTACCTGGTCTGTCGCTCCGCACTAAGCTTCAGGTCTTCTCGGCCACGGTCATTCCCTCCCTTCTCTACGCTTGCGAAACGTGGACCCCCCTAATGGAACATCTTCGCCGATTAGAAACATTTAGGCTGGCCTGCCTACGATCCATCCTGGGTTTAACCAGACTGGATTGTGTGAGGAGCTCACAAATCCTTGAAAGATCTGGGCAGGGTCCCATCGGTGAGCTCCTCCGGCAGGCAAGGCTGCGATGGCTGGGTCATGTAGCCCGCATGCCCAGCCACCGCATGCCGAAACAGCTTTTGTTTGGCCGGATTGAGGGGGCTAAGCGGGCGCGGCACGGGCTAGAGAAGAGATGGAGTGATGTGGTACGGGAGGACGTGGAGCTGAGTGGACTTGCCGATGACTGGTACCAGCGGTGTCAAGATCGGCCTCTGTGGAGGAGGCTCGTGAAGGATGCTACTGGGCAGTTGGAGGCAGTCGCCCTCCAACAACAACGGAGGGCGGAGGAGCGACGCTCACAACAGCGAGCGGAGCGCCGGGTGGCTAAAGCACAGCAGGTTGGCACAGTAGGGGGCACAGGTGGTGCATCGGCCAGTCATCTCAGTCAGTCGACCCGTGGCACCTGGGTCTGCCCCGTGACCTCCTGCCAGCGGGCGTTCGACACTTCACGTGGCCTCAGGGTGCACATAGCCTGGCACAAGCGTCGTGGTGACGTCACCGCCACTTAGTGGCGAATGGCGGTTGTTGTTGTTGTTGTGTGTGTGCGTGTGTGCGTGTGTGTGTGTGTGTGCGTGAACACGACGTCCCCACGGCACCATGGCTAAGGGTTAGCCGCGTCTATCCGCGAGCCCGGCACGGCTCACCCAGTATACTGGACCATAATCTATTTTTATTTTACCAGGTAAGGCCCACTGAGCTACATTATTTTTTTTCAGAAGCGACCTGGCGACAAACGATGGTTCAACGAAGTGGCTCATCGCGTGTAAAATTATAGCAGCCAATTACTCAAAACGCGTGACGACGTTGATCCTAAACGTGGAGGGGAAAACCAGAGGACCCGGAGACAAATCCACGCAACCACGGGGAGAGAGACACGCAATCTCCACATATACAGCAGGCGACTGAGTCGGGATCGAACCCATGACCTCCTCCATACCATCCGAAGGAGTGAACGTCTCGCGCTGTGGCGGCTACCAGTGGCCTCAAAATGATTTCCATGCCCGGCACACCGCATCCAGTATACCTCCCGGCTGTGGCTGTGACGGCTCATCATTTTTCACCTACTCAAGTCTTCTAACAGCGACCCCAGCAAAAATAATTTGAGTGAGAAATGAGGCCCTGCCTGACACTGCTTGCATGTAAAGCTCAGGTGAAAACCGCATTTAGAGTGGGATTTTAACGCGCCGTTTAAACGAATGAAAGCCTTTGATGTCCCGCAGTAGAAGCCCCATTTTGTCTGAATGGAGATTTCATCAGAGGATTCCCATTAGTCTCCGCTCAAATGGTCCAGGCCGTCTTGGCGATTGCGCGAGTGGTCACGAGGTGGCAAGCGAACCCTGCTCAGGATCCAATTGCAGTCACTGGAGGTTGTTCACGTGGGAATCGCCCCTTGAATCATCGCGATTCCTGCAGGATGCATCGCCCGTGGCAGAGAGGACTTCGATGTGTTAATAAAAACCCACGGTTTAATTTACAGTATCTTGATCTTTTGCCCACTTAACAGATCCTGTCCGACTTCAAGAAAAGCCTCAATGACGGCTGTGATTTGGAAGCGGTGAGTACGCGCATGCGTTCGGGATGTGGTGGTGGTCATGATAGTGGTGGTGATGATGGTGAAAGTGGTGGTGGTGGTAATGATCACAATGGTGGTGGTGGTGATAATGATGGTGAAAGTGGTGGTGGTGGTGATGGTGATGATCACGGTGGTGGTGGTGGTGGTGGTGATAATGATGGTGAAAAGTGGTGGGTCATGGTGACAATGGAGAAAGGTAGTGGCGATTACGGTCATGGTGGCGGTGAAGGCAGCGGTGGTGGCGCTTACGATGACGATGTCTCACCACCGCAGACCGCCGGTACAATCTCTCGGTATTGTAGATGAAACTCCACATCGCCTGCGGACCTCCGCGTCGATGTAACGAGATGGCGCGGATTTTCCGGATGCCACCGGTTGACGTAACGGACTCTTTAAGCGACACGGTGCCCGGCTGCGCGTGACAGGTCGCGATGGGGGTCGGCGCCGCCGGAGCCGCCGGCGCCGCCGGAGCCAGCGCGGCGAAAAGAGCGGAGGGGAAGCGCGAGGAGCGGAGCGACCCCCGGACCCCCCCCCCGCCCCAGTCGCCCACCAGAGAGGTAGCGGCCGCTGTCCCCCATTCTACAACCCCCACGCATCCAAAGGCAAAGACAAAGATCACCCCCCCTCCCCCCCCCCCGGTTTTGGGGCAAGTGCCGTTAGGTTTAGCGAGCAGCGCCTATGGAAGGCCGGCACTGCACACGAGGGGGAGGGGGGGGGGTGGGTGTTGGCTAACGCCACACCCGGCCGCCTTTGTCTCCACAGTTGGCGATGTTCATGCATCGTGCACCAAGGACTCATTTGAGGCTGAGTCGACCTAGGGGAGGCACGTGACCGATTTCAGATGACCGTCACTGGCGTTCCCTGTGAACTGGAATCGAACTCGGGTCGCCGGGTTCGTAGCGCAGTGCTCGAAGCATTGCGTCACGCATGCTGTCCCTTACGCACACACGAAGCCCCTCGTATGTATGTGTGTTGAACTTCTTTCGCACCGTACGTAGCCATCCCTGCTAATCGGTTGGCTACGGACGGTGGGTGAGGAGCTCCCTCTCCCCCCCCCTCCCCCATGAGTCTAGGACCAGTTCAAATATCACTTGCCACTGATGTTAGCCGTGGATGGGGATCGAACCCAGGTCGGTGGGGTTCATTTGTAGCGCAGTGCTCAAACAAACTGTGCTTGAGCAATCCCCTAGTTTGAAGAGCTATCGAAAACACGCGAGCTCCAGGGCTCCTCAATGTGAACGCTCAGGGCGAGTGCTGTCATCTTCTTGACAATGGGTTGGTGATGTGCTAACACGCAGACTGTGTGTGCCTGTGTTGCGTGCGTGTGTCGCGTGCGTGTGTGTGTGTGTGCGTGCACGCACCTCCTCTGTCAGGCTGCCATGCCACTGCTGGACAAACTCGATATTAACCTGAAAATCTTGCACGAAAACGTTTCCAAAGAGACCTTCCAAAGGTACTTCTCGTTCGTCTTGTCCGTGATTCTCATCGTCAAGACGGCGATTGAATGCGCGAAAAAACAGCATTACTCAAACGGTATTCGTTTCTCTCGTGATAAGCTCAGCACGTGCGGCCGTTTTCTTCCCGTTGACGCAGCATCCTGGCCTTCCTTTGGCACAACATTGTGGACATGTTCAGCAAGGGCTTGCATGAAAACGTGGAGCACACGAAGGAATATTACAAAAAAATCCACAATGTCCTTGAGGTGAGTCTCCGTGAAGTCCTGCTTTTTTTTTCTTTTTAGCCCTTTCACCGTTCTGAGACGCCTGCAAGTTGCAGGGTGTGAGTGTCCCGTTCACCGTTGAACCTGGCCTTTTACTACCGAATCAGAAGAAAAACTAATGACGTACACATACGTACACGTACGTCATCCGAACGGGAAAGGGTTAATTGGCGCTCGTGGCAGGGGAGCAATCGCTTCGAACACTACTCGGCTGTTCATGCCAGTGTCTCATGTCACGCTTTCTGTTCAGACACTTCACTTGCAAAGGTAAAATGTCACGCAGCACCCGTTGTAAAGTTCGATGTAATGCGAACTTTACCGACCACGGCGGTTTTAACATGAATAAACCTGTGCTTGGTTCAAGATACAATAAAAAAAAACACTTGTGTCAAACTGTGCCAAACGCCCTCCCGCGTGCCCTTGCGATTACTCATGACGCGCACGTCATCAGTAATTGAAAAAGGGTTACTCTGACGTAAAAAAAAAACATATATAGCAAAAAACATTTGACAAAATAATGTTCCTTTATAATTGCTGCCCAGTCTGCGGTTGGGTCGCACAGCAAATGCGGTCGTATTGCGGAGTAGCGTAGAGACGACCGTCAACGCAGAAACACCCCCGAGGTCATTGACACCGCGCGTGATGTCTCCTTGATGGATTTCTCCGGTCTCGCCAGACGTCTGGCACTTGTTCACCGCTCGTCGTCAGAGATTTGGCCTCGTGAGCATCATCGCCTTATTCGGGGCTTCATGATGGAGTGTTCAGAATGAAGGGAAAACCCTTTCTTTATTATTCTTAAAGCATTGTTTTTTGTTTAGCTGTCGGTAGATGAGCGGAGAGACCATTAGCTTGCATCACTTGGGACCCCTTTGGTGCCAGGTCACTGACACGCTGGCACCTTGAGCCACCCCACGGCTGTCCACAATCCAGTGCCCCTCCGTGCTTTCCCTTGTTTGTCCTGAGCACCACGATGGCAATTCCACATTTCTACAGCTGGGACCACAGCCTCAGTAGGGGACACATCACCGTGGACTCCCCCGTTAAGTTTTTTTGTCGCCCTGAAAATATGATGAGCTGAGCCGACCCTCGCCAGGATGTTGTCCGTTTGCCTGGGGGGCCTCGCTGCTCTACCAACTGAGCTAATCCCATGGCCTTGTTATGTGAAGAGAGTCATCAAGGTCCTGCATACAGCAGTGCTGACGATACTGGGTCTCACACTCTGAACTGACACCCAGTCTAACACTGTGCGCCGGGTCACAAAAGTGATGTCAATCCATCGGCCGCGGAATATCTATTTATTTATTTATTTCGCGCAGCTGCTGAGCACTCTGCCAAAGTCACGCCACCAGCAACAAACAGCACTATCGCAGTGGTTATCGATTAGAGTTCCCAGATTTATTTTCATTCGTCAAGGAACTTGGGGGGAATAAGATGATGGGAGGTGAATCCAAAGTGGAGCAGTGCGAGGGAAGCAGCAGCAAGAGCAGCAATGTGACCTGCAGAGTGTGATGCAAGGCCGTAATTATAATAGATATTGTGGGGGGACACATCCCCCCCCAATATTCAAATATTCTCAAAATGTCCCCCCCCCCCCAATATATTGCTATAAAATATATTTCTGTTTATATGATTGTGGTTAGGCTTGTACTTTATTAATCCATAACCTCTGCCATTATATACAATGAAACAAGAAAAGGTAAAAAATTAAAAAAACAGAGCAATGTAAATACAATACACTATTAGACATTATTGTAAAAAATAAATACAAAGTCCATCCTGTGTTAGTGCATTTTTAAGTATTTTAGTCAGGAAATGTTGGGAAATTCGTTTTCAAATTTAGATTTTTTTTTCTGGTAGGGGGGGGGGGGGGACTCCAGACCCCCTGGAAGATTTGGTCCCCCCCAAAGTTGACTCCGTGGCTCCGGCCTTGGTGTGGTGAGCGAGGCCGTGTGGGGGATAGGTGGCACAGTAGGGGGTCAGCTGATGCATCTGCCAGTCATCTCTGTCCCGTGACCTTCCGTCAGCGAACCTTCGGCACTTCACGTGGCCTCAAAGTGGACCTGGTCTGGCACAGGCGCCGTGGTGACGTCACCGTCACTTGGCGGGTGTTGGCATTGGGTGAGTGGTGAGTGAGCGAGATTGTTGTTGTGACCTGCAGTGGTGCGGTGGTTGAACACGGCATGGAAGAGATGACGCAGCGAGCCTGCTAGACCGAGCCCTCGACGTGGGTGGAGGTATCAATGAGCAAAGATCACGGCAGCAGTAATTACGGTACTTGCAATAGGAGAGTGATAAGGAGACGACCGGCCGCCGGTAAGTGAGTGGCTGGAGTGAGTTCGCGAGTTGCCGGATCACAGGTCAGCCCGATGACTGCTTTACAATCTGTCCGTGTTTCCCGCAGGCTTTGAAGCAGATGGAGATTGCGGACGGTCACGGGCTGCCAGCGGACTCGGTTCACAGCAAGGAATGCAGAGTAACTCATCGCCATCTCACACGGCTGCCCCCACCTGCATATGTCGATGATGTTAATGATGCTGCATCACACAGACTTGGGCAGCAACAGAATCAAGTGCCCCTCGTATTCGCCGCGGCTTCTCAGAGGGCTTTACATCCCATCTCAACACATTTTAATGCCCCCCCCCCCCCAATAGTGGCGGCAGTCCTTGTGTGGCACAAGGTGACTTCAGCGCCTGGCCTGCAGAAAATGGGCATCGGTCTGCCAGTAGGGGGGTGATGACTGCTACTGTATGCGGTCTAGCCTTTGGCACCACCAGTGGCGGCTGTCCCTGTGTGGCACAAGGTGACTTCAGCGCCTGGCCTGCAGTAAATGGGCATCGGTCCGCAAGTAGAGAGCGATAATTTCCTGCTCTGTTATCGTCCCAATTGAGCGATTCGCGGTGGAAATTTCGAATTTGGCAACACATTTGGACCCTGACCCTGGCACGCAAATGGCCTCCATCTTGGAGATGCCGTCAAGGGATCGTTAATGTCCACTACGAAGCAGACGGCGAATGGTATTCATGTGGTCATTACACCGGTAGTAATTATTATAATTGCACAGTAATAGCCAAGGTGGCCGCTAGATTCGAACCGCGAATATCTGCAACAGGGCCCATGCTTTGAATGATGTTTTGACCGTTCGCTCAATTTCCGTTTTCAGCTTTTCCTTCTCACTATTACTTACAAAAAAGGCAACACATTTTTTATATAATGCGGTGTGGCCTTAAAAGAAAAAAAATATATAATAGTCGACGGTTTGGGCAATGACCCTTCTGTATAGCAACATAAACGAAGAGGCCAGAGATGCAGAGTGGATAATAAGAGTTGGAGACTGCACTTCACACCTTGAGGGCCTGATGAAAATTGTATTTGATATTTTCTGAATACCAAATTTTAAACCGGGCATACGAATATTTACCTAACAGCAGCTCTTGAGTGACAGACAAAGCAAGTGTCGCGAATAAAAACTCATGATTAAAATATTTTATCATCTGCTTTGCTGTACGTCAGAGACATAGAGACTTTGCGACGGATTTTGCGTGTCTAGGATTTGGAGAGAAAACTGAAATTGCTTCGGTGCGACACCAAAGAGCTGATCTGTCTCTATTTCCAAGAGATGGGGAACGAGGTGAGGATTTGCTTTGCATGTGCTTCCTCACGTAACGTCCGTGTCTGTGCACACAAACTACATGAACGCGTACAGCGACAAACGCCATTCGCCACTAAGTGGCGGTGACGTCACAACGGCGCCTGTGCCAGGTCATGTGCACGTTGAGGCCACGTGAAGCGTCGAACACCTGCTGGCAGGACGAGCGACAGACCTAGGTGCCATGTGTTGGCTGACTGAGTTGACTCGCTGATGCACCACCTGTGCCCCCTACTATGCCAACAAAACAAATACAAAGATCCCCCGTGTAGCCTTAACAGACTGTAGGGGCAAGTGCTGTTAGCGAGCACCTATGAAGTCCGGCACGGCACACGGGGGGGGTGGGTGGCCAGCACCGTGCCCAGCCGCCTTTGTTTCCCTAGTGGCGATATTTACACACCGCACCAGGTACTCATTTGAAACTGAGTCGACCTAGGGGGGGCCCGGGAGCGGTTCAGATAATCGTCACTGGTGTTGGCCGTGAGCGGAAATCGAACCCGGGTCGCCGGGTTATTAGCGCAGCGCGCTAACCGCTACACTACCCGCTCCCCTACCGCTCTCACACGATGCTTATTTACATGCCAACAACACAACACACACGCGTACCCAATAATAGCGTGCATATATTCCATGCTGATGCCTAAACGGTTAAATGTTCTTGTATACGGATTGACGTGCACAGTATTGTCCACGCATCGCTCAAGAATAATCACTTGTGGCGTTGTGGAGGATGTCGTAAGCAGGCGTCTCCTTCCTATAGCTCTCTCCATAAAAAAAGAAAACCGATATACGTAGGAGACATTGCTTGCTTAATCATACAAACACAAAGATCCCCGAATAGGCTTACCAGACTGTATGGGCAAGTGCACCTATGAAGGCCGGCACGGCACACGAAGGGGTGGGAGGCCAACACCACGCCAAGCCGCCTTTGTCTCCCCAGTGGTGATGTTTACACACCGCAGCAGGTACCCATTTGAGGCTAAGTCAACCTAGGGGAGGCCCAGCACCGGTTCAGATAACCATCACTGGTGTTGGCCGTGAGCGAGAGTCAAACTCGTGCCGCCGGGTTTGCAGTGCAGCGCGCTAATCGCGACACTACCGCTCCCACACGATGCTTATTTATACACAATGAAAGGGGGTGTGCTGTTGGCAGGCAAAATTTATCCGTGAAAATAACCACCGATTATCACAGTGTGAAAGAAGTTCAACTTATATACAGTAGTCCCTCGGTTAACGGTGACATCGGCTTTTCGGTTAACGTTTCACCTCCCATAGGACCCCACGGTTTCGACTAACGTTAAATTGTTGACTAACGGTACGTTCACGTTATGCACGCGGGTGCCAATTTCGGCCAATCCGAGCACTCGTAAGTGGGTCCGAGCCATGCCCTCAGCCAATCAGCGACGCCCCATTTATGAGCATTTAGACCTCGACTGGCTTTGATTACATTATTCGTTTGCTATTCATATTAATCCTTTAGTATGTTCTTATGATGTTTATTTATTAACATTGAGTGCTTTAACGTTATAAACCATATTTTAAGGGTCAAAAAGGTCAACTTCCAATCGTCTTGAAATGGCGCAATGGTTCGATTAACAGTTCTTTCGGGTAACAGTAGTTTTCATGGAACGGATTAAAAAAACATTGACCGAGGGACATTTGTTAAAGTAATCGCAGGAAAATGCGGATAATCGGTAGCATTTCTCACAAAGCCCCTATTAACCTTTTACAAATCGCAGTGAATATGAAGCGGCGAGGCCTTGCTGCGCTCGCAGCAGCAGCAGCAGCAGCCTATCCCACCCATCGCTGCACGGTGTCGTCTCTCCGTAACGAATGCGATGATTTCGTGGCATAAATCATCCGAGGTACCGACCGCACGGTCGCGTTTTGGCCAAGCTCGAACAAAATTACACGGAGGAGCACATATTACAAATCGAGCGTCTTCGAAGTCATCGGCGATCAGGCTGACACCGTAAGCTCCCAACCGAAACGTTGTTTATTCACCGCCGTCTGCGCCCATTCTATACTCTGACCGCGGCAGTGCTGACTCGGCGCTTTAAAACATCACTAGATTATGAACCCCCGAAGTCACTTGACAGTCCTGCAAAAGCCAAACCGACGTGAGACAAAGTATGTACGTTGAACTTCTTCCACACCGTGTGTAATCAACAGTGATAATCGGAGGTGCAGGAGGGGCAGGACAGCAAACTAATGAGTTTTCACTCTAGATTCAAAAGTGCATCGCCCCAGTGGCTTCCTAATATCGGAACGAAGAGCGTTTCAGACGGCCGCAGAAGCGCATCTGAAAGTGCGCGATGCGGTGACCGTCTTTGTTCGACGCTTGAGCCAAAAGCCACCGCTGTGAGGATGGCTGGAGTTCGTGTGATGATGGTTTATGCTACTTGACGAGATCAGCAAGGTATCGTGGTTCACTTGTGGCAAACACTGTGTTATTAGTACAACATTACAATGTAATGCAGCTCAGCAAGCACTGGATGGACACGGTCGGATCTTGCAGTGTCCATCACGACACGTTGCCTAATCCTTGAAATCCAGAGCGTCTAAATGCACGGATGGCGATGACCATCAGGGTTAAGATTGTTGTTTTTTGTTTTTTTTTGCTGCAGGTGCCAGAAGCGGCGAGCCAGCGAGCGACCATCACGGTGCAGTGCTCCTACAGTCGGCGGAGCCTCGTGGTCAACATCCTCAACGTGAAGAACCTCTCGCCGCCCGAGAAAGCCAGTGAGGGCTGCTCGCGCTCGCCCCCACGGCGCCAATGGCGCAAGAGCGCCGTTCGCTGGCGGTGGCATCGCCGCGGCGCTTGCACTCCGAGGCTCTCGCGCGAAGCGTCAGAACGCTCGCTGGCAGGAGGTCACGTGGGGCAGACCCCGGTGGCACGGGTTGAACCGACCTGAGATCGATGGCGGATGGCGCTGCCTGCGCTCCTGACTGTGCCAAATTCCAGACGCGCACACAGGCACACACACACACACACACAGACCACAATGTGGACTTATATAAAGCGTCTAAATGCAACCACATCTCAAGATGCGGTACAGAACAGCGGGACATGGGATTGTTTGGGAAATCAGGCAGAGAGGGGAGGAGGCATAGGCCGTGGTGAAGAGGAGGAAGCTCCTGAGACAAGAACAAGACGGCTGGAGGAATGTGGTCCCCAGCAGAGGAGGAGGAGTGACCTTCCACTGAGAAAAGTTTGACTGGGAGGGAGGGGGGGGGGGGGCTTCAATAGAAGGCCGTAGTTTTGTTTTGTGAGAGAGCGGAGTGTGTGGAGGGCAACACAGTGAGGTGGGACCGGCCCACGTGTTGCTGACTGGCCTCACCAACCTGCCCCCCTTCCCCCATGGCACCCCCATGGCTCCTGCCTCCCTACCCCTGAATGCGCCACCGAGCCCAGCTCTGGTTTGTGATATGGTTGCCACCCCGGGGGGGGGTGGAGTGAACAGAGGGCGGCTCGTTGGCTTTGCACCTCGGGGACGAGCCCTGACGCTGCGTCCGCTCTCCTCCCGTACCGTCCTGCCCGCCCCGCAGGTGCGCCGGAGATGATCTACATCCAGGTGAGGATGTGCCCGCCGCACGTTTTTCCGAGCACTTCGAAAATGAAGACCTCGTCCTTCAAGCAGGACACCTCGCTCATCATCGACGAGACGATCAGATTGTGAGTGCCGGCATGCGAGGGGAATGGGCATTTACATCCGGCGCCTAAACCTGAGCGCCCTCTACCTACGGAGAGCCCAGTCCGTGCAGCCATGGGGACCCCCGGGCGATGCCGAGCTGCGCCCGACCGCTCGGCACGCTGTTCCCCGGGGCGTAAGGAACATCGGCTATGTCCAGCTCTGGTGGCCGCGTTACGTTTGGGATCCGGTTTAAAGCTCAGCTCTCCAGCTAATGGGTGACCACAGTGGCGAGATGTCAACTACCTCGCCTGGTATACAGGAGGTCGCGGGTTCGATCCCGACCGTGACGCCTGCTGTATATTTGGAGTTTGCGTGTCTCTCTCCCCGTGGTCACGTGGATTTTTCTACGGGTCCTCCGGTTTTTACCTCCGCATTTAAAATCAACATCACGTGTTTTAGAGTATTTGGCTGCTATACATTTCCACGAAGATAAGCCACTTCATTGGGTTATCGCTTAATTCAGTTTAATGAATTAATCACTCTGCCAATTATCGCTTCGACTAGTCCACTAAGTCGCACGGCCCCCCCTCCCCCCCCCCAAAAAAAAATAGCCTCACCTCTGTTCCCACGTGCGGCGCTGGACGGGAGGTCGGCGTCGTCATCGGCAGCGTCCTCGCCGCCCACGTCCTGCCTCCCAGGGAGGACGTGGGCGGCGACAGCTTAGGGAGGGCTTTCATCCAGCAGCGGGTAGATGGCGCCCGATGGCAGCGACGGCTAACGCGTGCATGCAACGTGCGCTTTGGCGCTTGCAGCGAGGTGGACGAGGAGCAGGCGAGGAACGGCAGCTCGTGCCTGCTGCTGCGCGTCAAGAACAAGAGCACGCTGCTCACCGACGTGCTGGGCGAGGCCGTGCTGCTGATGAGCACGGTGCCGGGAGTGTGCACCGACGGGAGGCCCCAGGGACAGCGCAGCCTCTTGCTGTGGCCGCACAACTACGGTGAGCTCGCCCGGGGTCACGGGGGCGGTTTCCGACACGAGTCTGCTGCCGTCACTCTTTGACTCTAGGACGGGTCCCGCAGCTGCCTCGCGGCGAGCGGCGTCTTCTCCACCGGCCTCCGAGCCGCGGACGGGAGCCAGGGAGAGCCGCGGTAGACGGCCAACCAGGACTGGTGATCGCCGTTTGCGATTTGCAGGGGTTGAGCCGCCCGCCGTGCGATTGTCTGACGTTTTGCTCCACGTGCTGAGAGCATCTTTGGGAAGTGAATTGAGCAGCCCGCTTTTTATTTGTACTCAAATCCTCCCAACTCACCCATTGTTTAGCTCCTGCATCAGCGTGTTGCTTGCCCAGCTCTCAGCCCCTGTCCACTCACTTTGGAACCCTTCTAAGCAGTTACATTTGGAGGCTTTGCCCACTGACAAAGAAATGATCAGTCTATAATTTAATGGTAGGTTTATTTGAACAGTGCGAGACAGAATAACAACAAAAAAATCCAGAAAAACGCATGTCAAAAATGTTATAAATTGATTTGCATTTTAATGAGGGAAACAAGTATTTGACCCCTTTGCAAAACATGACTTAGTACTTGGTGGCGAAACCCTTGTTGGCAATCACAGAGGTCAGACGTTTCTTGTAGTTGGCCACCAGGTTTGCACACATCTCAGGAGGGATTTTGTCCCACTCCTCTTTGCAGATCTTCTCCAAGTCATTAAGGTTACGAGGCTGACGTTTGGCAACTCGAACCTTCAGCTCCTTCCACAGAATTTCTATGGGATTAAGGTCTGGAGACTGGCTAGGCCACTCCAGGACCTTAATGTGCTTCTTCTTGAGCCACTCCTTTGTTGCCTTGACCGTGTGTTTTGGGTCATTGTCATGCTGGAATACCCATCCACGACCCATTTTCAATGCCCTGGCTGAGGGAAGGAGGTTCTCACCCAAGATTTGACAGTACATGGCCCCGTCCATCGTGCCTTTGATGCGGTGAAGTTGTCCTGCCCCCTTAGCAGAAAAAACACCTCCAAAGCATAATGTTTCCACCTCCATGTTTGATGGTTGGGATGGTGTTCTTGGGGTCATAGGCAGCATTCCTCCTCCAAACACGGCGAGTTGAGTTGATGCCAAAGAGCTCCATTTTGGTCTCATCTGACCACAACACTTTCACCCAGTTGTCCTCTGAATCATTCAGATGTTCATTGGCAAACTTCAGACGGGCATGTATATGTGCTTTCTTGAGCAGGGGGACCTTGCGGGCGCTGCAGGATTTCAGTCCTTCACGGCGTAGTGTGTTACCAATTGTTTTCTTGGTGACTATGGTCCCAGCTGCCTTGAGATCATTGACAAGATCCTCCCGTGTAGTTCTGGGCTGATTCCTCACCGTTCTCATGAGCATTGCAACTCCACGAGGTGAGATCTTGCATGGAGCCCCAGGCCGAGGGAGATTGACAGTTCTTTTGTGTTTCTTCCATGTGCGAATAATCGCACCAACTGTTGTCACCTTCTCACCAAGCTGCTTCGCAATGATCTTGTAGCCCATCCCAGCCTTGTGTAGGTCTACAATCTTGTCCCTGACATCCTTGGAGAGCTCTTTGGTCTTGGCCATGGTGGAGAGTTTGGAATCTGATTGATTGCTTCATTGGACAGGTGTCTTTTATACAGGTAACAAGCTGAGATTAGGAGCACTCCCTTTAAGAGTGTGCTCCTAATATCAGCTCGTTACATGTATAAAAGACACCTGGGAGCCAGAAATCGTTCTGATTGAGGGGGTCAAATACTTATTTCCCTCATTAAAATGCAAATCAATTCATAACATTTTTGACATGCGTTCTTCTGGATTTTGTTGTTGTTATTCGGTCTCTCACTGTTCAAATAAACCTACCATTTAAATTCTAGACTGATCATTTCTGTGTCAGTGGGAAAACGTACAAAATCAGCAGGAGATCAAATACTTTTTCCCCCAATGTACATCACTTAAACGCCAATATTCAGGGTCTCTGAGGTTGGGTGGGGGTTGGGGGGGGGGTGTTACCCCATTGTCCCTTTTCTTTGGATCCGCCACCACAGGCCTCTAGCGCGGTGCCTGCTCCGTGTACCGAGCCTCCTCACCCCGTCTCCCCCCTCCCCCCTCCCCCCCCCCCCGGCAGACAGCGACATCTTGGCCGTGCTGGACAAGCGCGTGGCCGAGGAAGAGTCGCGCGACTTCCTGCAGGCGCTGGGCCGGCTCGAGAGCCCGGCCCGCAGCTCCGTGCGGCGGATCACGCAGGTAGACGTTCGCCACCGCGAGGCCGCACGTCGCACGTCGCACACACGGCAGGCTGCGTGGGGACGAGAGCTTCACCCGTGCAGCCAAATTGCCAAACGCTTACCTGGGTCTTGAAATCGAAACTGGAAGGAAAGGGAAAAACAATAAAACGAGAGTCACGTTGATAGCTCATGGACATTGATGAAACTTCGTACTCGAAATGTCAATGTCGTGGGTTCACTCTCCAACACACCGGTGTGCTGAACTAGTAACTAATTGGCACGTTCTGTTTACGTGACAAACCTTGCTAATTGGCCATGTCGGGTGGTGGCGGAGTTTAACGACACATTTTTGTTTACTCAATCTAACCCAAAACAAACACCTCTTGTGGATGAGATCAACCAAGTCGGGGTTCGGAATGATTCGCGAATGAAATGGGAGCGACAATAGGTGCCGCGCTTCTTGATTTCAAGAAAGCTGAGAGAGAGACCTGCTGAGAGAGAGAGAGTGCCCCGCATTCACGGAGGGTCACTCGGAGAGTGCCGAACCTGTGGGCATCCGCGGGAAATGAGAATCGTCGGGAGTCCACACCCGCGCGCAATTCAAACAAAAAGCGAGCGCGTGGCCGCACGTACAACTTCGCGAGCGCCGTTGCTGTCCGCGTTTTACATCGCATGCTGTTGCTTGTGCCGCTGCTGCTGTTGTCGTCTTACAGAGAAGCTCCACCATGAGGAACAGCATACGCATCCTGAAGTTAAAGGCGTTCAAGCGATGAGGGAGCCATGGAAGAGACCCCACCTTCGACCCGGCTCGTTTCCCTTCCCGTTTGGTCACAATAGTTTTTCGCCGAAAAAAAAAAAATCGCTAAAAGTCAGCATCCGCCGTGAATTTCGGGAATGTTGCTTGTGGTAATCTTGCGTGTGATTCTTCTCATCGCAGATGATGGCTTTTTCTTCGTTCAATGTAAGTAGTAGAATTTGACAAATTAGGTGGGTTTTACTTAAATGTCGTAGAAATGGTCTTTGGGTCGCATTTGGCGCCAGGTGCGTCATAATGCAATTTCTTTTAATGTATTAACGAGTACAATATATCTTCTTTGGTTCTTTCGGTAAAGTCACGTAGAATGAGAATAAAACAATAAATTAATCAAATAACACAATAAAATTCTCACGACGTTTCGGCCACAACACAGGCGGCCTTCATCAGGTGAAGGGATGAGACTGTCTGGAGGACAGCGCTGTCCTACCAGACAGTCTCGTCCCTTCACCTGATGAAGGCTGCCTGTATTGTGGCCGAAACGTCGTGAGAATTTTATTGTGTTATTTTATTTTATCAATTTATTATTTTATTCTCATTCTACGTGACTTTACCGAAAGAACCAAAGAAGATGAATCCCTGCAGTCACGAAAGCTTTAAATCGAGTACAATATAGTGGATCTGACGATCCTTTAAACGCGAATCGCTGAATTTGAGGATTCCCTTTCCCGCCACACAATCCTTTAAGCATTTCAGCCTTTCCTCCCGTTAGTCCGACTCGCGTTGCTCGACGCTTGATTGACCGCGAGAGATTCATCCAGTCGAGCACGTTGATCTCGTGAAAGGAGCGTAAATCACCACCAGGCGAACTCCCCTGGTCATCCTCGCAGCAGCAGCAGCGGCTTTTTGCTAAATTGTCCAGCACAGCGGAGCGTTGAAGTAGAAAACAGGCTGCCACGTTGGTTCACGCGACAACTTCACTCGTTGGCTTTGGTCGAGCGTCGCCGCATCGCGCGGCACTTTCAGGTGCGCTTCTGCGGGCCGTCTGGAACGCTCTTTCCTTCCGATATTAGGAAGCCACTGGAGCTGTGCACTTTTGAATGTAGATTGAGATCTCATTTCTCTACAACGGCTTTTTGTGTTGAGTTTGTTGTCCGTCGATTAGTACGGTTGGCTACTTCCGTGCGAAAGAAGTTAAACGCACACACACACACATGCACACGATCCTTCAGTGAACTTACACTTGTTACGACCGATGTGGTGAACCCAAGCAACAACGTGACCCTTGCATAATTATGAAATCTGAATACAGCGCCCAAAATAAGTGGCACCGAGCAATAAAGGAGAATAATGAAGGACTGGGAATTAATAAAATGTTGCATGTATTTATTTATTGAGCACTTCAATTCCGTGGTATCTCTCGCGGTACTTCACCAACGCACAGGTAATGGCGTCGAAGGAAGACGGAGACAACAATTAAAGCTTACGAAACGACAAGAATGAGAATGCACGTTGTATGTTTTTTTTTAACGTTACAATACCGTACTTGCTGTGAACACGAATCTCCATTTCTAATGGGTGGAATGCACTGTGGTAATTTCACGGGAATGATGTCTTCACTCTGACGACATTTTCCTAGAACACCAGAGGACCTGGAGAAACATCCACGCGACCACGGGGAGATAGACACTGCACACTCCACATGTACAGGCGTCAGGGTCGTCGGGATTGACCCCACGACCTTCTGTACACCAGGCGAGGTAGTTAACATCGCGGCACCGTGGTGTCCAGGGTGGCGGGACGTGGGTGCCCTCGCTTGCTACGTAAATGTGAAGGGTAATGAGAAGGATATGGTCAACTTCATGGCCAGTTGTCCATCACGAAAAACAAAAAAATGGCCCCTAAGCACCCGGATCACCGGGCCCAGCCAAAAAAACATCTCACGGGGCACAACCGATGGCACAAGACGACGAGCAGCACCAAAAGTACGAGCTCTGGCTCATTGCCAAGCGCCGCACGGACTGAAGGGAGGTGAACGTCAGCGGCATCCAAAGGGATGCCCCCAAAGTTCGTGTCGGGTCACGGGGATCGTGTAAACGTTGCGGAGTGCGAGTCGTCGTCGTCGTCGTCGGCGGCTACGATGAATCCACTGCTGCATGAAGGCCTCCGCTAGCCCCGTCGCCTTCTCTCATGGCTCCACGGCGCAACAATCAGCGTCGTTTGTAGAACTGTGTCAGTACTTGTTGCAGTGAGTACCTGAGACACTGTCAGTACTTGCTGCAGTGAGTACTTGAGACACTGTGTCAGTACTTGTTGCAGTGAGTACCTGAGACACTGTGTCAGTACTTGCTGCAGTGAGTACTTGAGACACTGTGTCAGTACTTGCTGCAGTGAGTACCTGAGACAGTGTGTCAGAACTTGCTGTGAGTACCTGAGACACTGTCAGTACTTGCTGTGAGTACCTGAGACACTGTCAGTACTTGCTGTGAGTACCTGAGACACTGTGTCAGTACTTGCTGTGAGTACCTGAGACACTGTGTCAGTACTTGCTGTAGTGAGTACTTGAGACACTGTGTCAGTACTTGCTGTGAGTACCTGAGACACTGTGTCAGTACTTGCTGTAGTGAGTACTTGAGACACTGTGTCAGTACTTGCAGTGAGTACCTGAGACACTGTGTCAGTACTTGCTGTTGTGAGTACCTGAGACACTGTGTCAGTACTTTCTGCAGTGAGTACTTGAGACACTGTGTCAGTACTTGCTGCAGTGAGTACTTGAGACACTGTGTCAGTACTTGCTGCAGTGAGTACTTGAGACACTGTGTCAGTACTTGCTGCAGTGAGTACCTGAGACACTGCGTCAGTACTTGCTGCAGTGAGTACTTGAGACACTGTGTCAGTACTTGCTGTGAGTACCTGAGACACTGTGTCAGTACTTGCTGTAGTGAGTACTTGAGACACTGTCAGTACTTGCAGTGAGTACCTGAGACACTGTGTCAGTACTTGCTGTTGTGAGTACCTGAGACACTGTGTCAGTACTTTCTGCAGTGAGTACTTGAGACACTGTGTCAGTACTTGCTGCAGTGAGTACTTGAGACACTGTGTCAGTACTTGCTGCAGTGAGTACTTGAGACACTGTGTCAGTACTTGCTGCAGTGAGTACCTGAGACACTGCGTCAGTACTTGCTGCAGTGAGTACTTGAGACACTGTGTCAGTACTTGCTGTGAGTACCTGAGACACTGTGTCAGTACTTGCTGTAGTGAGTACTTGAGACACTGTGTCAGTACTTGCTGCAGTGAGTACCTGAGACACTGTGTCAGTACTTGCTGCAGTGAGTACTTGAGACACTGTCAGTACTTGCTGCAGTGAGTACCTGAGACACAGTGTCAGTACTTGCTGCAGTGAGTACTTGAGACACTGTGTCAGTACTTGCTGCAGTGAGTACTTGAGACACAGTGTCAGTACTTGCTGTGAGTACCTGAGACACTGTGTCAGTACTTGCTGTGAGTACCTGAGACACTGTCAGTACTTGCTGCAGTGAGTACTTGAGACACTGTGTCAGTACTTGCTGCAGTGAGTACTTGAGACACTGTGTCAGTACTTGCTGCAGTGAGTACTTGAGACACTGTGTCAGTACTTGCTGCTGTGAGTACCTGAGACACTGTCAGTACTTGCTGTGAGTACCTGAGACACTGTGTCAGTACTTGCTGCTGTGAGTACCTGAGACACTGTCAGTACTTGCTGCTGTGAGTACTTGAGACACTGTGTCAGTACTTGCTGTGAGTACCTGAGACACTGTGTCAGTACTTGCTGCAGTGAGTACCTGAGACACTGTGTCAGTACTTGCTGCAGTGAGTACCTGAGACACTGTCAGTACTTGCTGTGAGTACCTGAGACACTGTCAGTACTTGCTGCAGTGAGTACCTGAGACACTGTGTCAGTACTTGCTGCGAGTACCTGAGACACTGTCAGTACTTGCTGCAGTGAGTACTTGAGACACTGTGTCAGTACTTGCTGCAGTGAGTACCTGAGACACTGTGTCAGTACTTGCTGCAGTGAGTACTTGAGACACTGTGTCAGTACTTGCTGCAGTGAGTACCTGAGACACTGTGTCAGTACTTGCTGTGAGTACCTGAGACACTGTGTCAGTACTTGCTGCAGTGAGTACTTGAGACACTGTGTCAGTACTTGCTGCTGTGAGTACCTGAGACACTGTGTCAGTACTTGCTGTGTGTACCTGAGACACTGTGTCAGTACTTGCTGCAGTGAGTACCTGAGACACTGGCAGTACTTTCTGCAGTGAGTACCTGAGACACTGTGTCAGTACTTGCTGCAGTGAGTACTTGAGACACTGTGTCAGTACTTGCGGCAGTGAGTACTTGAGACACTGTGTCAGTACTTGCTGCAGTGAGTACTTGAGACACAGTGTCAGTACTTGCTGCAGTGAGTACTTGAGACACTGTGTCAGTACTTGCTGCAGTGAGTACCTGAGACACTGTGTCAGTACTTGCTGCCGTGAGTACCTGAGACACGATTCCTTGCTAAAGGTTTCTGTTTGGTGTTTTCGTGGTGCCACAGCTGAGAATCCGCTCCGTCGGAGCCGTGCCGGCAACGCCACCACGGGAGAGCGTCCGGGCCGATGCTGCTTCTCCCTCACCACCCCCCGAATGAGCACCACACAGCACACTACACACACAACACACAGCACACTACACACACACACTACACACACAACACACACTACACACACAACACACTACACACACAGCACACACTACACACACAACACACTACACACACAGCACACACAACACACTACACACACAGCACACACACAACACAGCACACTACACACACAGCACACACACAGCACACTACACACACACAGCACACACACACTACACACACAGCACACTACACACACAACACACACAGCACACACAACACACTACACACACTACACACACACACTACACACACAGCACACTACACACACACAACACACACACTACACACACTACACACACACACTACACACACACAGCACACTACACACACACACAACACACACAGCACACACAATACACTACACACACACTACACACACACTACACACACAGCACACACACAACACACACACAGCACACACACTACACACACACTACACACACTACACACACAGCACACACACACAGCACACACACAACACACTACACACACAACACACACAACACACTACACACACAACACACTACACACACTACACACACTACACAGCACACTACACACACCCTACACACTACACACACACTACACACACAACACACTACACACACTACACACACAGCACACACACACACAACACACACAGCACACACACACACAACACACACTACACACACAGCACACACACAGCACACTACACACACACAGCACACACACAACACACACACACAACACACACACACACACTAAACACACTACACACACAACACACTACACACACCCCCACGTAGGATCTCGTAAGGTCACCTGGCCTCCAGGTTTTCACCCGGGGGCCCTCCTCGTAGGGACATCCCCCCACGGTTTCCTGGGGCCAGGGAATTGGCCGACTTCCCCCGGGTTGAATTACACCGCAGAGCCGTGAGTTGACGTGCAAACGCATGGTCACGACGAGGCTACTCAGTCGCCGCCGTTAGGTCCACACGAGCACCAGGTGAAGCATCTGATTGGCCGGAAAAGCACGCTTGCACGCCGTGGCCAATGGCAACGGCCCAGCGGCGGCCCCTGTTGATGGGTAGAGAGGGAAGCGGACGTCGGTGAAGGCACCGAGGCGGGCGCACCGATGGCGGTGGGGTATCGGGAGAGCGACGATGGGCAGTTCGTGTTCTCCTCAAGTCAGCTATCGGAGCAGTCAGCTTGCCGGCCACTGGGTCGTCCGTGTGACGAGTCTCAGCGCGGCCAGGCTCCGCTCCCAGCAAGAACCTCGTGCAGCCTGGTCTCTCCTCGACGGCTTCCCGCGCATCCGAGGCGAACCAAGAGTACGAAAGAGAGAGAGAGTTTGGATTTAAGCGTAAAAGCCTAGGGAGGTTAAGTCGAAATAGACGGGACAGATTGGGTCTTAGACCGTCGGGAATAGGTTAGTTATTCTACTAACATTGACTCCGGGCTACGTAATATTTAGCCTCGGACTCGCCGAGAATAAACTGTTGGTGATCAATAAACCTTGTCGTGTGGTTTCTGCGAGTGTGGAACGGGCGCATGGTGGTGCGAGTCCGCTCGCCGTGGTGCGGGGATTTGCGCGCGGGTAACTCTGTTGTGTGCGCGCCCGACCGTGGTTCCTGCGTCGTTGTACCCACGTGTTTGCGCGCGAGTGTGTATCTACCCACGTGTTTGCACGCGAGTGTGTATTTACCCAGTGTGTTTGCGCGTGAGTGTGTACCTACCCACGTGTTTGTGCGCGAGTGTGTATCTACCCACGTGTTTGCACGCGAGTGTGCATGTACCCACGTGTTTGCGCTTGCCCATGCGTGTAGCTCGTGGTTAGCGTGTGGTGAGCGGCAGCGGACTCGTACAGGGGCACGTGAGATTACTCATACGGCCTTTTGTTGAACGTTGTGCCCGCGGTGAGCGACGGTGGACTCGCCCGGGGACACGTGGGATTATTCATACAGCCCTTTAAATAATCTCCCAGACACCCCCTCCAATCGGCTACGTGTGTATGAGTGACGTCACTGCCCTTTAACCCCCCCCCCCCCCGTTCCACGCGTGTGATTGGTGCGCGGCACGGTAGAGCGGCGGCGTCGGATTGTGTGGCTGCGTGTTGGCGAGTGTGCGCAGAGAGCGTGTTAACGGACCCCAGGTGGCTCAGCGCCAGCCGCGAGTCATGCCCCATAGAGAGGACGTGGAGTCGGCGAGGTAGTGGACTCGAGGGGCCGCGGCGAGAGGGGGGTCGGGGAGCAGTGACTCTCCCCAGGAAGAGGGGAGCCGGGGGTTCGGCCTCCCCCACATTTTAACATCTTAACACCTCCTCTGTTTTATTGGCAGAAAGAGTGAAACCTCTTCTTACAGGTCCACAACGAAACAGACCGCACGCTTGGCGAATTTTGCGATCGTTTATTCGTAGGGGGACATGTCAGCTGTCTCAAAGCGTTTAACACCACGATGTCGTCATACAAGACACGTCCAGAACACACCACCCACGTGTCACGATCTGTGGTGCATTTCGTAACATTCACCGCCATCATTGCACGCGAGATATTGCATTGGGGGAATACCTCGCCGAATCTCGCCACTTCCAACGAGGATAATGTTTGAAAGGAGCATCGTTCGAGTCGTTGACTATAATGTTTAGGCCATTGTGGATGAAGGCCTCCCCCCCCCCCACATGCCGCGCCGGTCGTGGGGGGGGTCGCTTTGACCATACTTCACCACAACGGGCAGTGAAGGGACTGCCCGGGGCCAGATTGAGGTATCACTCGCCCCAGAGGATTCACAGCGGAGCGAGCTAAGCTGACAAATGCGGCTCTCTCCACTTCACCCACTCACGGTTATGGATTGGGGTTCTTAGCATCATCGCGAAAACGTTTGAATCCACAAACGGGAACGGCAGTGAAACGTTGCCCACTGACGATAAATCGTTTAAGGGGCCGTCCATAAATGACGTCACGCGATTTTTGACCCCCCCCCGTCGTCACACGGTGTCACAAAGTCAGACCCCCCCCCCTCAAATATGACGTCACAAAGCTCTGCCCCCCCCCCCCCCAAAAACCACACATGCTGCAAATCGCTTTAAACTATCGTCATTGTAGTGCGTATTTAACGTGGCGCTGCACTCTGATGTTGTAGAAAACATTTATTAAAAAGTCTATTTAATTAAGTAGAACGTGTTGTCTCTATTTAAAGTTGCGCATTTTTGATGTGACGTCACATTTCTCAACCCCCCCCCCCCCCCTCGTCACACATCGTCACAAATGTCTGACCCCCCCAGGTGCGTGACGTCATTTATGGACGGCCCCTAAGTAAGAATGTTGATTCCAATTGAAACATACGATAACGTATATATTACGATCATAAAGAATAGGTAAATACATTCTAATACTAGAGTGAACTCTCTATATTTCATATAATTATATTAATGTATTCATAGTCTACATACAAAAAAATCATTTTCGGATAGATCCGTGGACTTGTTAGGGTTCATGTCCGACGTTTTGCTCCACCTACCGGGGAGCTTCAGGAACCCAATTCCCCCATCGACACTCCCTACTTGCAAAAGTTCCTGAAGAAGACCCCAGCGCAGGCACCGAAACGTTGGACACCGTGCTGAACACCACACGGCAAACCCTGAAAACACACGGGAGGGCTAAGGCACTGCTGACAAGCGCTCACAATTCGTATGCAGGATCGAAGTTTCACCAAAGCGCTGCCAATAGTCGTGCTGCTGGGTCAAAATCTTCCAAATTTGAAAATGACACGGCACGTTACTCGATTGGGATTCTACAAAGCAGCAAATCATCGCCACCCACTGGCAGCACTCATGCCCCGGGTCACTCTTGCAAATGACGCTCATCCCTTGGATCCCTTGGTTACACACAATCATCCTGAAAGACGACCCGCTCGAGTAATATAATAACGGTTTTATTCATAGCTAGAATGTAACGATAGTACAAAATAACGTAAATAATTCAAAGTACTGTATTAAATTGAAATAGACATTAAAATCTGTAAATTTGAATATTCCTAGTATATATGTCAAAGAGTACAAAAATCAATATCTATCTAAAACACCACGATCACAGCTCTAAACGCGTGGTCAATTTCCCATTCAGGGCCCACCTATGCGTTCCTGTCAACCAGGCTCTCTTCCTTGAGCTCGGGCGCCTCTCCGGACCCGCTTCGGGCAAGCGCGTGCACAATGCCCTTTTTTCCACCTGGCACATCCGAGCCGCGCCAGGGGAGGGGCCCACAAACCGGGTACGGGACGCTTCTCCCCACGAAGCCAAAACCGCATCATTGCACCTCCAATTGGCGCACGGTTGGCAAAGTACGGCGCGAAAGAAGTTCAGCGTACATACACTGCCAACATTATGCCGACCTCGCAAGACAGCTCGGGGGGGGGGGGGGGGGTTGACCAGGGTCCTTGGGGACGGAATTAAATCAATGTGAGCGTGCGTTGCGTAGGCCGGTGCAAGCAGATGTGTGACGCCGGTGGCTCGGCTCGGGGTTCGCGCAGTGGAAGATCGGACACGCTGCCTCCCGAGATGGCTCGGGCACGGTCCCACAGCGCGGCTCGCTTTAAGAGGTTGTGAGAAGCAGGGCTCTAGGACTTTTGACTTTGATTGGCGACTACAGCAGCGGGAGCACACACTTGCGGTTCCGGTTCGACCTGAAAATCGATTTGGATAATTTGGCCGAATATCGGGTCGAGTACAAATTTGACGATCAGAAAAATCACAAAAGGTCATAAGCCGACTTGCTTGTAACAGAAAAAAAAAAGCAGGGAAATGTTTTGACAGCCATTTTTCAAGTCCACCGCTGGATGAAGGCATCCACACGGTGTGGTCCTCGGGGTTTTGTCCGACCACTCAAAAACACGCCGGCCAGTGCAGCCGGTTCAGATGTCGCTCGACTCGCCGCGATTCAGTTCAAAGAATACATTCCGTGTTTGTGGTTCTCTTGCGAAACGCAGCCGCCTCTGTGTGACCTGGTCAAGTCAGGCCCAAGCTGTGCTCCCACCGGTAGCCACCTTCTGGCACAAATACTTGCACACGCGCAGTGTGACAACATTTTTGGTGGTCTTCATTGCGAAGAGGTTGTCTCAAAAGGTTTTTTTATTTTTTTTGGTATAAATTTGGGTCACTTCAATTCGTTTAGATCAGTGCTTGGCAACCCGTGTGCCCGCAACATCTTCTCAATTTACAGCAAAGGAAAAAGATCCTTCTCCGTTTGCAAGCTGGGACAGACGGAACTCTCCTCTCCACGTCAGCCACCACCCCGGGCCCTCTCGGCTGCCTCGACCTCGCGCAGTTCGTCAAAACGGATTCTTTAGGTTCAGCGCGCCGCGAAGATCAGGCAAACTCCAAACGTGAGCGCCGTGGACTGAAACGGGTTGACAAGCAACGATTTAGATGCAAGGAAGATCAAAGCGCTTGGTTACTGTAATACTGCTAAATGTCGTGACACGGGCCGAGACCGAGCCAGACTATCACGAGTTGATTTACTGAAACCACTCGGTAACTCCATAGGCAAGACTTGTGCAATTACTACTCAATTATTAAAAAACGTGATTACCAATGGTCCAGTCATGGTTTAGGCTTTTGCAGGTCTCCATTGTAACAGAGAACTCTTCTTCATCCGCTTTACCTCACCTCATCTCGTACAAATCATTAACACAATCATCCCCACTTTCTACTTTACAACCCAATATCACTATTATATTACTGCTATTAGTATTATTAGAATTCTAAATTCACGTATTTCTATTTGGTTATATAAAATACATTATTTATTTTATGCTCTAAAAAGTAATCAACATTTGTTAAATCGAACCAGGAATAAACTTATACATATATCAATTCCATTATTTTATTGTTTTTACTCATTAAATAATGCATTAAGAATATTTCTATTTTAATAAAGATAAACAGTTAAAATATTTGTTCTTATCATCTTATCTAATATTATCTATTGCTTAATATAAACTGTTTGGATGTGGTCCAAGAAAAAAGGCACAGGAATGTTGCTTTTACGAATGTCCGGTGGCACGGTGGCACTCACAGACAATCGAGTGAAGAGAGCTCGCCACATACCACACAAATAAAATGCATCTCACAGCTCACCAAAGCCTTTGAATTGTCTCCACTTCTTGGTGTGTTTGTGCCTGCCGTGCGGATTGTGAAGCCAAGCCGCCGTTGACCCGACCGCAGCGATTCATTACGCTTTGCCATCGTGTATTTGGCTGGATAGGTTGGCTACTTAACAGCCTTTGCGGCGAGATTCACAGTTGCAGAAGAAACTGTTTCTACTTGCGCAAGGCCAAGATGCCACTCGGTCACGCACATTCGTCTATGTTCTGTCAATACAGTAACTGCAGCGTGCACAAGTATCCATATATACAATTGTCGAGGAGATGGCCCTGCAATTATTCTCGCCAACCACAAATTGTCCAGGAAATTATTCAGGACGGCGGATGAAAAAAAAAACTTGTAAATTCTCTATCATGGCACAGAAATCGGTAATCGAATCTTTGAGCAGACTTGGGCTTTAGCGACCAATGTTACGATTCGTAAACGACTTTCAGATCAGTTCGCGCAAGTAAAGTGCGTGTCCTATACCCTCCTCCAGCTGACAGCCAGTTACGTGAACAAAACGTGCTAGCTTATCGCTGCCGCAGCACCCCGGGTGTGTTAGAGAGCGATCCAGACGTCTTTAACAATTGCGTACGTTTCGCTGCTGGTGACAAAGCACCAGCATCATCAGGCAGTTGCCAGGATTGTGGCTCTCCAACACAGCGGAGAGCTGAAGTAGAAAACAGGCTGCCACGTTGGTTCACGCGACAACTTCACTCATTGGCTTAGGTCGAGCGTCACCGCATCGCGCGCTTTCAGGTGCGCTTCTGCGGGCCGTCTGGAATGCTCTTCTTTCCGATATTAGGAAGCCACTGGGAGCTATGGGCTTTAAAATCATCTCGATTGAAAACTAATTTCCTTACAACTGCCTTTTCTTTTCAATACGTTATCCTTCCCCCGGGCATCTCCGATTAGCACGGTCGGCTACGTACGGTGTGAAAGAAGTTAAACTTCACACATTTTTATTTTACGCGTTCTGACCCCACATTTGTTTTAATTACGACTCAAACGAAGAGTCTCTTCACCCCCAATGCCCGTGCACTTACAAGAGGAACCACTCACAAAGCCGGTCCCCAGAAACTACGGAACACGCGCTGCCCTGGACGCAGAGGAATCGCATGCATACATCAGCCCTCCTGCGACAGCGAGGGCCCCCCTTGCCTCATATTGATAATTGTTATTGTAAACATTACTTTAATATTGCTAAAATTTATTTAAAAACACATTCGTATTTAATTAAGGTTTACTCGTCATTCTAAAATATATTTTTTCTGAATGAAATGGTTAAAAGGAATTACATGATCGTTGATATAAATTCAAATATGTATTATTAAGAAATGATTGGATGCATTATGAAACAACTGGAATGAATACGATCCAGACCAGAACTCGCTGTGGGCCACTCATAAAATAAAAAATCATCAAAATCCTCCTACCTGCAAACCCTATTATCCACACAGGGTCAAGGAATCGGCAAAACCCTTCACGATATCTGCGAACAAAGCAAAAATAAACACCTGTCTATGTGTGGGGCTTCGAGAAATGCCTGCCCTGTTGGCACGCCTCTCTCTACGCAACAAATAAAAAAAGCTACCAGGGCCACGACTCTCTACCCTTCCTCTTCCCTGTGGGGTGGAAGACCAATTGCTCTGCTCTGTGAATTGCAGAAAAGGGGGCAAACAAAGCCCCCCCCCCCCCACACTGTACGCTGCTGCGTTCGCCACGATCGCCGTAACCGCCGTGTTAGTTATATGCCAACGACAGCCGACGCTCCCTCAACAACCACCACCCCCCCCATCCCCACCCTTGCATTCGTTCATTCATTCAAAATAGCACATTCATTGGCTGGGAAGATCTTAATACAAAGAGAGGACCGTAGAGCTTGGGCAGTTTCTGGTGCCGGCTCACCGACTCGGAGGGCCCCTCCTCGGGCCCTCCGAGTCGTTCCCTCGCTTGAAGAACGAGCGAGCGAGCACTGTGCGGCGGCGCATCACAAGTCGAAATGCTCATCGTCGTTTTTCCGCGGATTATTTTTTTTTAATATATATACACAAACTCTGAAAAGAAAAAAAGCGGCTGCAAGAACTAAACGGCCGGAAGAAAGGCGAAAGACTACAAAGGGGCCGGTACTTTCTCGTGCGAGCTCAAGACCGTTGTTTCATCACCGCGCCGCGGCGGCAGCGGTGGGGGCCAGGGTCCCCGTGGTGAGACCCGAGCGGAGGAGGCGGCTCGGGGGAGCGCGCCAGAGCGGCGGAGACCACACCGCGGTGGCGCTAGTCTCGCCACCGGAATAGCATTCGACGAATTGCATTTCGCATTGAATACTGTTTAAGTGTTACGGGCAATACGGTGCCGACCGCACCACAACAGTTAAAAGTAGTTAAAAAAAAAAGGCCCCCGGCCAGTGCGTAGTATACAGCACGAGTTACAAACGTTCGTTTGCCATTATACAGTAGTTATAGTTTATACTATGAAAAAATGACGTCTAAAATATTTAATTTTTACAAAGTTGCGTGAATGCGATTAGGAAATTCTCTCTCAAAAGAGGACCCTCAAATTCCATTAAACAGACACCTATAACAGACTCCATTTAAAGTATACAACACACGGATGTATCAACACACATCATTAATACACACAAGGTGTCAATAAGGGCATCATTAAGTCCGATTATATTGCATTAATAAAATGTGGATACTGCAGCAGGTACTTCCAGGATCAGGGTTCACCTCACGCTGCTGTTGCCTATGTGGGGAATGGTGCGCTGCATGGATGCTTCTGTTCTGTTCTATGATCACAGACGCAAATTAAAACGGAATGAGGGCCCGTGTCTAAATCATTAATACCGCAGAAGCTGGGAGGCCCAAATCCCTGCCCTCCCCTCTGGCCAGCGCAGCCCAGTCTAGCAAGGAATATAGAGGCAGGCAGAGGGTGCCTGCGACGCACATATATATTAAAAAAAAGCAGAGGCATTTAATAAGGCAAAAGTAATAAAGTCTGTAAAATATAACTAGGTGTGTTAAATAAAGTCATAAATACGCACAAGTTTTCTTATTAATAAAGAAATCCCCTCGCCATCACGCACGCTCAAGGTCGGCCAATGTTGCTCTTGGTTACCACGACAATGACAAGATGCGCCCACCCCCCCCAATCCGTCCAGCTCGAGAGCACGTCTCTTGTGCAAAAACACAAAAAAAACTTTAAAAAGGCGCCGGAACAGACTTGAGAGTGGCAGACCAGGCACGCCTTAATTCCCTCCACGTTGCAGTCATTGCTAGACGGAGAAACCCGGCCTACGCCGGCGTGCTATGCTACTACGACTGTGTGCGAGGGATACAGCACCGTTGAAACCAACCTCGACATGGAACACTTTTTTTGTTTATCGAAAATAAAAGAGGCTATTGCGACGCAGGATCTTTAGTCGCCGTCGCCGTCCCCCAGCTTGATGATATAATATGTAGCCAAGAAAAATTAAAGTGAAGCAATGTCATACACGCCAAGTCCTCAAATGGCTATCAATCTGTAGCACTCACATGATCTACAAAACTAACATATATTATATATTTAAAATACGACAGTTCAAAGTGTTTGTTACATTGTACTCGGTTTGTCAAAGATCAACTGATGTGCAACTCTTCATTTATAAGTACTGTGTGGGTGTTTGTACTGCATGGAAATGACTCTGCAGGATGGATAAACCAATGTTGCTCGTTGACCGAGGTGGAGAGCGATAATGCCGCGCTGCACACAACTCATTGTCGTGAAACAGATTCACAGTTCGATTCAAGAAATTGATTTTTGTCTTTAACATTCGCCGAACGTAGCGCCCCACTCCCCCCGCCCCCGCCCCAGTGGCTGGCTGCAGAGGGTCGCAGAAAAGGACGAATCTGAAAAACCCGCGACTCGCGAGCTCGAGGAATCGGTTACAGCCCCCCCCCGTCGATGAGTATTTACAGAACTGACATGTCCGCAACACCAACCCACGTGGATTAACCTGAAGCACAGCGAGACGGGAAACTTTCCGCCTTTGCGTGTGTGACTCGCACACGTGGTCTGCTCTCGTTAAGGGACGGCAACTATGCTCACGCGCCCAGTAAAGTGCAAAAAGAGTGTGACGAATGAACCTGCTGGCACCGCGGCCGTCACACCGTCGGCCACCGCGGCCGCCTCGACAGCGAGAGGCTGACAGAACCGGCGCCTCCGTGACGTTGCGCTCAACTTCCGGGGGGTGGGAAAAAAAAGTTTACGTTGAAGTGTTGCAAAAAAAAAAAAATTTTCAACACTCCGCGCTTTGGCCAGTGACAAGATGGATGCATTAATACGTGCTACGGTAATTCATTTGAGTATTTTGCATCCGGCCACCATTTGTCCTTCAACCCACAGCGTAACGCTTACACGTGACGTATGCGAGTTTTGTGCCGCACGAACGAGGTTCGCACGCTGTGCATATTTTAAAACGAGGCAAGATTAGTTTTTGATTAAAACAGAGTCTCATCGACAACGCGTGTTCTGTGAAACTGGCACTTTGATGATGTCATTGGTAAGGGGGGGGGGGGGGGTGGGAGAGCAGTCGCGTGAAACGTGGGGGGGTGAGAAACACAAAGCTGCATCACCACGTGCACCGTCTGCTTCGGCTGAAGACATTAAAAACACGACGGTCTTGAGCGTCGCGGTGTTGGCGTGCGGTTGGGAACCCTCGCGCTGAAGGCGCCGCTCTCTTAAAACGCGACGCGGGCCCTTCGACCCACACCGGCGACGCCCGGACACGGCGGCCGCGGCGGCCGCGGCTACCGCCCGTTACTACGGTTGATGGCGGCGACGTGGCGGCTTGGTCCTCGAGCTCAGCGACCCCCGTCGCTGGCGGGGGAGGACGTGGAGGAGGCGGAGGCGGTGCAGTGGTAGCCGAGGATGCGTGTGCGGCAGCATGGGCACTCGAGGGAGCGGGGAGCGCACTCCTCGCACAGCACGCGGTGCTGGCACGGCCGCAGCACGGCCCTGCGGGGGCGCTCCTCGCAGGCCAGGCACTGCCGCGCCTGCTGCTCCTGCATCGCCTGCCCGGGAGCGTGAAGCACGAGACACCGAGAGAAGTTTGAGAAACATGCAAACACACACACACACAACGCAATTACTGCCGTGCAGGCTTCTTGCGGTTCTGCCGTCCGTGCGGCTCTCTCGACAGAACCACACGTTGGCGTTTAGCTGCCGAACATAAATTGCTGCTGCACGCAAGGCAGGAACAGAATGGCGCTCTCTCCCTCGTGCTTTTGGGGTGTGCCGCGTGTCGTCAAGCTCTAATGTCCGACGCGTCGCTCCACGTGCCCGAAGCGCCTTCGGGAGAGAAGCTCAACGACGCACGGCAACAAGCCCAAAGCGTCCCCTCTGAAGGAGGCCCCCCGCGTGACACGTGACCCATCCCTCCTGGAACGCCCCGGGAGACGCCGGCTCCCTTCAAAAATCGCCCGTCGCTCGTCACCCCCTCCCCGCCCCCCCCACCGCCACGTACTTTCTCCAGCAGCTCCAGGTCGACCTCCAGCCGCGTCTTGAGAGCGCGCATGGCGGGTAGCGACAGCATCTCCACGTCGGCGACGGCGTGGCGCGAGGCGGCTCGAGGCCCGGCACGCGCGCCGCCGAGCGGGGACGCGCCGGGGTCGCCGTGCTGGGCCCCTCGCTCCCGCGGCGGCACGGCCTGCGGCTCGCCGTTGCCCGGCCGCGCCGCGCTCTGCGCCTCCTCCTCCTCCTCCGCCGCCGCCCGACGCCGCCGCCGCCGCCAAGCATCGTAGCTCTGCGGGGGAGAGACGCGCTAAGCGGGAGGCGACGTTGAGCCCACGACAACCCTGGAGGCGCGTGTGGGGTGGGTCGGGGGTTGGAGGCGCAGAAAGGCAAACGGGAGCAGAGGAAGGGCGACGGAAGGACGCGGAAAGCCTGCGGGAGGCAGAGGAAAGGGAGGTGTAGGGAGGCGAAGGAAGGTCGAGAGACGTTAAGGAATGTGCAGGAAGAGGTGGAGGGATGCGCAGGGAGATGGGCGAGCGGTGTAAGGATGATCAGAGAGTCATACTCTTTGGTTCTATTCGGTAAAGTCACGTAGGTAAAAAAACAACAAAAAATCACGACATGACTTTACCGAATAGAACCAAAAAGTATGGATCCTTGCAGTCACGAAAGCTTTAAATCTAGATCAGAGAGTCCTCCAATCAGCGCGATTGGCTACGCACAGTGCGAAAGACGTTCAACGTATATGGTAATACATGGTAAGAGAGAGAATAAAAAAATTGGTATGAGTGTGCAAAGATGGAAGGAGGTAAAGGGAGGGGCAGGTAAGTGCACTGCAGCATAGGTTGGTACAGGGACCCATAGGGAGGAAGACCGCACAGGGGAAAACGAATTTACAGGTGCCATGGGAAGACAGGAAAATACAGGAGGAAGAGGGAAACACACTTAAGATTCTTAGCTCTTTCGGTAACGTCACGTTGATGACGACCGTTTGTGTTATGGTCGAAACGTCGTGAGAATTTGTATTGTTTTATATATATTTTATTATTTTATTGTTTCAACGTGACTTTACCGAAAGAGCTAAGAATATGAATTACTGCAGTCACGAAAGCTTTAAATCAAAATTTTACACTTAAGATTCTCAAAGGCAGGAGGAAGCACGCGGAGGGAGCGATAGGTATGGGGGAACGAGAAGCTGGGGGACTTTGGAGGAGTACACGAGGCACACCTGCCAGAGGACAGGCTTTTACAACATCAACAACAGCTGCCATTAGCCAATGTATGTAGCCAAACATGCTAATCAGAGGTATGGGGGAAGGATAAACGAGACGCAAAAAGCAGTTCTAAATAAATTAGTTTTCAATCTACATTTTAAAAAGTGCATAGCTCCAGTGGATTCCTAAAATCGGAAGGAAGAGCGTTCCAGACGGCCGCAGAAGCGCATCTGAAAGCGTGCAAAGCGGTGACCGTCTTTGTTCGATGGCCAGCCAAAAGCCACCGCTGCGAGGATGACCGCAGTTTCGTGATGATGATTTATGCCCCCTGACAAAGTCAGCAAGGTATTGTGGTTCATTTGTGGAAAGAAATTTGTGTGTAATAAGTGTGACCTCGTAAGTGATGGCGACATCACAACAGTGCTTATAGCCAGGGCTCGGTGCACTTCGAGGTCACGTGAAGTGGCCTCGCTTCTAAATGTCACGGGACACACCAAGATGCAATGGGTTAGCCGCCAGACCGGCGGTGGCAACACGTTGCTGCAACGTGGCTGCCTGTAACCCAGTGCTGTGAAGGCAGCAGCGAGGGTTGGTGGGTCGCCGCACTGATGTCGTGAAACCACCCTTCCCGTGGCCGTCGAGGAGATGCCGTACCCTGGCCCGCCAGAAGGCAGTACAGGAAGCGGACTAATTGTCATCCGTTTCCATCTGTACGGGGATAGAGCGTGCTGCCCCCTCGTGTGCGTGGGTTTTCTCTGGGCGCTCCGGTTTTCCAACATTTACAAACTCTTCTTTGGTTATTTCGGTAAAGTCACGTAGAATGAGAATAAAATAATAAATTGATAAAATAAAATAACACAATAATATTCTCACGACGTTTCGGCCACAACACAAGCGGCCTTCATCAGGTGAAGGGACGAGACTGTCTGGAGGACAGCGCTGGAGTGAAAAAGCCACGCTCAGATCGCGACCTTTAAGCTGTGTGAGAAGAAACAAAGCGCCTTGACAAAGGAATTAGCATAGAATTTAGCATTGAAATAGCTGAGTGATTAGCTAATCACGCAGTTATTTCAATGCTAAATTCGCCTAGTTATTTCAATGCTAAATTCTCCTGTTTGATTTGTACTAGGTGCCTCTGTAATGTGTATGCTCTGACTTTAACAAGGCTATTTCTGTGACCAGTTACAAGCTAATCACTCAGCTATTTCAATGCTAAATTCTATGCTAATTCCTTTGTCAAGGGGTGCCTCTGCGGATGTGTATGCTTTAACTTTAACATAGCCTTTTCTGTGACCAGTCACAAGCTAATCACTCAGCCATTTCAATGCTAAATTCTATGCTAATTCCTTTGTCAAGGCGCTTTGTTTCTTCTCACACAGCTTAAAGGTCGCGATCTGAGCGTGGCTTTTTCACTCCAGCGCTGTCCTCCAGACAGTCTCGTCCCTTCACCTGATGAAGGCCGCTTGTGTTGTGGCCGAAACGTCGTGAGAATATTATTGTGTTATTTTATTTTATCAATTTATTATTTTATTCTCATTCTACGTGACTTTACCGAAAGAACCAAAGAAGATGAATCCTTGCAGTCACGAAAGCTTTAAATCGAAATTTACAAACTCATTCAGTGGGTAAAACATCTTCAAATAAAAACCCAATGCAGGATCCCTCCTGATAAGAGTACGATGCCTCGGTTGTGGCTCTCGCGGATAAATAAGCAAAAAAAAGATAAAAACCACTGAATGAAATACCTCCGCGTGGCGTCAGACGGGAACACTGTGATGGCGAGTCGCGAGAAAGCATCTCCGTCAACGTGGGATGCACACAGCGGCAGGGAGGGGGCAAATAACACGGGGAAGTCACCGTTTGGGGTTGGTGCCACAGTTCCTGAGAGGCGTCGCTCAGCCTCTGCTGCTGATGCTGCTGCTGCTGCATGATGGTCACCCCCGCGGGCCCGACACAGAACCTCGAGCTCAGCGGCCCACCCGTTGCAAACTGCTTCCAGCCGCCCGCCCCGTTGGCTGCGAGATGGAGGATGCGAGTGACACGAAGACGAAAAAACAAATCACATCGCAGGCTGGGATAAAGAGCACTCTGTTAGAGAGTTCCTGCTCCGGCCAGCGGTGAACACGAGGCGTTTGCGTATTAACGTTCCGTGCATGAATGTACTGTACGTCACTCAGATTGTAAATGTGGATTTGCTCTACAGCACACCGGTGTACTGTACTAGTAACGAATGGCATGTTTTGTTTACGTGACAAACCTTACTAATTGGCTTTGTCGGGTGGTGGTGGGTTTAACGACACATTTATATTTACGTGATCTAACTGAAAAAAAAAACCTGTATTAAGGATGTTGAGCTTCTTTCGCAACGTACGTAGCCAACCGTGATAATTGGAGGTACGGGGGAAGGACAATGAACTAAACACAAAGCAGTTCTAAAGAAATACGCTTTCAATCTACATTATTTAAAAGTGCATAGCTCCAGTAGCTTCCTAATATCGGAAGGAAGAGCGTTCCAGCCGGCCGCGGAAGTGCATCTGCAAGCGCGCGATGCGGTGACCGTCTTTGATGGATGGCTAGGCAAAAGCTACTGCTGCGAGGATGACCGGAATTTGCGTGATGGTTTATGTTCCTTGATGAGATCAGCAAGGTATTGTGGTTGATTTGTGACAAGCACTTTGTGTGTAATGAGTGCGACCTTATAATGTATTCGTTCGACAACCGGAAGCCACTGCAGCTTGGTGAGCACTGGACAGACATGGTCGGATCCTGCAGTACCCTTCACGACATGTACCAAATGAATGTGATGTGTGGAGAGGTACCTTAGTGGTTAACGCGCGACGTTTTGAACCAGATGAGTACCTGGTATGGTGTTGCGAGTGACTTAATACTGAAGCCAGTGCTTGCGTAGTAAAGATATTTAATCATTTATTTCTGCAAGCAACGCGATTCGGCAACCTGGACAATCAAGAGCCAACTGTTCTCTTGGAGTGAAATCCGCGAGCGAGCGAGCGAGCGAGCGAAGGCGCGAGCGCTTAGCTGAACGCGCGCACTCACGTGGATCACTGCCGATGGCGTCCACGTGCAGATGCGTGTCGTGGATGGTGGGCAAGTGCTTGGGAGTTGTGGGCAGCGCGGGAAGGCCGGGCCGTGGCAGCTCTGGTCGCGTCGCCAGCTGGGCCGCCGAGCGCTCGCCGTGCAGCCTCTCCCCTGCGCAACGCGGCGACGGGGCGACAAGGCGATGGGCGGCACGGCGACGGGCGACACGGTGACTGGGCAACATGGCGACGGCCGGCAAAGTGACGGGGAAACATGGCGACCAGTGACACGGCGATGGGGCACAGCAATGGGCGGCACGGCGAGATGCAGCGCAGCGTCAAGGAGGACCGTGCCATGGTTACGGTGGCCGTGGCTGCGACTGCGGTCACTCGACACGTCCTTAATTTGACTACTGGAGCCCGTTCAACATCATTAACCCCTCTTGCATGGAAGACTGGTGAGGTCAATTTACAAAGGGTTAGTTGGAGAATATTTTTCAAAACTAGTTGCTGTATATAATAGTTAATATAGTCCTGAGAGGTTAGTCTGTACTAGAGGAGTGGCATCGATGGTGTAAACCCGAATGCTAATGCGGTACTGATAATTCGCTCTTTTTTCTTCGAAACGTCGTGAGAATATTATTGTGTTATTTTATTTTATCAATTTATTATTTTATTCTCTTTCTACGTGACTTTACCGAAAGAACCAAAGAAGATGAATCCTTGCAGTCACGAAAGCTTTAAATCTAGATCAGAGAGTCCTCCAATCAGCGATCTTTACTCACGAAGCTGTCCAAAGTCATAGCATGGCTGTTGCTTATGATGCGAACGTTACGATGATGTCCTCATTCAGAGTGGCCCTTTAATGATAGCGTAATACTCATGATCAGTCATTTTATGGCAAGAAATCGTCACCGGCAATACATGGGCAACTCTGGCAACTTGGTAGAGCAGTGACAGACGGAGGTAGTTCTGTCTGTCCAGAGTGCATTTGACGAACAATTGGGTCGACAGACTGCACTTTCAGGTGGTCATGTGACCTTTATCTGTGATCCAATTGGAAGTTAAGACCGAAACAGGAGGAGGATTTCTCCACAACTCTGGCTGCCGCCTGATGCTGCTGGTTGTAATTACCGGCGAAACGTCATGGTACTCGAATTGTAAATGTCGTGGATTTACTCTCCAACACACCGGTGTGCTGAGGTAGTAACTAATTGGCATGCTTTGTTTACGTAACAAACCTTACTAATTGTCTATGTTGGGTGGTGGCGGGTTTAACGACACATTTATATTCATGCCATCTAACCCAAGAAAAAGCTCTATTATGGATGAATGGAAGTTGCCAAACCCAGTTGCTCACCAAGGTGGTACAGCGATCACAACTGTCCAAATTTGGGCAAGCACAATTTTGACAATGGTGAATGGTGCGCCGGTGACGATTGCCGGCAACGATTGCGCTCCAAAACTGTTTTCATGTGTCGTAGCCTTTACTGGGCGCCGCAGTGGCGAGATGTTAACTACCTTGCCTGGTATACAGGAAGTCGTGGGTTCGATCCCGACCCTGACGCTTGTGTATATTTGGAGTTTGCGTGGTTTTCTTCCCGTGGTTGCGTGGATTTTTCTCAGGGTCCTCCAGTTTTCCCCACCACATTTAGAAACTTGCATAGAAAAGTCCACGTGATAAGCCACTTTTTTGGGCTGTCATTTATGGCCAGGTCGCTTCTGAGAAACATCTATATAGCTCAGTGGGCCTTTACCTCGTAAAATAAAAAGTTTCTAGTTTTAGTTAAGATAACGATGGGCGTGGCCACGTTGGGACGCCCTTGCCGATGGGTGTGGGCCCGTACCGACGGCACCGGGAGAGCCAGTGCAGCACAGGAGACCGCTGCCACCGCCCAGGTCTCGCTCCAGCGCCGTCACGGCGTAGTCGTGGAGGTCCAGGTCAGCCAGCGCCGAGCCTGCAGGAACATCGCGAGAGAGCAGACCTAGAGGGGCTTCTCTCGGGGCCACATCCTTACCGTCTACTCGGCACAATGGCGATGGTCGCACGAGTCAGCAGCATAGCGGTTGGGCTTTGCGATGTAGCAATCGGAGTTTTTGAACATCACGCCTTGCCGACAACACTCGGCATGCGAGTGTGTGTGCGTGTGCCGTGGGGAGCGGTAGTGTAGCAGTTAGCGCGCTGCATTATGAACCAGGTGCCTCGAGTTCGATTTCCGTTCACGGCCAACACCATTGACGGTTATCTGAACAGGTCCTGGGCCTCCCCTAGGTCGACTCAGTCACTGGGGAGACAAAGGCGGCCAGGCGTGCTGCTGGCCACTCACCCTCTCGTGTACCGTTTCAGCCTTCACAGATGCTTGCTAACAGCACTTGCCCCAACAGTCTGTTAAAAGCTATAGAGGGGGGATCTTTGTCTTTGACGTGGCCAAAGTGTTTGCTAAATGTATTTTTAACCAAGCACACGTTTATTCATGTTAAAACCTGCGCGGTCGTTAAAGTTCGCATTAAATATAACCTTAACAGGGGCGCTGCCATTACATTTGACCATTGCAAGTGAAGTGTCTGAACAGAAAGCGTGACATTAGACACTGTGGGATGAACAGCCGAGTAGTGTTCGAAGCAACTGCTCCCCTGCCACGAGCGCCAATTAGGAAGTAAAAGGCCATGCGGGAGGGCGTGTGGCACAGTTTGGCGCCAGCTATCATAGAGTGTGGTGGTCGTGTCACTGCAGTTCTCTGCGGTGAGTCCAACGTCTTTTAAAACAACGGCGCTATGCCTCTCAAAATAAAATTAACGCCAACCGCTTGCGCGTTCGGAGAGTCGGCGACGAACGGGACACCCACTCTGCAACTTGCAGCCGTCTCGGAAAGGGGGAAAGGGTTAAGGCCTACGCAGCGCATGCTGGGCTGATGCAGCAGCACGCACGTCCGAGTCGCTGGGGTTGCCGAGGACTCCCAAGTCTCAGATCGGCTCGCATACGCAGCCGGGCGATTAAGTGCGACCACAGCAACCGGGGCCCGAGATGAGCACCGAGCAAATCGTCGCCAGACAGGGTGGCCGATCAACGGGGTGGGTGACGGAAGAGCAGCCAAAGGAGAACACGCGTTGAAATAAAGTGCCCGCCGCGGAAAACAGAGCGACGGGACAGGTTCACGCGCAACCTCAGCGGGACGGATGGAAGCTCGCCCTGGACCACGAGGGATGGCGACGGCGTAGGGAGGCCTTCCTCCAGCAGTGGATAGACAATGGCTGAAGATGATGAGCACGATGAGGATGACGAGGAGTACTACGAGCGGGACTCGCACACGCGTGTGCCCCTCGTTGGCACGCGCCCCCCGCTACGCGTGGTAGCGCTTGGTTCCCCCCCCGCTGACGGTTTCCTCCGCCGCGAGGGTTCTCAACGGAGGCGAAGCAACTCACCGATGACCGAGTCGACGGTGTTGGAGGGCGGGTAGAAGGGCATGGCCTTGGCATTCATGGTGGAAGCGTTGGTGGGCAGTGGGTTAACGGTCGCGAAGGGCAGGCTGCCCCCTGTCGGGCAGCCCACGGGCAGCGCCCGCAAGAGGCTCTGCGGCAGGATGGACGAGGCGCAGAGGGGAGGCGGGTGCAGAGGGGACCGGTGAGGCAACGCAGGGAGCGCGGAGCTGTGCAGCCGCTTGCGAACACTACGACGAACCCGGTGACCTAAGTTTGATTACCGCCCACAGCTGACATCATTGGCGAGTGATATACGGACCGATCGCGAGTTCCCCCTTCACCAACCTGCACTGACTAGCACGGTGAAGTTCGGTTAAACATTCCCCTCGACCCGACACGGTTTGGGCAGGCCTTGTTATGCATCCATGTTGAACTTCTTTCGCACCATATGTAACCCACCTTGCTAATCGGAGGTGCGGGGAAGGACAACTAAATTAAACACAACTGTCGATTGAAAAACGTAATATGCCTCCCCCCCCCCCCCCCCCAAATATGGCCAGGCTGGATATCAACCACCACAATTTCAATGCCCCTGTGGCTTGACAAGCCGAAAAACACAACCAATTACACAATCTCAACCCTAGGCTGCAACCCTCGGATACCCTACACTGGTCCGGCGGTCGGGTCTAGAAGACCTGTGCAAGCAATCACGGCCATTTGCTAATTGAGAGACAATTTGAGCTCTGAAATGTACGAGGATGCTAAACGTCTCGTGTGAGGCTACGCAAGAGAGCCTTTGACACGCGCAACCAGAGGCGTCACCACCGTGCCAGGTCTCTCAGCCCAAAGAACATCCAACGGGAAAGCGATCTGACTCACGTGCGTGTTCTGTATGTCCTCCTGCTCCTGCAGGTTACCACAGTAGGTGTGTAGCTCGTGCTGCTTCTGCAGCTTAGCCTGCGAGACGCAGAGTAACACACGCAAACAAATATAAAGTTCCCCCGTATAGCCTTTAACAGTGTTCGGGCAAGTGCTTTTAAGAGAGCACCTATTATGCCGACAGTGGTGTCGCAGTGGGATAGCCCATTGCACTATGAACCCGGCGTCCCGAATTTTGATTCTCGCTCACAGCCAACATTGGTCGCGAATATGTGAACAGGTCCTGGGCCTCCCCTAGGCCAACTCGGCCTTAAGCGAGTACCTGGTGCGGTGTGTGAATATCACAACTGGGGAGACAAAGGCAGCCAGGCGTGGTGCTGACCACCCAGCCCGTGGGTGGCCGCTGCCACCGTGAGTGACAAAAATAAGGCATGTCAGCCTGAACAGGCAATACGAATACATTACATTTATAAAGCGCCTTTCTACAAAAGGTATTTGGGGCACGGTGCATCACCAAAAAAAAATCACAGGCCATGGGTAGGAATAACTAAGATGTATAGAAGCTAATGTAGAGAATCCAAAGCTGGAGAGAATAAACTTGTTCTTTGGGGCGGGGTTTAATCACCGCCGTTGTCTCTGAATCGTGAACACAAATGGGCACGGTGCTCCACAGCCGGCAGTAGAGCAGAGCGTAGCCTCCCACTGTGACACAAGCACATGTGGATACACGGCACAAAGATTCCCCGTATAGCCTTTTACTGCATGCGATTTATTATTGTAGTAGCATGGTTGGGCACTGTGTACATTTCCCATTCATCCTTACCTGCAGTAGCAGGCATGTGTCAATAGGGGGTGGTACACTGAATGGGTAAGATTAGTCGGCCCGTTGGAAAATAGGGCTCCCCAGACCCCAAGAGAGGGGCTTGGGGGATATTCCAGAGCCCCCTAGAGAGTTCCAGAAGGAAGGCAGAGAGACCCTGAAACGTGTATAAAAGCCGGACCTCTTAACGGGTCCAGCAGTCATCGTCAAGCTGAAGACTGAAGACCTGCTTAGGCTAGGACCCTGGGAACCCCCGGACCCGACGTCCTTCTAAGGGCTGGGACCAAGTGGGCCAGTGGTCGGGACCCGAGGACCTTGGCTGGGTCAGCTAGCCTCCCCGAGGACCCCTTAGCCGGAGGGCTGAGAGTACGTAGCCCCAGTTGATAGGGCACGCTAGCCTGGCGGCTATACCTCCCCAGGTATCGGGTGGAGGAGTCGCTACCCCTTTGTGTTAGGGATCGTTACTGTTGCTTTAGGAATAAACGTGTTGCCTCTACAAGCCGTCTCTACTCTCCTTGAACCCACTACATTATTCATAAAGGGCTTTTTTTGTTGGGTTAGATCGCGTGGATGTAAATGTGTCGTTAAACTCGCCACCACCCGACACAGCCAATTAGTTAGGTTGGTCACGTAGACAAAACGCACCAATTAGTTACTACTTGAGCACACCAGTTGTGTATTGGAGAGTAAACCCACTACAACATTGATAATTTAAGTACCGTGACATTTCGCTGGTGATTACAGGCAATAACCGAAATTATTAAAAAAAAACTTCCTGTTTTGGTCTTAAACAGCGGAATAAAGGTGAAGTCATTACTGTGAGTCTATCAGATGCTGAACTGGTAACTAATTGTCAGGTTTTGATCACGTGACAAACCTTAATAATTGGCTGCGGTCGAGTGGCGACGGGTTTAACAACACATTTATATTTATGTGATCCAACCCAAAAAAAACCTTTGTTATGGATATTGGTCGCGAAATCCTACGTGTTAAATCGGTTTATTATTATCATCATCAGTGCTCTTGTTAATCCAGCAGTATCGCGGAGTCTAAAAACTACTTTCACAAGAATTCTGCCACATATTCGCAGTAGGTGCGAGCGATGTTGCTCATGTGAATAATCCCACAGAGTACATTAAAGGTAATTTTTCAGCAGACACGAATATGGAGCACAAGCAACTCATACAGCCTGCGTCAACGCCACAGAGATAACGTCCTAATTTAATCTGGGCCTCTCGCTGCGATTTAAAAAAAAAACAGTTATCAGCTGCAGAGAATTCAAGATCTCAGCCCAGTCACAAAATGACTGCACTAAAACACAAAATATACATTTCAAATTTCCTGATTTCAGTCACGTTCGTACACAAGGGACAGCCTATTACAGTGACTCTGGGAGAGAAAAAAAAGCTACATGACCCACAAGCATTGAAATTCAACAATTCCACAATGGATTAATTTGCGATGAAAGAGCTCTAGGCGAAAGGAGGGAATTTTACTTCATACGCAGGCTTTCACGACCAAATATTGATTCATAATTAGTTTCCCTTGGGTCAGATGGTGTCGGTATGTCAATGTTGTAACTATAAACCCTCCACTACCCGACAGAGCCAATCACATCAAATCGGATGTGCGAGGTAGGTCAGGAACTCGTGGGCGACTCCACCTTCCCGTGGCAGAGCTGGACGGGGGGCAAGGCGCCTCTCACCTGGTCCTCGCGCTCATAGCCCGGCGCTTTCTGGTAGCTGCAGGCCGCCGTCGGGGATAAAGAAGCCACCAGCGGGCCAACCGCGGCGGAGAGGGACGGCAACGGCGAGCGCAACGGGGGCGACGTCGCCGCGGGGGAGCCCGGGGGCATCGCCGGGCCCAAGCCCCCGCCGCTGGACAGGCTCGGCGCGGGGGAGCCTCCGGAGGAGCGCGACGGTGGAGATGGCGAGGCGAGGCTCTGCCTGCCCGGGGCCTGCGGGGTGGGTAGAGGTGGCAAGCGGAATGGAAGACGTTAATAAAGTACAGTCATGTAATGAATTTTTTTTTTACATTTTTGTTTTCATTCCACGCCAACGTGAGCCCGATACAAGAGGCGTCGGGGTGAGCACTGGAGGGTTGGAAGAGATATTCTACGGGCAGCAGCTGCCCCGAGGTAGACGCAACAGAGCCCAGCGAGGGGGTAACACGGAGCTCACTGCCCCACCCAGGTGGGGGAGCACGTGCGGGGACATGAATGTTTATATGGGGAGGGGGGAAAAGGGGAAGACAACTAACATACTGGAGGAATAAAAAAGAGATGGGGGAGGGGGAGAGGGGGTAATGTATGTATGTTGAACTTCGTAACCGTACACAGTCAACCGTGCTAATCGGAGGTGCGGGGGAAGGACAATAAACTAAACGCAAAAAGCAGTTATAAGAAAAATAGTTTTCAATCTAGATTAACAAGTGCATAGCTCCCAGTGCCTTCCAGACGGCCGCAGAAGCGCATCTGAAAGTGCGCGACGCAGCGACCATCTTTGCTCGATGGCTAGCCAAAAGCCGCTCGCGAGGATGACCAGAGTTGGCGTGATAGTTTACGCTCTTTGACGACATCAGCAAGGTATTATGTGGAGGTTCATTTGTGGCAAGCACTTTGTGTGTAATGAAGACTCAAACGCAATAGTAGATTATGTTTGAGTCGTAATTAAACTAGCATTAGTCATGAGCAATCCACTGCTGGGTGAAGGCCTCCCTGAGCCTCGTGTCAAACACTCACTAATGGTATTGGGTAAAAATAAACTGGCATCTCAATGACCAAAATAATGATTATATTATTATAACGCCAACCTAACCGTCACCATTATGAATCACAACACGGATGTGTGCGGCTGGACACTCACTTGCGCACAGACCAGAGCATGTTCGGTAGAGTCTGCCAAGGGCACTTCTGCACGGACAGAAAACACAAATTGCAACATCCTGTTTCAATTAATTCAAATTACTTTGCATTCCACGCCACCGACAACAAACCTCAGAGAAGCTCTCGGACAAGTTTGCCAAAGAACTAAATATTTTGACGGGTACGCATAAACACTTGCAATGCCTGGAAAGAGAAAACGTAAACGCTTGCAGAAGGAACCGCGTTTCCATTGAACAAGCTGCCACTATCCAGGATTCCCGCCACTTGGAAAGGAGGATGTTGTGAGAGTATAATGCCGACTAGTGTCTCTGTTACGATGAACATTTTCTCTATGGCTTAACTGTTGGAACCTGAACATGGAAAATGTCGTCACTGTTAACCGACGACTGGACTGCAACAGTGGACCGCCGCTCAACGCTATATTTTTAGACCACTTTCTATTCTGCGCCCATCCGACTTTCACACAACCGAAAAGATCAAAAAGGCGGTGTGTGTGCGCGTTTCTCGATGCTTTTATCGCATCGAGCCCTGACCAAGTTTACTCTCCCGCGAGCAGCGGACAGAAAATCCCTCAACTCCACACACAAGATGATGCAGCCTTGCCTGCCGCCAGGCTTTTATCGGTCAGCCCCCAGCTTCGCCCACGTCTATAATATTCAAGCCGCCCGTCCATCCAACAGTGGGCAACACCTACAGTCGCATCTCACGCAGCTCTTCTTCCAATTCTCTACCTCGCTCTCTCTCTCTCTCTCTGCTCAAGCAAATAAATTATCAATCAACCTTCGCTCACCCTGCTCCCATCACGTGGATTTCCCTCCCTGCTTGCGGCTGTCTGCACCGTTGACTCCCTCCTCCCATTGACTTCAAGACTAAACACGCCGTCTCCCCTCGAAGCCTGGTGTCAATGAGCTTCCTGACTACCCCCCACCCCCGCCATTTGCTGATCCTCAATCAATCAATCTTACATTTTTACGTGTCAATATTACCTTCAATAATGTAGGAATTGGCGTGTATTACAGCAGAACGGGAACGGTACAATGGCATGGAACAGCAAGAATGGAAAAGCCCATCACGACCTCAGCGGCTAACAGCGACTAAGCAAAATAAAGTTCAACCACACGCAAAATTAAGTGCGACCGCGCGCAACGAATAAACAGCGGTAGAAATGGGTGTGTCAAATAAAATTAATAATAATTAGAGAAACCATTTTTGTTTATTTTATGGGAAGGCGAGTCGGAACAGATTTGTCTTGCACAAATGGTAGAGCCGTTTCACCAGATCCACTCGATCAGAATTTCCACTTTGTACCTATCGCCGCATATCCCCGTAGCAGAGAAATGCTCCTGCCGCTAAAACAAACGCCGATTACTTCCAGGCGTTCCGTGGGCTGAGCAAGTCAATGCACAACAGTGAAAAAAACATTGCCATCTCACAGTCACCTTTACTTGGTGCCCAAAATGTAAGCGCTTCCGTTCAAGATGTAAAATAAACAATCTTGCACCAGTAGCAACGATGAAATTACACCTGCTGTACCTTGGTAATGCAAACTCACGGTCCAAGCATGCAACTCCCGGTCTAGGTGTGTCACTCACGGTCTAGGTGTGTCACTCACGGTCTAGGTGTGTCACTCACGGTCTAGGTGTGTCACTCACGGTCTAGGTGTGTCACTCACGGTCTAGGTGTGTCACTCACGGTCTAGGTGTGTCACTCACGGTCTAGGTGTGTCACTCACGGTCTAGGTGTGTCACTCACGGTCTAGGTGTGTCACTCACGGTCTAGGTGTGTCACTCACGGTCTAGGTGTGTCACTCGCGGTCTAGGTGTGTCACTCACGGTCTAGGTGTGCAACTCACGGTCTAGGTGTGCAACTCACGGTCTAGGTGTGCAACTCACGGTCTAGGTGTGCAACTCACGGTCTAGGTGTGTCACTCACGGTCTAGGTGTGTCACTCACGGTCTAGGTGTGTCACTCACGGTCTAGGTGTGTCACTCACGGTCTAGGTGTGTCACTCACGGTCTAGGTGTGCAACTCACGGTCTAGGTGTGCAACTCACGGTCTAGGTGTGCAACTCACGGTCTAGGTGTGTCACTCACGGTCTAGGTGTGTCACTCACGGTCTAGGTGTGTCACTCACGGTCTAGGTGTGTAACTCACGGTCTAGGTGTGTCACTCACGGTCTAGGTGTGTCACTCACGGTCTAGGTGTGTCACTCACGGTCTAGGTGTGTCACTCACGGTCTAGGTGTGTCACTCACGGTCTAGGTGTGTCACTCACGGTCTAGGTGTGTCACTCACGGTCTAGGTGTGTCACTCACGGTCTAGGTGTGTCACTCACGGTCTAGGTGTGTCACTCACGGTCTAGGTGTGTCACTCACGGTCTAGGTGTGTCACTCACGGTCTAGGTGTGTCACTCACGGTCTAGGTGTGCAACTCACGGTCTAGGTGTGCAACTCACGGTCTAGGTGTGTCACTCACGGTCTAGGTGTGTAACTCACGGTCTAGGTGTGCAAAGGCGCAGAAGGGGCCACGGGGACAGAAGGCGAGTTGCTGCATGTCGTTACATTTCGTCGACTTGTAAATCTGCAATTACAAAACATCACAGTTGTCGTTTCAGGAGAACCGCCGTTATGCACACGGACGAGAAAGAACCAGGGCAACAAACGCAATGAACCACAGGAGGAGCCCTGCTTAAATACGTTCAAGAACAGTAAGCAAAACATTATCAAGACTCGACGAACTTTAAACAGAAAATTATTGACTGTAAACAAGTGGGGCTGAACATTGGGCACAGTCTATTTACCCTGCTGGGTCGACTAGCGTGTGCCTAATGATGATGATTGTAATCGCTGCCACCGTGAGTCACTATCACTGATGATGATCATGATGATGTTATAGAGCAGTGGTTCTCAAAGTGGTTGTCCCCGGACCGCCGGTGGTCAACGTGATGCTCCTCCAGGTGGTCGCCGGTGGGCTGTGATGATGATGTTGTTGTTGTTGTTTTCCTCGCACTTTCTGTTTATAGGTGGCGTTGCATCGCCACTTTGGAAGGGTTTAGCCAGAGATCAATCGATTAAAATTTTTGGTCCGCGTTTTGGGCAACTGAGAAAATGGGAGACGTCTTCTGGCGTTGCTTGGCACAAAGGGCAGCAGCAGTTTGGGGCGTTTGGGTCGATTCGATTTTTGGTAATCGGCTAGCATGGAGCAGCAGTCACCTGAACGGAGTTGCGCCAGTTTTGTGCGAGTTGCCCGGGTCAGGGATTTTTTTGGTCGTCTGCTATGGGTGGGGGCCAACCTCCTAGCACGACATTGGGGGCTTGTAGACGTTCAGGCAGTGCACGGTGGCAGCGGTGTGCAAGTGGTTCAAAATTGATTTGGTGGTGCTATTTGGTGGAAGATCGTTTAAAGTCAATTGCACGTTGGCACAGCTGAAGGAAAGCAAGGTGGATTTAATTTTCCAGGCAGGTGCAGGGGGTGAGCTTTGAGTAGCTTTGTGCAAGGATGCGTTGTCGAGTGGCATGAAGCCAGATATTGATCGGTGGGCTGTGATGCAAACGCAGGTTGATTCGGAAATAATGACAACGTTTATACCACTTGTTTCGGGAATTAATGAATATTTTACTTCTGATATTAAATAAAATAAAAATTAAGTTGACAAACTACCAAAACCTAAGATCTAAATGCCACCCCCCCCCCCCTAAAAAATAACCCTAATAACTGCGTAAAAAATTATGTTCTGGTAATATTCACCATTGTGTATGAGTGGTATTAAAGATACGAGTGAATACTTTGTCACCAGGGGTGTGCATGGCTGGGCGATTCGCGGAAATGTTTGCATCGGGCTGTGTGATCCGTGGGCCATAAAAAAAGTTGGAGAAGCACCGATCTAGATTAATGATAATGAAGACGATGATGACGATGAACACAATGACGCCGGTTACGACAATGACGACGACGATTACAACAATGACGATGACGAATGCGACAATGACAATGATGACAAGGACAACGACAATGACAATGATGACAATGACGACGACAATGACAATTAAGATAACAAAGGTGGTAATGGATGAAGCCAAAATACGAGGGTGGCTGTCGTCATCGCTGAAAGCATCGTCACCGGGCATGAGAGTTGGCAATCAAACACCAGAGACCAAGGTGAAACTCTCCAGCCAGCTGTAGGTGGTGGAATGTGTGGGCTGACCCAGGGGGAATGGTTATCGACTTTGCAAGACCTGCGGGATCTAGTCGATAGAAAGGGGGCATCCAGAACTGTTTGAGATATCACTCGCTACCGGTCTTACCGTTAGCGCAGTGCTCTAACCACTGCACCAACCGCAGCCTTCCGTACGTGGTAGCGAGGAGCAGTGTGAGAGGCGGGATGTTAACTACCTCGCCTGGTATGCAAGAGGTCATGGGTTCGATCCCAAACCTGACGCCTGTATATTTGGAGATTGTATGTTCTCACCGTGGACGTCTGGACACTTTTCCAGGCCCTCCGGTTTTTCCCCTCCACATTTAGAATCAACACGCGTGTAGAGTAGTTGGCTGCTAGAAATGTCCACACGATAGGCCACTTTTGTGGAGCTATAATTTGTGGGCAGGTCGCTTCTGAAAAAGAGCAATATAGCTCAGTGGGCCTTGCCCGTTCCAAAAAAAACAAAACTCAAGTCTTTTGGTTTATTGGGGGGTTTGCGTGGCACCTCGGGGTGGAACTGTTGCTCGGGGCGCGTGTGCGAGAACTGGCAATCGTCCCCGACCTCGCACTTGTCAGGTTCACTCCAGTCCTCGCCCTGCTTCACGCTGGGGCACGGCACAGACCTGCGGCGGCAACAGCAAGGGACCGGGTAACGCGGATGCCTGGCGGTTTTTTGAGATTCCCGAGCCGGTGATGACAATTTACTGTCCCTTGTCGAAAATCGGCTGCTGGATGAAGGAATCCTCACGTGCCAGCGGAGGCTGGTGAAGTCGAGGCCCAGGAGCGGGTTCAGCTGTCGCTTGGCCATGGCCAGGAATCACACTCGGGTCGCCAGGTTCATAACGCGGTGCGCCAACCACTGTGCCACCGCTCGCACCGAAATTAGCTCTCGAAAGCACTGTCTGTCGTAACTGATGGAGCGAGGAGGCTATCGGCACGATTCCACTCTCCCGCCACGAGCTCATGAGCAGCAAAGCAGCTGGTTCTGTGCCAGATATTTCGGGCAAATCCACGCGTCATGAGGACAAGGGCGAACTACGGCATTCCAGACCATTCCACTACTTACGAGCCACCGATGTATATATACACCTGTTTAAATAAATAATCAAACATTTCGAAAAACAAATTTATTGGAATTTTTCAAAATTTTTCAATATTTCTGGTATGGTCTGTCCAACGGTTACTCGAGTCGAGTAGTAAGTGTGCATGTTTACGATGAGTCGCTGTGCTGCCCTCTGCCGCTCAACACATAGTCCCTCAGCCTACAAAACCTGTTATCCATGGTGCTCAACCTTCCAGGAAATATCAAAGCTCAACTCTGCTTAGCTTCCAAGATCTGAGATTAAGTGCATTCTGGGTGACATGGTTAAAGGCCAAGCATCTCGTACATAATCCAATATTAACACCATTCTCTTTGGTTCTATTCGGTAAAGTCACGTAGGTAAAAAATAAAACAAAAAATCACGACGTTACGGCCACAACACACGTTTCGGCCACAACTGCGGTCTGAGCGTGGTTGTGTTCCACTCCAACGCTGTCCTCGAGACAGTCCGATCCCTTCACCTGATGAAGGCTGCTTGTGTTGTGGCCGAAACGTCGTGATTTTTTGTTGTTTTATTTTTTACCTACGTGACTTTACCCAATAGAACCAAAGAGTATGGATCCTTGCAGTCACGAAAGCTTCAAATCTAGAATTAACACCATCCTTTATTTCACCAGATGAGAGCCCCATGAAACAACAGCCTTCTAGTTAACAGACTTGAAGCAGATAGTGTAAAAAGGTACGAGGTAAGGTCGAAAAAACTCTACACGGAACAAAAATTATAAGCATGCAAAAAGCGCAAATGCATCAAGGCGAGGTAACCGAGCCACCGTGTAACGTGCCACAGATGCCACTCGGGGGAGGGTGCCCTTTCAAAACGCGTCGAGATGGCACGTGCCGTTATTAGTTTATCGCCTGTACAACGCTGCGAGATGCCCGGTGCAAAGGGGGTCGCCCTGTCATATGAACAGCTGGTGATTACAATAACGTGTGTATTGCAGCGGACTGACACTGGCACGCTTCGCACTGGGGGAGGGCGTGCGTCTGCCCGCGCTCACCGGTACTTGTGCAGCCGCGGGTTGCGCCGGCGATCGCGGCTCGAGTGGAAGTAGGGGCACGCGTAGCCCTGGCGGCACAGCCGCGGGGGCTTCTTGCACGGATCCGTCTTGTAGTTGGCCAGCACAAAGTTGGAGTCTGTCACGGTAAATAAAATAGGATTTTATTTTTTTACTCACTTCACCCATTCTCATTTCGATGACGCACGTGTACGTCGTCAGTTTTTTTTCCCGTTCCAACGACGTACGACGTGTACATCAATGGCACGGAATCGGAAAGTAAAAGGGCATGCGCGCGGAAGGGCATTCGGCACAGTTTGGCACCAGCTATCAGAGTGCGATCGTGCCGCTACGGTTCTCTGCGGCGAGTACAATGCCGTTAGAATACAGTGGCGCTACGCCGCTTGAAATCAAATAAAAACTGACTGCTTTCACGTTCTAGGATTCAGCGGTGAATGGGAATCACCTTGCAACTTGCTGAGATCTCGCAACGGTTTATAATTTATATTCTTGGTTCTTTCGGTAAAGTCACGTAGAAGGGAAACAATTAAGTAATAAAAATATAAAACAATAAAATTCTCACGACGTTTCTACTGCAACACAAGCAATCATCATCAGGTGTGAAAACCACAACAAAAAAATTAGAAAAATTTGAAAAATGTTTGTGTTGCGGTTTTCACACCTGATGATGATTGCTTGTGTTTCAGTCGAAACGTCGTGAGAATTTTATTGTTTTATATTTTTATTATTGTATTGTTTCCCTTCTACGTGACTTTACCGAAAGAACCAAGAATATGAATCCCTGCAGTCACGAAAGCTTTAAATCAAGGTTTATAATTTATCAAGGAGAGCCACACCGAGTCGTAAGACTAAATCAGGAGGTGCCTGCTACATTGGGTTTTTATATTAAGATGCTCTTCCTTCAGCCAATTAATGATTGTTTACAAGTGGGAGGAATCCGGAGCGTCCAGAGAAAACCCACACCTTGTACGAGGGAGCAATACTCAATCCCCGTACAGATGGAAAGAGATGTAAATTAATCCACTTGCTCTACTTCCGTCTCCTAGCATGCCAGGGTAAGGCACCTCGATGCCCACAAGAAGGGAGTTGTACAACATCTGAACAATCCAAGAACCCGCGCGCTACCTCCACAGTGCCAGATTACAGGCCATGGGTAGCAGTGGCGGTGCAAGATCATGTTACCGTATTGTCCCGCATATAACCCGCAGACGCAAATACCCCGCAAAAATAGCGTTTTGTGTAAAACAAATTTCAGATAGTCCGCATCGGCATATACCCCGCATGCATACATATCTTTAACGTCGTTACCGCAGCTTAATTTCATCATATTAATACAAAGTTTACATTTGTAATACATTCCACTATCAATTGTTAACATTACAATCATAACGTGCACAAAGAAAACAAACTAACTGGAAACGAGTGAACTTAAAACAGTAAATAAGTAACAAAAGTAAATATCCAATAAATAAGTAACACATAACTGGTAGATAAGTAAGCGTACTGTCAAGCTTACCAGCATTCGACCTCATCATATTACAGCTACTGGACCGGTAGTTACCCCTGTACAGTTTTAGCACTGGTAGATTGCGCACTGCGCAGACAATAGCAGCACTACGGTAACGCCATTGCCTCCTGGCAACAAAGCCATTGGAAGTTTGAAACAAAGCTCATGGTCGCGACTGTATAGTGCTCAGCCAATAGCAGCGGCCTAAGGGACTCAGCAATTATGATTCCGCGTCTGGTAGACAATGTTAAGGCCCTTCCCATTGTGCAATCCATAGCCTCAGCTGACACTTTCGCACCCCCTACAGCCACTGAAAGTATTACGGTAAACAAAGCGTGCCCACTTACAAAATTGTCGTTTCATTGTACAAACAATTCCAATAATTTAAAACGTGATAACATGTGCAATTTTAGTGCGAGTGGTTTATTCAGCAGTGCTTTAGTCAAAGGTAAGTGTTGCATAGTGGATAGTCCTACCATTACATGTCACACGTGTAAAATATTTTTGGGATAGCCCGTACCTCCATATACCCCGCAGGGTCTTGTTTAGTTTGTAAAACGTGGTATACCCCGCGGGTTATATGCGGGAAAATACGGTACTTGTATATATTATATTTTCTCAAGAGTTAAATTGTGAATGTATAAGGATTCTGCAATGCTTTCCAACATGTGTCTGTCTTCGGATGAATTGAATTGGCAGTATGCAAACAGATGGATATCCGTCAGGGTAAACATCCATTTGCAAAACTGAAAAAAGAAAATTTTTATCTTGTTTACGGTTTTCATATTTCTAGAGGAAGACGAGGGAGGGGGAGAAAGGGGTGCGTGGTCTGACCCTGCCAGCGCTGGTCCTCCCCCAGGGCCCGCTCGATCATGGTCTGGCTGGCAGCCACCGACAGCAGCTCGGAGCCCACCTCCCCGCCGGCGGCATGGCCGTTCTGCACCGCCTCCTGGGCCTGCAGATCCCTGCACAGTACGAGCATGCCCATCGTCATCGCCGTCAGCGTCATCGCCGTCAGCGTCATCATCGTCATCATCGTCATCACCATAGTCGTCATCACCGGAGTCGTCATCACCACAGTCGTCATCACCACAGTCGTCATCACTATAGTCGTCATCACCGGAGTCGTCATCACCATAGTCGTCATCACCATAGTCGACATCACCATAGTCGACATCACCATAGTCGACATCACCATAGTCGACATCACCATAGTCGTCATCACCATAGTCGTCATCACCATAGTCGTCATCACCATAGTCGTCATCACCATAGTCGTCATCACCATAGTCGTCATCACCATAGTCGACATCACCATAGTCGACATCACCATAGCCGACATCACCATAGTCGTCATCACCATAGTCGTCATCACCATAGTCGTCATCACCGGAGTCGTCATCAATGGTTTATCCAGAGCTGGATGAAGGCCTTCCCAAGCCTCCTTTGCCATCCCTCAGTCAGGCAATGCAAAAATGTCTCCACGAGACATCTCTCTCATCCATGCACTCCCAATATAAGGAGGACAAGGACTAATATAGGCAGGACATAAATCAATGACAATAGTATTTAACTTACGACAAATATGGGAATTGTAATTTCATCAGAGGTAAACCATTGGGTGAAGCTTTCATTTGGGTAGTGTAAACAAGATTATTTTTATGATCAGTTGAGACCTACGCAGACCTATCACTATCACCAGCCATAACCTATAACATTGGGGAAAAATTAAATTTATTTTAAAAGGAGTGCGCGAGACAGTAGCTCGCTTCAGCACATCTGGACAGCGCGGCACCATGGCTAGAATGTTTGTTTCAGTAATGATGGCCCATCGGCAGGGTGTCGTCCGCACAGGTTCCTGCTGAACAAAAGGCCTTTGCCGAGACAGAGCGAACACAGAAGACAAAGATCCCCCATATAGCCTTTAACAGACGCTGAGTCAGCGAGCACCTATGAAGGCCGGCACGGCACACGAGGGGGTGGGGTGGCCAACACCACGCCCATTTCCCCAGTGGCAGATGTTTACAAACCGCACCAGGTACAGGCGTGTCTCGCTTAATGAGAGATGCGTTCCCGTTAAACGATCACCGTGCTTTCAATAACTCCTATGTTAAAAGCCGAGTTGCGTTTCAGCCCCAAAAAAATGTCCACTCTTGAACAAAAACATTTTTTTTCATGAGAAATACAAATTCTAATTTCAAAATAGAGGATTAAAACATAAAATGTAACACTACACATGAAGAACAACAATACTTATACGGTTTGCCCATATTCTTGTACAGGGAAATAGATTTTTCAGTTCCATACGGCGTACAGCCGTTTCAATACGGGCAAAAATAAATATATATTTTCGTCTATTTGAGAATAGGGTTTCCCCTTTTTTCTGGCAACAAAACAGCTGTGTTAAGATGTTAAAACACCAAACTGAAACCTTTTACAAGGAATCATGTCTGTGTAGAGGTGTTAACCACGTACTGTTCGGTAACCTGCATTGCCACCAGGTAATCAAGGGGGCAGTGCAGCGTTACCTCTGGGTACATAACGGTTGGGGTCAGACGAGGTGAAGTGGATCGTAGCCACAGTTTGGTAAGAACCAATCAGGCAGTTGGTAAGAACCATTCAGCCAGTTCCACGTGGGAATGTGGGATTGGTTAGACCTGGCCACAAACGAGTATAAGGGTGACCACGAAGAGCATGGGGAGTTCTCTCCCTACACGAAGACCGAAGCCCGGGCTGAAGATAGCTAGGACCCTGGACCCAGCCTTCCAGCCATTCTGAGGGCTAAGGCTCGGCGTATCCAGTGGTCAGGACCCACCGGGCCAGCGGTGGGTCAGATAGCCTCCCCTAGGTCCCAGCCGGAGGACTCTGGGATAGGGTAACGGCAGACGTGCAAGTCCCGCCAAGCTAGGAAGCTGTACCTCCTTAGGTATCAAGAAGATCTGTGTGTAGGTTACGCTGAGTCCGGAGGCTGTACCTCCTTAGGGTATCGGGTGAGGGGACCGTATATCCCTCTGTGTGTTAAGGACTGAATAAGAATGGAATAACAATAAACAGAGTGTGCCTCCTAAGAAGTTTATTCGTCTTTAAAACACTACATCTGCATTAACCACATACACTAGTGGTCAGAATGCAAAAAAAAAACACTCTGATAGTATATGCACTGTTCACCCCGAGCTTTCATTACTCTGATAGTGGCATTGTCTTTGTGCTGTGCGCCTTTTGGCGTCCTCTGGTCTAACACCGTTTGAGACGAGGCTCGAAAGAAAGCTGTCTCTGGTGTGGAACAATCAGTTTCAAGGACAATGCATGTGCTATCAGAATATATTTTTTTTGCATTCTGACCACAAGCATTGTGGTTACGATGCAGACATGATTCCTTGAAAAAGGTTTCAGTTTGGTGTTTTAACAGCTTAACACAGCTGTTTTGTTGCCAGAAAAAAAGGGGAAAACCTATTCTCATATTTTGGTACTGGCAAAGGAGGTCCCATGAGGTTTTTGTCTCTTTGTTTGTGTTTATCCCTTGTGATGGGACTTTGTAGAAAGAACGTTGAGATATATAAGGGCACGGGATGACCAATAAAGTCTGTAATAAGGTGGGCACTGATAAGGAGCTGACAGGTTTGCCGTCCTCAGCACCTGCAATTAATTAGCGCCACCCACCCCTCCCCCACCGACCCATGAGTGCCACCACGAGGCCCCCCTCCTCAATACAACGAATAACACGCACGCAGCACAACTGGTAAACAGCTGTGGGCCGCGATGCGCCCCCTGCCGCCACGGAAATGCATTCGGTCGATCGGTCTCCGCTCGTTACGCGAACGTTCGCTCGTTTGGCAAAACAAATTCGTCTCAATTCAAATGTCTCGTCATAGCGAATTCTCGGAGAAAGAACGCTCGTCAAGCGACACACGCCTGTGCTCAATCGAGGCCGAGTCGACCTAGGGGAGGCCCAGCGCCAGTTCAAACAATCACCATTATTATTGGTTGCGCCGCGGGAATCGAATTCTCGTCGCCGGGTTCTTCGCGCCCGAACCACGACACTTCCGCTTCTCCCCCAAGCGAGTTGCGTTGCCATTGGACACGCGTGTGCGCGGTACCGGATGTCATAGACGGCAGGGCGCAGGTCCTGTGGGCCATGCGCAAACGCGCAGTGCACGCCGTTCTTGACGCAGTGGCCGCGCGCGTCCGTCTCGTGAATGCAGCTGCTCGTCTTGTAGTAGCGCAGGTGGTAGCGCCGCTCTGTGTCGCCGGTCGAACGGTGCAGGTACTGGCACCTGTCAGGTTGGGCAAGGGGCAGAGTCGTGGGTGGACGTTTGTCAAACAGCAGTGGTTCTCAACACTTGTTTTGGGGCTATAGCAACCCCCTTGTTGAATTTTGTTTCAACCGTGCAGCCCCCTTGCCCGACCCAACCAAGGTTCTGAGAAATAAATGTGCGAACGAACATCGATATTTTAAACAATTGCCCATTTGGTGAGATATCCTAACTAGTGAGTGACTGTAAGCGAATTCAAACATTTCAACGGACGCCCTGCGTGCGTGACTTAATTTGTTGCCGCTCGCTGCTTACTCTTGGAAACCACATTGTTCACGATCAATGATTTTATAAAAAGGTATTTTATATCGTTATAGGTTACCATGTGGATTTAAGTTGTATCGAAATGTTTTTATATTGGAAAATTCATACACGTTTGTTCACCAATGACTCTCACGTATGATATAATTTCACATATTTATAAATCACCCCACGTACCCCCAGGGGTCCGAGTACCCCTGGTTGAGAACCTCTGGTGTAGAGCACGGGTAGGAAACCATTGCCTAACCGAGGGATGAATACGACTCAAATAGTTTTGGTGAGCCACCCTACATTCACGAAGAAACAGATCTCCCATATAGCCTTTAACAGACTGTTATGGCAATTAGCGAGCACTCATGAAAGCCGGCATGACACACAAGGGGGTGGGGTGGCTAGTGCCACGCCCGGCCACCTTTGTCTCCCTAGTGGTGAATTTTACACATTGCACCAGGTACTTATTTGAGGGGGAGTTGACCTCCGGGAGGCTCGGGACCAGTTCAGAAAGCTGTCACAGGTGTTGGCCGTGAGCGGGAATCGAACTCGTGTTGCCAGACTTGTAGTGCAGCGTGCTCACCGCGGCACGACCGCTCCCACATATTGCGCACGCACAACGCTTAAAGTTAAACAGTCATAACGTCAAAAAATTACATGCATGATCACGGAGAATACCCATATCTTAAAGAGAGGGTCATGCTTTTTCATACAAGTCAACCCCAAAGCGTTCAAGTCAGTGAGACCCCCTCTACTGAAAAAGTTTGGGGGGGAAAACTCAAGAATTTGAAGGCACAGGAACATTTTAACTGTCATGTAAACAAGGGCATGTCGACTTGTTGAGAAAAGAAATACACAGTGCTTCCAGGTAAACAATACTCCCCTCTGGCACCCTGATTTACTGCGGTAAATATACTCGTAGTGTTGGATAACGTTTGTTTGCAGGCTGTTTCGAAGTGATCGGCCTCATGTGGCCGTGGTTCCTATGAAACGTCTGACCTGCGGGCCATAGATTTCCCATCCCTAATGTAGACTAAGGGTTTAAAATAAAGCAATTTTCTTCCAAATCCTTTTTTTTTTTTTATCGGGGGTTGGTATAGCTTCGAATTTAAGTCCAATAACGTGTGCCTTTCTTTGCTTATGGAAGCAAACAGGAATGCCCAGAGATAAAATCCACACATACGAGGGGAGAACGCAAACTCTGCTAATCGACGATGTTGCAAGTTTACCAACGCACAGAAGTGTGTGCACACGTGCAAAGAGCAGCGGCATTTCAGAACCATCCCATAGTAAAGACGTGGAGCACATCGTTGCACAGCTAGAATGGAGCGCTAAGCTGCTAATGCTGCAGAAGTCTTCATAAACAGCAGAGGTAAACAGTTCAGACCACTTCCTAGTGGAAGCAGAAGACCCTGCAGCAACCCTTTACGAGAGCGGAGAATTTGGTGCCAAATCAACGAGAAGATTTCCTTTGCGAGGGAATGGCTTCCAAGTAGATGTGTGGGGCTGGGCTTCTGTGGAAACAAACCTTACATGGCCAAACAGAAAGAAACCACAAGGCGAAGAATATTCTACGAGCATGGTTTGGGAATGATGTTCCACAGCTGGTTTGACGAATAATTGTTTTAAGAGTTAGCAGGTGTTACATTCGGTAATTAATACACGTCAAGTAAAATTCAAGGTGTTTTAATGTAACAAAAACATAAAAGTTACTCTTTACAACATAAAATAGTTGCCCGAGCTGGGTATCAGTTGCCACGTACCCCAGGGGTCTGCGTACCCCCGATTGGCTGATGCTGTTTGTAGTCACATACTTGAGTACCCTATTGTATATGTAAGAAAATAGATAAAGCAGACAATGTCTCCCACATATATCGGTCTTTCCAGATAAAATAACAGAAGTCCTCACGCAACCCATCAGCACCAGAGCCTTCTTGGTACACAATCTCAGCAGCATTGTTGCAATACTTGCAAACTCTGGTTGAACATGCAGTGTAATAATCAGCATTACAGGCAGTCATCGACTTATGTACACTCGACTTACGAACACCCGCACTTACAAACCAGCTTCCATAAAATATTTTGTTTTACCATTGAGAAAGAAAAAAGCGAATTCGCACTTGCAAACTGAACCACGGAACTATTTTGTTCAGCGATTCTCCATGAGATGTAAGGAGTCGGCCTCGTGCTAGGAGTGAGCGTTCGTGTGTATGGGCATTGCAATACAGTCCATTATAGTGTTCCGACCGTTCGACTTATGAACGGGTCTCGGGAATAAATCATGGTTATAAGTCGCGGACTCCCCATAATTCTGATTATTTTGTGTTATGTGTTATATCATTTGGTGTCCAACCAGGACCCATATCTAAAAGAGGGTTCATAAATGTCAACCTCAAAAGCGTCCATATTAGTGAGATCCTCACTGAAAAAGGCAACTGTCACTCACGTAGAGAAGGGCGAGTGTCCTTATTTGGAAAAGAGGGGAAGTGGGGGGCGGTTACAAAGTGGGTAATGTGTAGCAGCAATAGGAGGCAAATGCCGAGCACTTGGTGAACAAACGCCGTCCCAATCGTGCAAAAAACTATAATAATCTTGGAAAGTTGTAAGTAGTGTCCCGTTTTTTTCACAAGAATTCTGCGAGCGAAGACAAAACGTTTAGACACAACACTTGCACATTAGACCTGAACTTGTTGGCATCTTCTGCAGGTACACTGCAATCAATAAGAGCCGAGTTAATGGTTTTCATAATTCATTGCACAGGCGTGAGGCACTCAAAATATAAAAACACCACGAGTCTCAAGGGCAGTGCTTGGACAATCCTTGAAACTTAAAATGTGTGCCCGTTACATCTGTATGTATAAAGAACTTCTTTCGCACCATACGTAGCCAACTGCGCTAATCGGAGGTGCGGGGGAATAACCACAACTAAAACACAAAAAGCAGTAAACTATAATTAATTCTGCATTAATTCATCAAAAGCATGAGTTGAGATGCATGTAGATGATGCGGTGGCGCTTTGTTCTCAGTGTACCAACTGGATGTCCCACACAAAGAAAGCGTCATTAGAGTCACTCTCTTGGGCATGCTTGGACCCCAAGCCAGATTGGGACGTCCAGTTAGGCCAGCATATCATGGCCTGGCAAAGGCTCGGCATGGCAAAGAGCCAGTGAAAAACCACCCGTGCCGTGAGGGCCACGTGCCGGCTTGTACGTGCCAGCGGAAAACGGGGCACAAGACGTAGAGAAAAGCGTCAAGGGGAGGTATGTATGTTGAATTTATTTCACACCATACATAGCTAATCCGAGGTGTGGGGAAGAACAGCTGAACACAAAAAGCAATCCAAAAGAAATGAGTTTGTCAATCTCGGTGATTTAAAAGTTCATAGTTCCAGTGGCTTCCTGATATCGGTAGGAAGAGCGTTCCAGACGACCGCAGAAGCGCATCTGAAAGTGTCGAGCGACTCGGTGACCGTGTTTGGGGTGATACAGAGGGGCGCCAGTGACTCACTCATCGCCGTCCAAGCAGACCCCCGTGGTCTCGTCGTACTTGCTGCAGTAAACGTCTGGGCTGTAGTTGAAGGTGCCGTCGCGCCGGCGAATTGGCCGGCGTCGCCGCTGGTTCAGGAAGTGCCAGTGGAAGCAGGTGTAGGGCCGGTGCTGCGTGCACTTGTGCTGCAGGAAGAGCGAGCACTGCTCCGTGCGAAACTCCTTCAGGTACCTGGGCGGACAGAGGAGGTTCACAGGGTGGTGGACGGTCGTCAGTGACGGCACAAAAGGAGTTCTGCACATAATTAGGATAAAATGTTAGCTCTGAAGATTACAAAAATATATGAGTTGGACTGTCATGCTTAGGACATTACTCTCATTGGTGGGGCAGATGAGAAAGTGCTACACCATATGCTTGCATACAACTCACAGCCACAACTTGCCGTGAATATATATTTTTACCGTATCATTTTTTTTTACATTTAATGATGTGATGGCACTTTTTGTGGCAGATCCGTGCCAAAAAGGCACCACATGTTAACCAATAATAATAATCAATTGTCTTGACTTTATATACTGTGTAAGATCACCCATCCGAGGTCGTGTGAAAAGGATCTGAGAGGGAGTTGTGGAATCTCCTTCTGCGGGATATTTTCTAATACGGGTTGATCTTTCAAGAGTTCAAATTAGACACTTTGGTCTCAATGTTGATTTGAAGCTTTCGTGACTGCAGGAATTGATACTCTTTGGTTCTTTCGGTAAAATCACGTAGGTATTTTATTTTATTTTATACCTACGTGACTTGACCGAAAAAAACCAAAGAGCACAATTTGTCTTGTGACACAGTCCGTACGATTGAAGTTAAATTGGAATAAAGGCAAAAATTATTTAATTACAAAAACATTAAATTCAACAGAAGTGAAAACATATTAAGTGAAACAATAAGTTTGAACTGCTAAATTACAGCCTGCTGTCAGTCGAGAAGTTGCTTGACCATACTTCACCACGCTGGTCAAAGTAGTATGGTGAAGGCAAGATGACATATGTGCATAGAAATACCTTACAACAGTGCGATAGATTTGCTGCAATGCCCTCCTGAAGCCCAACGCGTATCCCCACACTAGACGGTCTCCCATCCAAGCACTATCCAGGGTCAACCCTGCTTAGCTTCACGAGAAAGGGCATATTGCTGGCGATTTTGACATAACCGCGTAGCAACTACCAATATACTGACAGACTTACGCACAAAACCAACAGTTACACATAACACACACAGTTACAGACAACAACAACAACCGCCATTCGCCACTAAGTGGCGGTGACGTCACCACGACGCTTGTGCCAGGCTATGTGCACCGTGAGGCCACGTGAAGTGTCGAACGCCCGCTGGCAGGAGGTCACTGGGCAGACCCAGGTGCCACGGGTCGACTGACTGAGATGACTGGCTGATGCACCACCTGTGCCCCCTACTGTGCCAACCTGCTGTGCTTTAGCCACCCGGCGCTCTGCTCGTTGTTGTGAGCGTCGCTCCTCCGCCCTCCGTTGTTGTTGGAGGGCGACTGCCTCCAACTGCCCAGTAGCATCCTTCACGAGCCTCCTCCACAGAGGCCGATCTTGACACCGCTGGTACCAGTCATCGGCAAGTCCACTCAGCTCCACGTCCTCCTGTACCACATCACTCCATCTCTTCTCTAGCCCGTGCCGCGCCCGCTTAGCCCCCTCAATCCGGCCAAACAAAAGCTGTTTCGGCATGCGGTGGCTGGGCATGCGGGCTACATGACCCAGCCATCGCAGCCTTGCCTGCCGGAGGAGCTCACCGATGGGACCCTGCCCAGATCTTTCAAGGATTTGTGAGCTCCTCACACAATCCAGTCTGGTTAAACCCAGGATGGATCGTAGGCAGGCCAGCCTAAATGTTTCTAACCGGCGAAGATGTTCCATTAGGGGGGTCCACGTTTCGCAAGCGTAGAGAAGGGAGGGAATGACCGTGGCCGAGAAGACCTGAAGCTTAGTGCGGAGCGACAGACCAGGTAGCTTCCACACAGCGTTACGCAACCGATGAAAAGATATTGCAGACAACACACACACAGTTACAGACAACACACACACAGTTACAGACAACACACACACAGTTACAGACAACACACACAGTTACACACAACACACACAGTTACAGACAACACACACAGTTACAGACAACACACACAGTTACAGACAACACACACAGTTACAGACAACACACACAGTTACACACAACACACACAGATACACACAACCCACCCACGTACAAATCAATTTATAACATTTTTGACATGCGTTTTTCTGGATTTTTTTGTTGTTATTCTGTCTCTCACTGTTCAAATAAACATACCATTAAAATTATAGACTGAGCATTTCTTTGTCAGTGGGCAAACGAACAAAATCAGCAGGGGATCAAATACTTTTTTCCCTCATTGTAGTTACACGCAGTTACAGACAACACAGTTACAAATCAACAACCCACAGTTACAATCAACCCACAGTTACAATCAACACACAATAGTTACACACAACACGCATAGTTACACATAACCCACATAGTTACAGACAACGCACAACACACAGTTACAGACAACCCACAGTTACAATCAACACACAACACAGTTACACGCAGTTACAGAAAACACACAGTTACACACAACACACATAGTTACACACAACACATTTACAATCAACACACATATTTAAACACAACACACAGTTAGACAACCCACAGTTACACACAACACACACAGTTACACACAACACACACAGTTACAGACAACCCACAGTTACAATCAACACACATAGTTACACACAATACAGTTACAATCAACACACATAGTTACACACAACACAGTTACAATCAACACACATAGTTACACACAACACAGTTACAATCAACACACATATTTAAACACAACACGTAGTTAGACAACCCACAGTTACAATAAACACGTTGATACACACAACACACAGTTAGACCACACACAGTTACACACAACACACACAGTTACAATCAACACACGTAGTTGCACACAATGCACGTAGTTACACACAACACAGTTACAATCAACACACGTAGTTACACACACAACACAGTTACAATCAACACATATTTAAACACAACACATAGACAACCGACAGTTACAATAAACACGTTGATACACATAACCCACAGTTACAGACAACCCACAGTTACAGACAACCCACAGTTACAGACAACCCACAGTTACACACAACACACAGTTACACACAACCCACAGTTACAGATAACCCAGTTACACACAACACAGTTACAATCAACACACATTTAAACACAACATAGACAACCCACAGTTACAATCAACACGTAGTTACACACAACACACACAGTTACACACAACACACAGTTACACACAACACACAGTTACACACACACACACACCACACACACACCACACACACACGGTTACACACAACACACAGTTACACACCACACACACACAGTTACACACAAAATTACACACACAACACTGTTACACACAACAGAGTTACACACAACCAACACATTTACATACAACAGTTACACACAACAAACACAGTTACACACAACACACCCTACGAGTGAACCTGGAGCGGTGTTTACTACACACCGCCCCAGGTACCCTACGGGTGTACCTGGAGCGATGTTTACTACACACCGCCCCAGGTACCCTACGATGTACCTGGGGCGATGTTTACTACACACCGCCCCAGGTACCCTACGATGTACCTGGGGGAGAGCCCAGGACCAGGGTTCAGGTAATCGTCGCCCGTGTTGGGCTCGAGCGGGAATCGAACTCGGGTCGCCGGGTTCGGAGCGTGGCGGTGTCGCTCGCACAGAACGCCGAGAGAGGCAAGTCCAGCGAGTGGTGTGGCCGGGTGTGTGTGTCGTGGTGTGGCCGTGTGGTGTGGCCGTGTGTGTGTCGTGGTATGGCGTGTCGTGGTGTGACCGCGAGTGGTGTGGCCGTGTGTGTCGTGGTATGGCGTGTCGTGGTGTGGCCGTGTGTGTGGCGGTGTGGCTGTGTGTGTGTGTCGTGGTGTGGCCGTGTGTGTGTGGCGGTGTGGCTGTGTGTGTGTGTGTCGTGGTGTGGTCGTGTGTGTGGCGGTGTGGCCGTGTGTGTCGTGTGTGTGTCGTGGTGTGGCCGTGTGTGTGGCGGTGTGGCCGTGTGTGTGTCGTGGTGTGGCCGTGTCGCGGCGCGTTCGCGCCTTGGCGATGCGTCGTGAGCGAGTCCGGGCGCCCTCTCCACGTGATGTGGCTACGTGGTGGGTGCCCGGAGCCGTGCGTATCCGCGAGTTCGCCGTGGAGGAGTATCGCGGCGTGCCACGCGTGAGTATCTCCCGGTGTGTTTGTTGTTGTTTGGCGTGGACCGTACGTGTAGTGGTGCGGCCTCTCGCTCGGCGTGGCCAGGGCCCCGCGGCTCGGCATGGCCCCGTGGCCTGGGCCCCGTGGCCTGGGCCCGCGCGCCGCCTCCCCCTCGGCGCTGCCTCCTGCGGCTGCGGCGGCGGCAGCAGCGGCGGCGGCTCCGTCGCGAACACGCCCACACCACACACTCACTCCCTTCTCCTCCTCCTCACTCCACCTCCTCACTCACTCCTCCTCACTCCCTCCTCCTCCTTACTCCACCTCCTCCTCACTCCACCTCCTCCTCACTCCACCTCACTCCCTCCTCCTCACTTCTCCTTCTCCTCACTCCCTCCACCTCCTCACTCCCTCCACCTCCTCACTCCCTCCTCCACCTCCTCACTCCTCCTCACTCCCTCCTCCTCACTGCCTCGTCGTCCTGGTCCCCCTCGCAGCGACGACAACAACAACAGCACCGCGCCCACCCCGTGCAGTAAAGCAGCGCGCCACCCAGCACCGACTTCACGGTGGGGTGGGCACAAGTGGTTTGCGAGTGGCAATTTATGCAAAAGCTGTGCAGAGGTGGTGGGGGGTGCGCCAAGAACCACGCCCGGCCGCCTTTGTCTCCCCCACCCACACAAGTGGCGATGGTTGACGCGTCGACACGAGGTTGCGTGCGAACTCGGGCGGCTTGACGCGAGCGCTGAGGCTCAAGATGATCGTCGTTTGTGTTTGTCGGCCTTTAGCGTGAAAACAGCTGCCCCCCACACACGTACACAGCACGTGGAGCGACGACAACAGCCGCCATTCGCCACGAAGTTGTCAGTGAGTGGCGTCACCACAAGCGCTTGTGCCAGGCTAGGTGCGCTTTCAGGCCACGCGAAGTGTCGAAGGCTCGCTGGTAGGTCACGGGATAGACCCAGGTGCTATAGGATGACTGAGATGACTAATAGGTGCATCATCACCTGTGCTCCCCATATTGTGCTATCTTTGCTGTATTTTAATCGCCCGGCGTTCCGCTCGTTGTTGTGAGCGTCGCTCCTCCGCCCTCCGTTGTTGTTGGAGGGCGACTGCCTCCAACTGCCCAGTAGCCTCACGGTGCACCTAGCCTGGCACTAGCCCAGTAGCGTCCTTCACGAGCCTCCTCAACAGAGGCCGATCTTGACACCGCTGGTACCAGTCATCGGCAAGTCCACTCAGCTCCACGTCCTCCTGTACCACATCACTCCATCTCTTCTCTAGCCCGTGCCTCCTGTACCACATCGCTCCATCTCTTCTCTAGCCCGTGCCTCCTGTACCACGTCACTCCATCTCTACTCTAGCCCCGTGCATCCTGTATCACATCACTCCATCTCTTCTCCAGCCCGTGCCTCCTGTACCACATCACTCCATCTCTTCTCTAGCCCGTGCCTCCTGTACCACGTCACTCCATCTCTACTCTAGCCCCATGCCTCCTGTATCACATCACTCCATCTCTTCTCTAGCCCCGTGCCTCCTTTTCTACATCACTCCATCTTTTCTCTAGCCCGTGCCTCCTGTACCACATCACTCCATCTCTTCTCTAGCCCGTGCCGTTTAGCCCCCATCTATCCGGCCAAACAGAGAAGCTGCTTGGGTGGTTGGGCATGCAAGCTCCATGACCCTGCCAACTGAACCTTGCCTGCTGGAGCTCACTGATGGGACTGTGTCCAGATCTTTTAAGAATCTGCGAGCTCCTCAACACAATCCAGCTTGGTTAAACCCGGGATGGATCGTAGTCAGGCCAGCCTTAATGTTTCAAACTGGCGCAGATGTTCCTCCAGATGGGTCCAGTTTTTGCAAGCATAGAGAAGGGAGTGGATAACTGGCCGAGAAGACCTGGAGCTTTGTTTTGAGTGACAGACCAGGTAGCTTCTACGCAGCTGATGAGATGACGCTCGGCTGATTCGGAGACCGTTGCTGCCAAACTAGAACTGGTCATAAGCACACTGCCCAGGTATGAGAGCTCCTCCACTCTTTCCACAACTGCCCCATCACTCTTTGGGAGTTGAGGGCTTGAATGTTTGATGAAAAAGAATACCCAGGCAGATGCTTTGTTTTTGTGGGGCTGATATGTAAGGCCTCACCATTTAGTTGCAGATTCCAGGTTGAGCAGCAGAGGCTCCAACTCCTCAGAGTGAGCAAAAATTCCCAGGTCATCAGCACACATAACATTGTTGACCAAAAAGGAGCCATCCCTGGACTGCACTGGGGCATCGATTAGCCTCCCATTGTATCTGTACCAGATGTAAATTCCTCATACTAATATACACACGCACACAAATACAGTACTGTATACTCACACGAATGTACAAAGATCCCCCGTGCAGCCTTAACAGACTGTTCGGGCAAGTGCAGTTCGCGAGCACATGAAGGCCGGCACGGTGAGGGGGTGTGTGGCTAGCAGCATGCCCAACTGCCTTTGTCTCCCCAGTAGCAATGTTTACACACTGTACCAGGTGATTATTTGAGGCTGAGTTTGGCCTAGAGGAGGCCCAGGACCAGTTCCCTGCTGGTCAAAACTCACACTGATACTTCATGGAAAGGTAATGCCAAAACTATTCAATGTCGTCTCATGTACTAATCTATGAATAAAAGTCATTATTACAATCAAAGCCATTTGAGAAGCAACGGACCAAGCTTACAATTATGTTGATCTTGGAAAGATTGATGGTGTCTAGGGTCACCAGATGGATTCCATGTCAACATGATCAATACAAAACATATACTTAAGTGACTCAACATTATCAGCCCTGCTGGATGGTTTCCCCTAAGCCATTTTCATCCCTCGTGGTTTCATAAGTTGATGTCCAAAGTTGCTCTGTGGTCCAATTTTCCCACGTGGAACGTCCTCATCTGAATCACGGTTCAATTCCTTGGAAAAACTTTACATTTCTACCAGGGGTATGCATTCAGTTATACAAATTTTAATTAGTGGTGGAATTTTATGCTCAAAATAATTGTCTAATGTTGTAAATGTGCAAGAATTGATGCTTCAATTCGTACGTTATTCGGAGTGGGTTCACATGACCCCATCATAAACTTGTCATGATCCATCTACAGCTGGATGAAGGTCTCCCCAAGCTGTTGTCATCACACGGTTTTGGATATAGTAATCCGGCACCTGCAAATGAGGTAATGATCAAGGTGTAATCATACGTGACATGAAATAAAAAAAACACATTTGGCGATCGTAAATTTATTTATGATTCAATATTTCCGTGACTCACAACATGCGGAGAAACAGCTCATCAACATGAATAAATAATTATCAATCGGTATTTTGAATCTTTACTGAATTTACACAGCGGTGATATTAAACTCATGACCAAAACATCATACATGTATAAGTCAAGAAAATAACCGAGATTAGGGCAAAATATCGGACCAAACAAATGCAGGTTACAATGCACGCAATGTTGGCTAACGTTGCACCACTCGTTAGCACTTACAAATGATCACTTCTCTGTCCTGCCCCTAATCAAAGTCTACACTGATCAACATTTATTGAGGGGTAAGCTTTTCCTAAGGCCGTTCTTTACAAGGTCTTCAGACACGTGTTTACTGCAGTCAACATTGAGACATTTTATCCAATGTGTTCAAAATGTAATAAAACACGCATGATTAAATTCACGTGCAGATATAATTTTAAGTTTTGGAATGAGATACCGTGGATGAAAACACGCGTGTTATAGTGGTATTTACGGTAAGTTTAATTTTCATCAACAGAAGTGGCCTTAAACTTTCAAGCAAATTATATTGAAATGCTGCCCTTATATCCAACATAACGTTTGAGACTATCAAATGTATCCTAAATGTTATATTGGAGTTCTACCATGAGGTCAAACAACACATCTGGTCATAAATCCATTGGAAGATCATTCAGTAGAACCTTCTTTTCAACGCCGAATTGCATTCATTCATGCTCCATAAAGAGTGAATTGCAACATGTCAGTCTTCGGATATTTTTGTAAATTTGAGCCATAAGAGCTGCTAGCTCTGTTGGTGTCAGCCTGTAACTCCCCACGACTGGATAAAGGCCTCCCCCATTTTCTTACTTTCCTTTTTTTTGTTCAGTAAGAGCCTCCAAATTATTTGATCTAAGTCATATAAAGTATAAACTGACATTTGTACGGTCTTTCTATGCATTCATTTGCGATTGGCCCAAAAACGATGAACTTGCGACAACGGAAAACATTATTTCATCACAGGTGGCTGTCAGGACTTTTGCTGGAATAGTTCTAGTTAGACATGGCCATTAGCCCCCATAAATCATCCAGCGCTTGCAAACGAGTGGCTGGAGCTTCAGGAAGATTTAACCGCAGCCGTCGCTCACATCAGCCCCCCGAGCTTGCTGTTGAGAAAGTTCCATCCCTTCTTCAGCAGTTGCTCTCGCGTCGCCGTCGACCGCACGTCGCGGTGTTTTTGGAACTCTCGGCGGACGGAAGACACGAAGAAGTCTCTGTCCGTGTACTGCAGCCGACGGCCCTCGCGCAGGATCGCGCGGTACAAGCCGAGCACGGCCGGGCGCGACCACTGCACCGCCACGCCAGGCATCGCCACAGCTGCCGTAGTCACAACTATGGCTCCTGCAAGAACAAAAACGCGCGCACGTGTGGGTGTTGAGGGAAGGAAACGTGACGGTTTGCTTCATTTAACACAAAGGCTTGCGCGACCAATATCCATAATGAAGGTTATTTTAAGTTAGATCGCGTGAATATAAATACGTCGTTCAACCTGCCACCGTCCGACACAGCCAATTAGTAAGGTTTGTCACGTAAACAAAACACACCAATTCGGTACTCGCCTAGTTTCATAGATTGACGCACGCCTGTGATCCAGCACTTGGGAGGCAGTGGGGTTGGTGGGTCGGCGTCCAGGTGCCATAGCCTGGCTCACCAGGAGACGTCGGCACAGGAAAGTGCGAGCTAATCTCCATCTGTCCCTTCAGTATGGAATAGAGTGTTGCCCCCTCGCACGCGTGGCTTTCCTCCCACATGTATAACACTCCTTCGATGGCCGAGAACATCTTCATGCGTTGTGAGATGCAGTTTGCATACATTAGGCTACTATATAAACACTCGTATGAACACTCATTTCCGAATGATCAACCTCGCCACGTGCTGGTGTTGTCAACCTGCTCACCACGTGTGTGCGTTCGACGCCAGTTCCTTCAAGAAGCTGCCAACAAGCGGCGCGAAACATCGGACATCGTGGCAACGGAGTCGCCCTCGCTCACCCTAACAACTGCCACCGTCCCCCACTAAGTGGCGCTTGTGCCGGGCTAGGTGTACCTCAAGGCCACGTGAAGTGTCGAAGGCTCGCTGAGGTCACGCGACAGAAGCAGGTGAGGAGACTGACAGATGCACAATCTGTACTCACCACCGAGCCAACTCACCCACACGCACTCACTTCCCCACTCTCTCTCACCCACTCTCACCCTCTCCCACACTCACCCCTACTCACTCTCACCCACACTCACCCACACTCTCCCACACTCACCCCCACTCACCCTCACTCTCTCCCACACTCTCTCCCACACTCACCCCCACTCACCTCCACTCACCCGCACTCACCCCTACTCACCCACACTCACCCCTACTCACCTCCACTCACCCTTACTCACCCCTACTCACCCACACTCACCCACACTCACCCCTACTCACCCACACTCACCCCTACTCACCCACACTCACCCCTACTCACCCACACTCACCCCTACTCACCCACACTCACCCACACTCACCCCTACTCACCCCTACTCACCCACACTCACCCCTACTCACCCACACTCACCCCTACTCACCCCTACTCACCCCTACTCACCCACACTCACCCCTACTCACCCACACTCACCCCTACTCACCTCCACTCACCCCTACTCACCCACACTCACCCCTACTCACCTCCACTCACCCCTACTCACCCACACTCACCCATACTCACCTCCACGCCGCTCACCCCTACTCACCTCCACTCACCCCTACTCACCCACACTCACCCCTACTCACCTCCACTCGCTCTCCACGCCGCTCACCCCTATTCACCTCCACTCACCCCTACTCACCCCTACTCACCCACACTCACCCCTACTCATCCACTCACCCCTACTCACCCACACTCACCCCTACTCACCCACACTCACCCCTACTGACCTCCACTCGCTCTCCACGCCGCTCACCTTGCCCCGTTGTCGACTGGGGCCCTCCAGCGATTCCTCTCCGCACGCGATTACATACCGCGATTCATCTCCATAATCCGATTCCTAAACAGATTCTATTTTGTATTGGTGAACGCGCCCGGAATCGAACACGAATCGATTACCTACAATTCACTCGCGTCGAAAATACTCGATTTTTACATGCACTGTAGACGTTTTAACCTCATTCCATTTCAATTGCACATCGCTCTATAACCTCCAAGGTACACTGACGCCACAATATATCATTGTAAGCTAATAAAACGACTCAAGTGAGGGAAAACACGAGGTAGAACACGTATAAGAAATAAAATCCAATGTTAACATTGTTTTTTCTTTGGTTCTTTCGGTAAAGTCACGTAGACTGAGAATAAAATAATAAATTGATAAAATAAAATAACACAATAATATTCTCACGACGTTTCTGTGACCAGTCACAAGCTAATCACTCAGCTATTTCAATGCTAAATTCTATGCTAATTCCTTTGTCAAGGGGTGCCTCTGCGGATGTGTATGCTTTAACTTAGCTATTTCAATGCTAAATTCTATGCTAATTCCATTGTCAAGGGGTGCCTCTGCGGATGTGTATGCTTTAACTTTTAACATAGCTATTTCTGTGACCAGTCACAAGCTAATCACTCAGCCATTTCACTGCTAAATTATATGCTAATTCCTTTGTCAAGGCGCTTTGTTCCTCTCACACAGCTTAAAGGTCGCGATCTGAACGTGGCTCTTTCACTCCAGCGCTGTCCTACCAGACAGTCTCGTCCCTTCACCTGATGAAGGCCGCTTGTGTTGTGGCCGAAACGTCGTGAGAATATTATTGTGTTATTTTATTTTATCAATTTATTATTTTATTCTCATTCTACGTGACTTTACCGAAAGAACCAAAGAAGATGAATCATCGCAGTCACGAAAGCTTTAAATCGAAATTATTATTGTTGTTGTCTTATGGCTGCTGATGTAGATGGACGTCTACGAGATTCCAGGCGCATCAAGCCACAGACAAACCGCTCCGACCGTCTCCTTTCGTTAACTTGCATTGCATCGTGACTGTCCCTGTTGGACTGAGCCACACAATCAGCTGTCCACGTCTGCTGCTGTCAATATTTACGTACGAGCAGAGTGCGGGTGTTTTTATTATTATTGTTTATTATTACTAAACGCTTTTTTTAATTCACTCTGTTGTTGTATCCTCAAATCTTGTAACTCAATTTTAACCCCACTTCCCAATGTGGTATCGACTGCGAAATTTGTATGCTTATGTCATACTGATGACAATACTATATTCTATCATTAAAATAAAAAAAATATTTTTAAAAATATTCTTTTTTTATGTTATGTTTCGGCTTGGGTCTAATTGTCCACGGTCCCGTACTTTATGGCAAGCCTCGGGGCCACTTCCTTAGAATGTGGGGATTACTAGTACGGTACATTTCATTAAAGCGTGTTTTTAAAATAAAAAAGTTAAATATTACTTTGTTGTTGTTGACGATGATCACGAAACCCCGCCAGCGGGAAGCGATGATGCATTAAAGCCGAGGCCCGGCGAATCGATTCAACAACGAAAGTAATCGACGACTCGGCCGAATCGCCGGAACAAGGCGGTGGCCTTCAGAGTCCCCGTCCCAACTCGTTCCGCTCGTCTCCTCAAACCTCCTGCCCGAACCCCGAACCCCGCTCGCCGTTCTCGCGTCTCGCCGAGTCGGAGCGCCATGGCCAGCACGGGCGTGCTGCCGTTCGTCCGCGGCATCGACCTGAGCGGGAACGACTTCAAGGTAAGACGAGAACGAGGCCATTCACCACCACCACCAATATTTTGATATTTTTCCTGTATTGTCTGTTTGCACAGTCACATAATCACTTTAAGATGTTTTTCTTGTTCATGTTTTTTGTTTGTTGCGGTTGCACCCGATTCAAGAGCCGAATGGCTCACGGGGCTATACCAAATAAATGAACTATGAACTAACTATGAACCAACGCCGCCGCCCTCCTCCATGTAGAGACCGCGCCGCGAAACGTCGCGGTGCCAGCTCAGAGGGTTTCCCTCCAGCCCCATTCGTTTGTGTTGGAAGGACCTGGCGTTAACTTAAGAGTGGCCAGGTTAGGGGGTTTCCCTCCAGCCCCATTCGTTTGTGTTGTGAAGGACCTGGCGTTAACTTAGAGTGTCAGCTCAGAGGGGTTCCCTCCTGCCCCATTCGTTTGTGTTGGAAGGACCTGGCGTTAACTTAGTGTCAGCTCAGAGGGTTTCCCTCCAGCCCCATTCGTTTGTGTTGGAAGGACCTGGCGTTTACTTAGTGTCAGCTCAGAGGGGTTTCCCTCCAGCCCCATTCGTTTGTGTTGGAAGACCTGGCGTTTACTTAGTGTCAGCTCAGAGGGTTTCCCTCCAGCCCCATTCGTTTGTGTTGGAAGGACCTGGCGTTTACTTAGTGTCAGCTCAGAGGGGTTTCCCTCCAGCCCCATTCGTTTGTGTTGGAAGACCTGGCGTTTACTTAGTGTCAGCTCAGAGGGTTTCCCTCCAGCCCCATTCGTTTGTGTTGGAAGGACCTGGCGTTAACTTAGTGTCAGCTCAGAGGGTTTCCCTCCAGCCCCATTCATTTGTGTTGGAAGGACCTCGCGTTTACTTAGTGTCAGCTCAGAGGGTTTCCCTCCAGCTTCATTCGTTTGTGTTGGAAGGACCTGGCGTTAACTTAGTGTGGCCAGGTTAGGGGGTTTCTCTTCTGCCCCATTCGTTTGTGTTGGAAGGACCTGGCGTTTACTTAGTGTCAGCTCAGAGGGGTTTCCCTGCTACATCCACGAGAAAGCTGCGTGCTGATGTTTCGTTGTTCAGAATCTTTATTCGTATCGGAGGAATCCGATGAGCTATGAAGCTCTTTTTGCACACATGCCCAGTAGTTTTCACAGACGCGTGCCCGGTGACGTAACCTGTGCCGAGGGTTTAACTTTCTGATGCCAGGTTCGAGGATTTCCCCCTCCACCTGTGGTTGTGTTGATGTTGTGTTTGAGCGGTGGGGCTGGTTCACCACAGTGCTACGAACCCGGCTACCTGAGTTCGATTCCTTTCCACCCCTCCCTCGCACCCTCATCTTCACCAACCCCGAACCAACCTCTCCACCTTCCCGAACCTCCCCCACCCCCCCCCCCCCTCCTCACTTTACCAGCGTGGTGAAGTATGGTCAAACAGCCGCCGCGATCGAACACGACGTGGGGGAGATCCCTCAAGTGAATAGGCAAAACGACCGTCACGCTCTTCACGTGTGTAGACGTTGGGGTCAGGTGCCAGGACGTTCCCTCGCCACGTCAGTGGACTTGCTGCGTGTGTTTAGGGCAGGGGCGGGGAACCTTTTTTTTCTGCCAAGGGCCATTTGGATATTTATAGCATCATCATTCGCGGGCCATACAAATTATCAACTTAAAAATTAGCCGGTTATATTTGGTCAAAATTTTTAATTAACTCACCCCTACTGTGATGGGCTGGAACTGTTTCTCTTTGGCGAGGCGTGATGTTGGCTGGTATTGACGATGTTGCTACTCGCAACTGCTTTCCAGGTTTGCTCCGAGATTTATTGAATTTCGAGTCCCGCCTGCGGTTGCCTTGGCAGGGCCAGAGACCAAATGATTTCGTGGGCCCTCTACGGCCCGCGGGCCGGACGTTCCCCACCCCTGGGTTAGGGGGACACTTAGAATGTGAGGATTTCATAGTTTCAAAACGTAACTCACTTACCCACCGGCCTGCGAGATTTCCAAGAGATGGCAGTACAGCAGCAAGTGTGTCTATGTGACCTTTTTTTAAAATAAAGTATCCAAAATGATGAAAAAAGTAAAAATAGGTGTTACACTTTCTGGCAATAAAACAGGAGTAAGTTAAGATATTCAAACACCAAATCGATACATTTCACACGGCATCGAGTCTGCATTAACCACAGGTACTTGTGGAAAAACATGCAAACACAAACATGCTCTGAAAATAAATGCATTGTCGTTGAAACAACCTTTTGCCTGCTCAGCCACGTGTATTATGTTCTTGTGTATGATGGCAGCTATATATTTAGGGGCTAAATGATAGCTTGAGAGGTCTGTGTAATTTAGCTATACATCCGTTGTAGGAACACGGACTATGTACTGCGTGGCTTTCCATCAATAAAGGGCATTAGGAAGCACAAAATAACAATTCGCCAGTATATATACTGTATTTATACTACTGTTTATTATCTGGGATTGTTCTTTTGTCAGGGGGTTTTACATGTTTATTTATATAGTTTAGTTTTTAGTTTATTTGGCATACAGTTTCGTACCTGTTTCAATTGTGATGTCTATTTTTGGTTGCCATGTACCTAACCCCATTATTTAGGTTAGGCTTAACTATTGAATATCGCGGTTTTGGCTTTCGCGGCACTTTCCAAGAAAGTAACCATCGCAATATTTAAGGGTCTCGTGTATGTTGAACGTCGCCAACCGTGCTAACCGGAGGTGCGGATATAAAGTCGATGTGTTTTCTGATTATTTTCTCCTTTTTTACATTGAGCCTAGGATGTTAGTCTTGGAAATCAGATTTTTTAAAATTTATGTTAATTTATCCAGCGTGAATATGCTAATGATAGACATCAAATGATAGGGACTTTTCGGTTGTTTTACCGTTATAGTGTATGCCTGTGCATTAAAATATATACGCTTTGAAATGTTTGCCCATGGGAGGCCCTTATACTCAGCGTTCAATGTATGTATGTTGAACTTCTTTTGCACCATACTTAACCAACCGGGCTAATCGGAGGTCCTGGCTGGGATCTTGGTATAAGCAACTACAATTCAAGGCTACACATTTGATTTGCATGTGTTTTGCAGTTATGCCAATTATGGTAATAACAATAATTCTTTATTTTGATATGCCACCCTTTATACTGGGGGATTTTAGCACTTTACATCACATTTTAAAGGGACACGCCCTGTGGCAGCTGCCCCTGTGGGCACACTTTGACTCAGCACCTGAACTGCAATCGGCATTAGTCTACCAGCAGTGGGTAATGATTGCTATTTGTAATCCCAATTGTGTAATTGCAGGTAATTTTCGAATTTGGCAAATTTGGACCATGATGCTTGCACACATTGGCTTACTCTTGCAAATTACCCCTGGAATTTTTTGTGTCTTCTGTGAAGTATTTAATGGTTATTGCACCCACAGTAATATCCAGGGTGGCCCACTGGGCTGGAACCGCGAACCTCCGCAACAAGCAGTAAATGCGCTACTGCTGGGCCGTGATTTTAAATTATTTGTATTCAAGGTTTGATGCGACTACTTTTTCTTATTTGTTGAGAGGGCATGACCTTACCGGGAGAGTGGGCAGAAAAGTTAGATGGAAAGTTAATAGTTGTGATTGCTCGCAAAAGACACCTATCTTTCAAAGCATTGTCTTTATGGGACTTGATATATTAAAAGAAGCTTGTTCTTATCATCATTGCCAACATAATTTTACTGTTGACGCCTTGAAAATGCTTGTTGATATGGACATCATTGCACCTTTAACCAAGGCAACAACATTTGCACAGGAATAATAATACTGTACTTGCGTTTATATTGTGACCATAATGTGATGAAACGTCATGGAGTGCAGGGATGGGCCCCTGTGTGCGTAATCGATTTTCTGCATATGCAGTCGCAGTGGCGTGGTGGTGCCAAAGACATGGCCAGAGCTACTTTTAATTAGATCGCATTACGATGACATTTAACAATGCAAGATAATGACGGTGTCCAGATAATTTAGTGAGGTGGGGAAAAAGTCAGTCAGCCACGCAGTTGCCGAAAATATTTTAATTAATATTGACATTTGTGCAGTGTTTAATTTCTCTAACGTGGTGGTTGTCATTGTGCTCTGATTTTGTGTAATTTTCCTTGGCGTGTTTTGTCTTATTCCTCGTCATTTTGGTAACTCGGGTTACTATTGCAAATGAGACTATATCATGGTCTCTTGAGTTCTCAGCTGGTTCACCAAAATAAAGTGAAACTAAAGTAAACTTGGCCGGATTAAGCAGTGCAACTAACCGTGACACATCATTGACCACACCCTTGGTGCCCTTAACCACTCAGACATGCCTCTCGTACTCGCCCCACCCTTTATCGCCTTCGGGAGCAAGCGCACCATCGTTTCCTTCCTTAAAGAGACCTGTCGCAATGTTTCCATTTATGTGTTCAGAAGTAAGCTAAACTTATTTGAATGTATGTGCTTGTCATATTGATATCTTTTTCAGTTTTAATGTTTGCTGCTGTAACAAATGTATGGCAGTTGTTTTAACGTAAGTGGCCGTGCAATTGACCGATTTGGTATGAGTGATCATTTGTATGTTTACGATCTGCAAATTAATAACAAAAACACTCAATACACTGGTCAATAATAATAGGCAACTTTGTGGCCCTTCTTTGCAGCACAGAGAGGCCAGAGAAGGAGATTTGTGATACTGCCATTGCAATGTCACCAAATAATTTGTACATAAACAAGCACTATGTCTAAAGAGCTGTATAAAATACGTTTAAATAAAAAATAAAGTTAATAAAACATTAAAACCTGATTCCCACCACCATCTATCCCAGAAGAATTCCCTCATCAAAACACTACACCATAGAGCTCAATGTTATCTCCGACCATGAACACCTAACCAGTGAACTCAAACACGTACACCAAGCTCTCAAGGCGAATGGATATTCTGACTACACGATCCGCAAAGCCATCACCCCAACCATGAGGAAGGAGCCATCTGAGGATCCAATCAAAACCATCACCTTGCCATACATAGCAGGGGTAACCAATTTTTTTCCCAAATAATGAACAAACACAAGATCCAGGTCCGATTTAATACAGTACATAAAATTCCGGATCTGATCCCATCTGTCAAGGACAAGATTCCTGACATGCAATATCCCGGCGTCTACAAACTAAGCTGTATCTGCGGCAGCAGTTACATTGGGGAAACTAAGCGACATGTCTCTGACCGTGTTCGTAAGCATAAGGCAGATTTGAAACATGGTGGGACCAATACTTCTGCCGTGGCTGATCATTATTTTAATGCTGCTGGCTCACACGAAATTGATTTCTCTAAGACGATGGTACTTTGCAAGCCTTCTGGCTATCAACAAAGATTCGTTCATGAAGCCATCCATATATACAGACACAGACACAATTTCAACCGAGAGGATGGTTATAGACTCGGCAATCATTGGAAAGATGTTATCAACCACTTTGGGTCATGACTTGACTTGTGTTTTCTTGTCAACCTCCACCGTCAGTAGTGTGGCGGTGTGGAGCGTTGTGCAATTATTGCATGGCGGTCCTTTGATTGGTGTAGACCCACTGCAGGTGTCATTGTTTTCTCCTACATTAACATTAGCTGCCCCGCCCATGCTGCTGACACACTTGGGCCACATTAACATTAGCTGCCCCGCCCATGCTGCTGACACACTTGGGCTACGCCCATCTCTAAACCTTTATAAACAGTTTGCCTTTAGAGGCTAACCCCCCTTTTCCTGATGACGACCGCTTGTGTTGCGATCGAAACGTCATGGTTTAGTTAGTGTTATTTATTTATTTTATTTCTGAAAGAATCAAGAATAAGTCAACATTACAGACTGCGAGTATGCTCACTCAGGTTAGAAACCAGGCTACAGTCTACATTATAGAGTGCCAGTACGATCACCGAGGTTAAGAACCAGGCTACAGTCTACATTATAGACTGTCAGTACACTCACCCAGCTTAATAACCATAGCTACATTCTACATTATAGACTGCCAGTACACTCACCAAACTTAATAACCAGGCTATAGTCTACAGTATAGACTGCCAGTACACTCACTCCGATTAAGAACCAGGCTACAGTCTACATTAGTGTTTTTAATGTTTTTTTGTTATTTTTATTATAATTTTTCTACCTACGTGACTTTACTGATATAATTAGTAATGCAATTGAGTGGTCTTGATGCAATCATTTGTGACCTGGCTGAGGCCATCAATTTATGTGCTTGAGACCCCGGGTTCACACCTATCACGTCAATACTTCAACACTCGGTGTAAGCCCACTGGCAGGTGGACAGAATGTTACGGTACAATACGTTGGTTTCTTGTGCCCATTTGTGTGGACTTTTAAATGTTATTCCCTCACGTGCCAGAATGTTCCCTTGGTAGTACAGTTGCCTCCCTTATGCAGAAGGAACTAGCCAAACTTTACAAAGTCCAGGCATGCTTTAAATAGAGTCTGAAGACTCGGTGAAGTTTTCCTGTACAAATAAAAGGACATTTTTTTTATTTTTTAACATGAGCACCGTGGAGAAAAAGCTGACCGAGTGAGCATAGTCCTGACCACACCTTTGCGTACCATCCCAGCCTGAGGAGGCGCTCCCAGGCTTAGAAGGCGCCTCAATAAAACACCTGCTCTGTTCGGTTGAGTTTAGTTATTACATTTTTGTTCACCCCGGATAGGGGCTCATTGAGATAAAAAGCTATTTTTCAAGGGTGACCCTGCACCCGGGGGGCCGGGGGTTAGACTGATAGTTTAACTATAATAATAACCCACCCTTTGTCAGTCCACTGCTGGATGATGGCCTCTCCCATGCTTTGTCAGTCTAGGAGAATTCTTTGACAAATTTTACTATTTAGTGTGGGTTGGTCACGTTGTCAGGGTTATTGATGATCCAGCACTCCGAAATTGTCTCCAGTCACTCTCTCACCGGTGGTCAGTCACCTCCTTATCACTCTTCTATTGCTACTACTGTTCCTTACTGTTCTCGTGAAATTCGTCTATTCATTCCTCCACTTGTGTTGAGGACTCGGTCTCGCAGACTGACTGTTTCATCTCATCCATGCTATGGTCAACCACCACACTGCATGCCACAGCACTTCTCTTGCCGCTTCGTCCCTCACACTGCTCTACCTTGGAATTCCCTCCTGTCGTCTCTTTTCCCATCTCTTATTATGGCCTTGCTCAATTCAATAAATGTGTTAATGCTTATCTGTTGCCACTTTGATTGTGTTTGTTGCTGGTGTTTTGCACCGTTGGGCCTGTGCTCAGCAAGTGTGCAAACCAAAAAAGAGAACTCTTGACAATGATGTTAGCCATGGCCAGCAATAAAACTCAGGTTACCGGGTTTACAGCAAAGTGTCCAAACCACTGCACCAATGATAATCTATAGGGCTGTAAATGGTGTTTTTACCCGCATGTGTTTGTGTCATTGTGTGCGCGCACAGGGAGGGAACTTTCCTGAGCGCATTGGGGCCATGAGCAGTTTGCGGTGGCTGAAGCTGAACCACACGGGGCTGTCCTATCTGCCCGAGGAGCTGGCGGTGCTACAAAAGCTGGTCAGCCCTACGCACCAACACCACCACCATCATATTGCACATGTGTAGCCCAACAACAACAACCGCTATTCGCCACTAAGTAGTGGTGACTTCACCGCGGCGCTTGTGTCAGGCTATGTGCACGTTGAGGCCACGTGAAGTGTCGAACGCCCGCTGATAGGAGGTCACGGGGCAGACCCAGCAGGTGCCATGGGTCGACTGACTGAGATGACTGAGATGACTGGCTGATGCACCACCTGTGCCCCCTACTGTGCCAACTTGCTGTGTTTTAGTCGCCCGGCGCACCGCTCGTTGTTGTGAGCATCGCTCTTCTGCCCTCTGTTGTTGTTGGAGGGCGACTGCCTCCAACTGCCCAGTAGCGTCCTTCACGAGCCTCCTCCATAGAGGCTAATGTTGACACTGCTGATACCAGTCATTGGCAAGTCCACTCCTCTCCACGTCCTCCTGTACCACATCACTCCATCTCTTCTCTAGCCCGTGCTGCCCCCGTTTAGCCCCCGCTATCCGGCTGAACAAAATCTGTTTCGGCATGTGGTGGCTGGGCATGCGTGCTACATGACCCAGCCAACGCAGCCTTGCCTGCCGGAGGAGCTCACCGATGAGACTTTGTCCAGATCTTTCAAGGATTTGTGAGCTCCTCACACAATCCAGCCTGGTTAAACCTAGGATGGATCGTAGGCAGGCCAGCATAAATGTTTCTAACCGGCGAAGAGGTTCCGTTAGGGGGGTCCACATTTCGCAAGCGCAGAGAAGGGAGGGAATGACTGGCCGAGAAGACCCGAAGCTTCGTGTGGAGCGACAGACCTGGTCGCTTCCACACAGCGTTACGCAACCGATGAAAAGATAATGCCGCTCGACTGATTTGGAGTGAGACCTCTGCTGTCAAACCGGAGTCGGTCATGAGCACACTGCCCAGGTTTGGGAAACTCTCCACACTCTCCACAACTGCCCTACCAATTGGGAGTTGTGGGGGTGGAGTGTCCAATGGTACAAAATACCCAGGCAGATGCTTAGTTTTGGTGGGGCTAATGGTAAGGCCCCACCTCTTAGTGGCATGCTCCAGGTTCAGCAGCAGCACTTCCAACTCCCCCTTTGAGTGTGTAGCCCAGGCAGCCATGGACATATAAAGGTGGTGATAGTGGTGCAGCCCTACGATTGCTTGCTCATGTCACTGCTGGCAGAAAGACCTCTGTGAGAAGGAGCTCTTTGGAGCTCCTCTAGAGCAGGGGTCAGCAACCAAAATAACAAGGAGAGCCTTTTTCAAATTCGTAAAAAAAAACCTCTATATTTCAAGAGCCGCAATGTACGTGAATACGTGACAATCCCTAATAAATAACGTCACGAAGCAGTCTATAAAGAGCCACATGTGACTCCGAAACCACAGCTTGCTGACCTCTGCTCTAGAGGGTATGTTGGTCTACTCTTCCGCGCAGGCCAGAAGCGCTGGAAGGGTTGGTAGTACCTACACTTTTTACCCCACCACATGCGAACTGCCAACCGACTAACCGCGGTGAACCCATTTATCCTGCTGGATCGACAGAGGCGGGGGAGATTCAAGAAACTTGCACCACTGTTTCAACATACGTTAGAGCTCTTCCTCGCATGCATGGGGGCTGCCGTGGATGAGAATGTGTTGCTACGAGGTGTTCCCCTGTTATTCCGAGTATCCCAAACAAATAAATTTTCCCCAATTAGTATTGCAGACACGATAAAGGCAAGGTATCTTTTAAAGTGGGTTAACCAATGGGTAAAGTGAAGTGAGCTCCAAGTCTTCTCTTATTTCTGTTCTGACACGTTTCCTCATGGTTACATGTTTTCTCTGACTCTTGTTTGGCAGCAAAAGGGAAGCTGATGATTGAGAAACAAAGTTGTGTCGGTGATTACGCAAAATGAATCCGTAATAAATGCTCAAGAATTTTATACTGTTCTCTATAGCAAAAACCAGGAACAGCAACTGTCATGCAATATTAATCTTCAAAGCATTTCCGGCAGCTCATAACTTGAAAGTATTCATTGTTTATTTCCTTCTTATACAAACAAAAGTGCATTTTTTAAATGATGTTGATGACGTTAATTGCCATTTCTGTCTCAGGCGTTGTAAGATGTTAAAAAGTGATCCGATTGACGCTGGCTTTGCAGGAGCACCTGTCTGTGAGTCACAACCAGCTGACGACGCTGCACAGCGACATCACCGCTCTCCCCTGTCTTCGGGTACGCGCACAGAATCCGCTGCACCAGCGAACCCAAAACCACCTTGAGCGTTCTTTTTCTTGGGGGCGGTCTTTTTCATTTGTTAGGCATTAAAAAAAAAAATAAAAGCACCAGGGCAACAAATGTATTTTTAGTTTTTTAAGCCATTCCACGGCATCTGAGGTAACCGAGTGGAGTCTGCTTGTTCCACGAGAGGACACGTGTTGTATTGGGCAATCATTGGTGATATACGACTGGTTTAGATTATTTGGCTGACGTAAGTTTCCACATGATGAGCCACTTTTTTTTGAGCTATCATTTTTGGCCAGGTCGCTTCTTAAAAATAGTAATATCGCTAAGTGGGCCTCAGCTAGTTACACAAAAAAAGATATAGTTTACATGCCTGATGGTTTGCACCTATGGCGGTGATATGGGCCAACGAGAGCACTTTAGACACTTTTTGCATAGGTTTTCTGTTCAATTTCAATATGCCATAAAACATGTGCGCCGTCTCCTTCATAGTGGACGTTAAATAACCCGTGATGTCATCCGAAGAAGACTAGGCCATTGTGTCCCACTCAGGGGCGGAGCCAGGGGGGGTGACAGGGGTGACATTCTGCGTATAAGTGTACGACACTCGGTCTGGCGGATTCCGTGCAACTGCATTGTCAGAGCGTGTCGCCAACCGGTGGCGTCTAGTTCAACAGCCTGACTCTCTAATCATTCTTGAAATTAAAATTTGTTGAATGTCACCCCGGCCTGAAATTCTGGCTCCGCCCCTAGTCCCACTGTCAAATTTGATTTAAAAAAAACCTCGTAAGCGACTTAATTAGGAAAAGTTATCAGGTCCCTCTTGAAAAAGAGTCTTGATACTCAGTGAGGCTGTTCTGGATAAACAAGTGTACAATTATACTATTTCCACGATCATGGCCCGGCCCTGGTGGCTCCAGGATCTATGAGCTCTAGCAACAGCTGGGCAGTTCCACGCACCAACACCACCATGGGCTGGCTGCTCTGACTCGTCTTAAAGTGAAGCAAGTTTTGTCACGTAAAAAGCCAGCCCAGTTAAACCTGGCCATTACGTCACATACGAAGCAGCCAGCAAGATGGCAATGGACGATCTTCTACTAATATGGAAGTTCTTGCTAATTGTTTTAGTATTTTAAAGCGTTTGTGTTTATAAAGCTCATATCTTAAACTCTTCTTTACCACCAGCTGTTATCTGCAAATCCTATTATCTGTGTGGGCCAGGGGAGTTGCTATACATCTAATTATTCATGCAACACGGTGGATTCTTGGTGATATTTTTATGAATGGAGTCGAGAATTGTTTCTATATTATTGTAACAAGTGGTTGTCTGGATGACTAAACCAAGCTGGAATGAGTTGACTGATTCTTTGTCCTTTTGTTGCAGGCCATTGTCGCCAGAGCCAACCAGCTGACAAACCCTGGGGTTCCTCCTGACATCTTCAATCTGGAAGACCTCTCTGTTCTGGTATGGAAGCCCATGGATATCAACCACAATCGTGGTTCGCAATTAACTGAATAACGGAGAAGTTTAACGTTTCATCGCAAATAATAAACCGAAATTTAAAATCAATCACAGCATACTTGAGTACCAACAAGGGTGATTCTTTTTTTACTTTCCTATTGCTTTTCATAGGAAAGTGAATTCATTATACGGAAGAGCTTCATTGAGTCTCTAGACTCTAATTCTGGAGAGTCTTGCATTGAGATGTACGGCTAATTCCATTAATGATCGTTTGGAATGTATAGAAAACCATCCTTGCATGGAGCAAGGGTGGCCCCACACCTACAAAAGTTTGACAATCTCTGATGGGCCGCCTATCCACAGTGCTAGCCAGGCTCAACCTTGCATCCGCGAGAGCTGATGAAACTGGGGCAAATTTAACGTAATTTGGTTGCAGACACTAATCAACTCAATAGTGGATTCCCAGCTGCGATTACTGCTTGGCGCTTGCACATCTGCAGAGCCGAAGCGTGGTAAGTTTGCCATTCCCTGGGCCTAGAGTACTTGTAGCCCTGCTTTTGTGTTAACGTTTTCCCTTTGCTCGTAACTCTGTACTCCCTTCAGGATCTTAGTCACAACCAGCTGACGGAGGTTCCGAATGAATTGGAGAATGCAAAGAACATGCTGGTGCTCAACCTCAGCCACAACAGGTTCGTGCACGTTGCTGTCGGTAGTGCCGCTTATTTTGATGCATCGGTGAACTACTGGACATCTGTGAAAGAGAGCTTCATAGCTCATCGGATTCCTCCAGGATAAGTAAAGATTCTGATTCTGAACTCCATAATCATCAGTCCTTCCCAAACTACAACCTTGTTTTCATGTTTGGATGGGAAGTTTACTATCAATTAATGCGTCAGGAGTCATGTTACTGAATGCACTTTGTTACTTGTATGCTATATTCTGGTGCTGATTTTATCTACAACAATGCTCATGGTCATTTTGCATTATGCATTATATAGTTTGTCAATCCCTGACCCATGTCTGATTGAAAGGGTCCTTGCCTATGGGATGTGTGTGTTTTTATGGGGTTAGGTGAAGGAGGTACATTGTCTGCATATTTATTTTGTAAGTTATATTCTCCACAATCAAGCTAATTATTATTTTGTGTTACTGAATATAGATTGGGATGCAAAGAATGTGTGTGAGGATGAGCGGTGCAGTGGTCTGTGACCTTCGGTGCAAATATGGAACCACAGGTTAGATGTCTAGCCGAGCACATCAGTACCTGCCTGAGGCTCTTCCAAGTGGACACAGCCTAAAATGAGTACCCGGTGTTATGTGCCAACAAAAGCACTGTGGACACAGGCATGCTGTTGGTCACACTAATCTGTTGCATGCATTGCCAGCCATAAATACGTGTACACTAACACAAAACCAAGCATTCTATGGAGGCAGCAGAGAATATCAATGTATATGCATTTACCTAGTTTGACAACCCATAATTCCTGGGCCTGCTCTGTAACCTGCCAGTAAGCCTTCGGTAATCTATGTGGCCTAAAGGGACATTAAGCCTGGTGCCGGTAACATCTAAAGTCACTTCCACTTGTTGGTGGATAGCAGCTATTGGCCTGGCAGGTTCTTTTTGCGACTGTATTTCATGGGTGGAGGAAACCAGGGAGTTGGCCATATGTCTCTTGGCTGCATTAGGTCAACCGTTTCTGTCAAGAAATGGAGCAAGTAAGGGGAGCTCTTACATTATGAGACCTCCTTTTGCCAGTAACATGTAAATGCTCACCCCGAGCCCTCAATACTCTGATAGTGCGCTGTTTTTGAGTTGTACGCCTTTTGGCGTCTTCTGGTCCAACACCAATGGAGACTAGGCTCTAAGAAAAGCCGTCTCGGGTGTGGACCAATCAAATTCAAGGACAGTGCATATTATTATCAGAGTTGTCTCTTTTGTTTGCATTTTCACTGCTTGTGTTGTGGTTATTGCAAACATGATGCCTTGAATGAAGGTGTCAGTTTTTGTGCCAGTTAAAAGGGTAAAACCTATTTCTATAAGGGGAGCTCATTTGTGGTTTTGCCCGGATAGACCCTTGTGATTGGCGCCCGGATGGTAGATGCTGTTACCGCTGTCTCGGTGCTTGCTCCCACATTCAACTCGACAGCCGTCATCGCCGTTGTGTTTTCACACGCGTGTCATTCATCGATCGTGCCCTCCTTTGCCCGTGCCGCCTTTCCGCAGCATCGAGACGATCCCCACGCAGCTCTTCATAAACCTGACGGACGTGCTGTACCTGGACCTCAGCAATAACCGGCTGGACAGTCTGCCGCCCCAGATGCGACGCCTTGTCCACCTGCAGACACTCATGCTCAACAACAACCCCCTGCTGCACGCACAGCTGCGGTGGGCCATCCGCCTGCACGTTCCAGCCACCCACCCCTGAGAAGGCGCAAACATTCGCTCGTGTGCTCACACTTCACATGCAGAGAACCTGAGGATTCTACTGTGGAGTCTGTTCCAAATACAGCTCTGTTATCCGGCATCCGTGGGGAACGGAGGGTGCCAGTTAATCAAATAAAACTTTAAAAAAAGAAACTGAGCCTACATTTGAACTATGATATACAATACATATATTATTTTAAAGAGGTGCTCATCAGTCGGTTGTAGAGCATTCTAAGTTGATTGTAGAGAAGCATTGGGGACGTTTAGAGTACAGTATACAGTAGTAGAGTTCTGTATGTACAGACTGCCGCTAGTGCCACCACTACGGCAGCGTTTGGCAAGCTCCTGTAAACAACAGATCTATGATGAGTGCACGTCAAGATGCCGGAAGGCTGTTGGAATGTTTCCGGTTATATGAAGGAAGATTCGTTTTGCTGTCTGACAGATGCCGATTAATAGAGCATTCCGGATGGTGAAGTGCCGGATGGTAGACCTTTTGCTGTATTTTCTATCCGGCAGCCGTTAAGTTAGTGCTACATTTACGGCCCTTTCTCAGTCCACTGCTGGATGAAGGCCTCCTAATGCCAAAGTCACCCATTGCGGGCCCTTTTGTCCGTTCTTCACGCTGGTCAGCGCAGGATGGACACGTCTCACTTTATTGTACGTCGTCTTGAGAAGTGGCTTATGTTGTGTTTGTATCGTATGAGGATGACCTTAAGATTGTAATTGCTCTCTGTAGGCAGCTGACAGCCATGACAGCCCTGGAAACGCTGCACATGAGGAACACGCAGCGTACACTCAGCAACCTGCCCACCCAGCTGGAGGCACTCACGCACTTGGCTGGTAACAAACACACACAAAGATCCCCCGTATAGCCCGCAAACAGATTGTTGGGGAAAGTGCCATTAGGGAAGGCCGGCACGGCGCACGAGGTGGTGGGTGACCAGCACCATGCCCCGGACGCCTTTGTCTCCCCAGTGGTGATGTTTTACACAGCACACCAGGTATTTGTTTAGAAGTCGACCTAGGGGATGACTAAGGGTCAGTTCTGATAATCGTCACTGGTTTTGGCCGGGAACGGGAGTTCGTGCCACCGTGTTCGTAGTGCAGCACACGAACCTCTGTGCCACCACTCCCTACTTGGCTGGTAACACGCACGCACACAAGAGCAGTACACAAGCACAGCTGCTACCATCTTCACAAACACGACGGGTACAGCATATGCACACACATGGGGCTCGTGCAGCGTGTGGTCACGTACATATGACGCATTACACACACACACAAACACAAAGATCTCGTGTGTTGTCCATACAGACTTCTGGGGCAATTACTGTTAGCGAGCACCTATAAAGGCCGGTACGGCACATGAGGGGGTGGATGGCCAGCGCCGTGCCCAGACTGCCTTTGTCTCCCAGTGGCGATGTTTACACCGCACTAGGTACTCATTTAAAGCTGAGTCGATCTAGGGGAGGCCCATAACCGATTAAGATAATCGTCACTGGTGTTGGCCATGAGTGGGAATCGAACTTTGGTCGCCGGGTTCTTAGCACAGCGCGCGAACAATCCCACTACCACTCCGCATGGGCCCACACAAAAGACAGACAGCTGGTACAGCACACTCATACGAAGCTAGGACTCGACACACCAAAATGACGGTTTTAATAGGCACACGTGTGCATGGCCGCTACAATGCACAAGGCATGTAACAGTGCACGTGTGTAAGGATTAAAATCTGTTCCCGTGTGCATAATGCGATGCATGTGTCGTCTTCACGTTGATTCCCTGCAGACACTGTCAACTGGCTTAGCAAAACGTGCATTGCACATTATTCTCTACCTTGCCTGGTGTACAGGAGGTTGTGGGTTCGATCCCAACCCTGACGTCTGTATATTTCAGATTTTCATGTTCTGCCTGTAGTGGCATGGATTTTTCTCTGGGTCCTCCGGTTTTTCCATCCACATTTACAAATGTGCGTTTAGAGTATTTAGCTGCTATACATTTCCACATGATAAGAAACTTCATTGAACTATAATTTGTGGCCAGGTTGCTTCTGAAAAAAGAGCTATATAGCTCAGTGGGCTTTACCTGGTCAAATCCAAATAGTTTTAGATTTTATAGTTTCACAGGACAAATGTAGAACACTACAAATGTGGGTGAAAATCATTCCAGCACCATATTACCATGTTGTAGAGACACATTTCTCATTCTGCCGAGCGCTAGATTTTAGGCCTCGGCTACCTCTTGTTCTCGTTTGCGCCCGGCTACTGTCGGCACGAGTTCACGGCTACGTTTGTTCTGGGCGCGTGCCAGATGTGGACCTTTCCCACAACGAGCTGGCGCGGGTCCCCGAGTGCCTGTACACCCTGTCCGCTCTACGCCGCCTCAACCTGAGCGACAATCACATCACGGAGCTGTCTCTGTGCATGGACCAGTGGACGCAGCTGCAGACGCTGAACCTGTCGCGCAACCAGCTCACCTCGCTGCCGGTGGGAACGCGGCCGCTGCTGCCGTGACGCGCACCACCGCCACACGTGCTTCCGTTCCTTCGACTTGCACTACCACGCACAAACCACCTGGCCACCATGCCCTTGCTTTGTGCATTCTCAACACCAAGATGGCAAGCCCAAGATACCTCCCCCTATAGCCTACACAGACTGTCGGGGCAAGTGCTGTTTGTGAGGACCTTATGAAGGCCAACACGGCGCATGAGGAAGTGCGTGCTCGGCGCTGCGCCCGGCCACCTTTGTCTCTCCAATCCTGATGTTTACACACTGCACCAGCTACTCATTTAAGGCTGAGTCGATCTCGGGGAGGCCCGTGACAAGTTCAGACAGCATCGCCGCAGTTTTCCGAGCGGGAATTGAACTCGTGTCACTGGGTTCGTAGCACAGTGCGCGAAGCCACTTCACTGCCGTTTCCCACAATTGCCACCGCTCTCACACTGCCACCGTCTGTTGCCACTCGGCAGGCTTTTGCGAGCATGCAGTGGCAGCCGTGCTCGCGTGTCACCATGCGATTCATGCACTGCGACCACACTCTTCACTTTATTTATTGTTTTGGATTTCATATGCGATGCAGCTGTGTTTTGTTAGAATTTTTGTTTGGTGGTTTTTTGCTCAGATTTCCATAAATTTGCTTCGTTGCTTTTGTGATTTTTGCTCTCCCCCTTGGTCACTCTTGTAAATGAGACTCCTCCTCCTCCTGGTCTCTTGAGTTTTTACCTCGTTAAACAAAATAAACTTGAACACAATGCCGCTGCACACGTTACTGCCACGTAGGCGAGATACCAGCAACGTGCAGGCTGTGGGTTGTGCCACACGGTAGCAATGTGGTGCCATACTCTTTGGGTCTTTCGGTAAAGTCACGTAGATAGAAAAATAATAAAATAAAAAATCACGACGTTTCGATTGCAACACAAGCAATCGTCTTCAGGTGAAAAAATACAGCAGGCGGACTGCTGAGGCAGGAGGAAATCTAGCGAGAGAGCTACTGCAGCCAAAGGTTATATTGGTTTGAGATGGGTACAACCCAAGGGTAAGTGGGCGGGGCTAGAGATAGAATTTGCAAGTAAATGTAAGATCGCAGAGCTAGGTATACCTAGGCCATTGTATTGCTAGAGATTAGCATGTCAATCTGTTAATGTAACCCCACGGTTACGGTGCTGAAGAAGCCATTGTATTGCTCGAGATTAGAGATTAGCATGTCAAAGTGAGACGGTTCCCGCAGCAGCGACTGTGTTAATGAGAGAGACATTCAGCCTATTAACCAACGAGCGTCACCGCCGCATCGAGGAAAAGGGAGCAGCAGCTATGGTAGTGAGACATTTTAACCTGTTAATGTAAAGACATTTAACAAGGTAATGTAACTCAGAGTCGGAAATAACTGCTAAGATAGGCAGGTAGGATGGAAGTATCACAGCCAGTTATGACTTTTCCTGGTTAATAACGTCCTTCCATTGATTGCTCAGTTTGTACCCAACTTGTCGGTTGAAATTGTGTCCGTGTTTTTATATCTGCATGACTTCAATGTTGTGCCACACAGTAGCATTGTGGTGAGCTATATTAATTTTTCTTTGTTGACAAAGACCCCACGGCGTTTGTGGAAGGCTCTCTGCAGCATTGGTTTAACCGACCACACCGTGCTGATGAGGCTGAGACATGTTCTACCTTGTGGCTGGTGGCTGATAGGACACCGTGTGGCAGCCACGTTTTTTGTCATTTTCCAACCGCAGGTTCATCTCCCTGTGGTAATGCTGTGATTGTTCAGAATTTCACTACCCTGTTGTAGATTGTTCCATTGGCTCTTCTGCCTGCCGTAAAACTTGTGGTTCAGTAGATATTTAACCCTACACCAGAGATCTTATAGGCACCACACTAAGATGACTCCTATTCATGATCTTCATCACTCACCATGATAATATAATAGTAGTCGCTCATCCATCACTGGGCCATTTGGAATGTTCCTTCAGGAGTCGCGATCTATCATCCTTAGCCAAGCATACTCCTTGTCCGCATTATTGAGCGCGACGATCCGTGAGCACCAGGTTGAGTGTGCACTTCCGCTTGGGTGAGCGAGTCCAAATTTGTTCGGATTTGTTCCTGATCACGTCTGGTTGAAGACGTTCTGGCGACACGTCCGAATAGACCCAGACGTGTCGGATGAGGCTCTCTATGTTGACTCTGAGCCATGATGTGGATTGAGATTATCTTTAGGAAGATGAAGGACATTGTTGGGTGATTTTTTTTAGTTTGCATTTCTTTATGGGAGCAGTGGTAAAAAGTATACTGCCGCTTTCTTGGTTATTTGAGTCTGATTTATAGACATACACAGCATCGGCAGCTGGTATGCGAATCTAGTTTCGGTCCCCCATCGTGAGGCTACACGGCCTAAAATGTATTTCCCGGAATGTTATGTGAATGACTCGACATCTGCTGTGCAAAACTAACATGCAAACGTAACACCCCGGGGGCATGCAGTCATCGATCAGCAAGCTGGCCAAGCTTCGCAAGCTGTTTGTCAACTCGAACCGGCTGGACTTCGAAGGGATTCCCTCCAGCGTGTGGAAGCTGGGAAATCTGGAGCAGTTCGTGGCAGCCGACAACAACCTGGAGCTCATCCCCGAGAGCCTGTGCAGGTCAGCGTCCAGACAGGGCACGGTGTCGGCCTAGGGGGTGTGGAGCTATCGTCATCGTCAGGCTCGGGGTTGCAGAGCCAGCGCTAAGGTCCAGGTGTGGGGGTCAGCGTCGAGTCAGCACTCGGGGTTTGGATAAGGATGAAGATTTGACTCGGAGCGGGATGGAATGACGAGAGAAGACAACATCTGGTCCACAAATGCTGTATGAAAAAGATTGTTTTATATACATCGAGTGCCTCTATTAAGCTGCTCATGCATCTACTGCGTTAAATGTAGAATTGCAGTATCCTTAATCACCTGGGTATGCGATTACTGATTTTTACGTGAAACATTTGCAGATTTTATTTACATTCTTCGGTCCCGTATTGTTCATCACAGCTCGGCTCGGGCTTCGCTCTGCCTCCAGGGAGCCAAGCTCAGAGCCCTGCTCCCAGCCATGCTCAGGATTGCTCTGAGCTCAGCCTTTAGCCGCTCGTGCATCTTTGAAAACAACCAAGCAGCTCGAGTGCTGGGGGCTGAGCCGGAGCCGAGCTGTGACTAAGAACACGTGTCCTCATTGTTGCTCTCCGTGATGTTGTGTGCAGGTGTGCCAAGCTGAAGAAGCTCGTGCTCAACAAGAACCGGCTCATCACGCTGCCAGAGCTCGTGCATTATCTCACCGACCTGGAGGTGAGCCAAGCAGACGCGCGTTGCCGAACAGCGTACAGCTCTGGAGAGATACAGACATAGCGCAGCGCCGCCGCTGCCGAGCCAACATGGAACTTTTTGCGCTCGGGGAAACATAATTAATCTGTAAAAGCTAAATATTCACGTTTCTTTTTTAATTCAGCCCACCTCGAACTCTCAGCAACTCCTTTGTCAGTCGAGAGTTCTCAATTAAATACATTACACGTTTGTGGGGCATACACTCCACTACTTAACCAACCAGGAGTGCGTGGGTTCGATCCCAACCCTGACGTCTGTATATTTGGAGTTTGCACGCTCTCCCCATGATTGCGTTAATTTTTCTCCTGGTTCTCCGGTTTTTCCCTCCACGTTTATAAAAAATGTATTTCAAGTATTTGATAGCTAAAAATGTATTTCAAGTATTTGATAGCTATAAATGTCCACATGATAAGCCACTTCATCGAGCTATCATTTGTGGCCAGGTCGCTTTTGTGAAAGAGCGATATAGCTCAGTGGGCCTTTCCTGGTAAAATTAAAATTTGTTTAGTTTCATTGTATTAGCTGCCTCATTTGCAGCTGTGCCAGACATTGATTGGCATTGTAGGTAATGTTTCAACTTCAGATGGCGTTGGGTGAATGAACACGACAAGGGGACTCAGTTGGGCATGCGCTCTGTTTGTGTGGGGCTGTTGCGGAGGTCCTGGACGTCCGAGAGAACCCCAACCTGGTGATGCCCCCCAAGCCGGCCGACCGCTCGGAGAACTTGTACAACATCGACTTCTCGCTGCAGAACCAGCTCCGCCTGGCGGGCGCTTCCCCTGCCGCCATCGCCGCCGCCGGTAGCAGCCTCCCTCCCCTCCCTCCTCTCCCCATGTTGCTCGCTCCCCTGTAGCAACAAAACGCGCTGTCTGCCTACTTTTAAGCGCATGTCTCAGACGCACCAGCACACTTGGGGCATCTGCGTTTTAAGCCCAGGGTGTTGTGTTTTGCGTCTTTGTTTTTTTCCCCCCTTTGCTTTGCATTCGAGCAACCGTTGGCTCGGGAGCCGTGGCTGACAGTGGCCTGCACGCCGTGCACGGGGGTCCCTCGATGTAACGAACCGACGGCACTGCAGATTGCATTGTTGCCCGTGTGGTCAGAGGCGGCACGGTCATTTCTGTAATGGAGGGTCGACGATTGATACGATTTGTGTTCTCAGGGGGCGGGCAGCCCGCTAAGGACCATGTGGCGCGGAAGCTGCGTCTACGCAGGCGTCGCGATTCCTCGCAGGACGACCAAGCCAAGCAGGTGCTCAAGGGCATGTCTGACGTGGCCCACGACAAGAACAAGACCTTGGCGGTAGGCACTGCACCGGGACGCCCTGCTCTGGCGCGCACACCGTGACGCGGCCGTCTCGCCGGCACGCTACCCGCCGGCCAACCACGCACCGCCGCATGCAAGTAGCGTGCACCGCCTATACCAGTGTGACATGCAGGACGGCAACGCAGGTACAATCATGGACGTAAAACAAGATTGGTGCCCATTGAGAGCAAAAGTCTCATTTTCAAGGGAGGACCTTGTTTATTAATGATTTGACACATGCTTTAGAAAGTGTAATTTAATATCCAACTGACAGGTTCGAGGCATCATATTCCGTGCTAATAAAAGTTTAATGACCGAGGCAATAGACCACTCGCCTGAGACAAGCGTATGGGCAGACTGACCATCAGGAAGTACGCCATGGCCTCCTATTGGTGCAGAGAGGACTCCAAAGTGATTGGTCGGGAGGCAAGGTTCAAAGGGATTGGAGGAGAGGTTTAAAACGTAAAAGGTGGGAAGCGAGGGTTGACGGTTGAGGCGACGGTTGACAATTGTTGGTGGTGGAGGAGGACGAGGATTGGCCGAAAGAAGTGGGGCAAGTGATGCTTCGAGGGAGGAGGCTCGAAAGGGTATAAAAGTGGAGAGCACAAAGGGAGGGGACGTTCTGGGAGAGTACGAGCTTCAAGCGGCAAGAAAGTAGCCCGGGCCTAGTGTTGGTGCTGTGTCTAATAAAAGGCCCGAGTAGTTACGCGTGTCGGCGTCATTACAAAAGTAAGTGGGGTTGGGCAGGCCACGTCGCTAGAAGGATTGTGATGGCTAGAGGTCAGGACTCCCAGAGGTAGTCCATAGAATCACGGCTGATGGTTCAAGTTCACGGTTACACGCACGGTGGATAAAACTGTTGACGCGCATCCCGCGTGAATGCCTACCTAGAATCATGCTAATCTCATGATACGCTGTAACGAGCCTTTATGTTTTGTTTCATGAAAAAAAACAAAAACCCCTGTTTACTCACGTCATCATCGTCGTCAGGAGGGAGGCGACGTGCGCTACACGGAGGTGAAGAGCCGCCGCTGGGACGAGGGCCTAGCCAAGCCGCAGCTCGACTACTCGGAGATCTTCACTGAGGACGTAGGCCAGATCCCCGGCGTGTCCGTGTGGCACATTGAGAACTTTGTGCCACAGCTGACCGAAGAATATTACCATGGCAAGTTCTACGACGCTGACTGCTACATCGTGCTGAGGGTGAGTGGCCTAACCTCCCTTGCTGGGGGTCGGGGGAGATGGGTTTCTTATTGCGCAAACTGCCAGAGGTGGCGGCAGCAGAGAGGGAATGACCTTTTGTGTGAAGTGCAGGTTTTTGATCAGGACCTTGGACAGAAGGCTTTGATTGTTGGAGCAGAGTGCAGCTGGTGCAATTACTTGAGCGGGGAGTGGTAGGCAGGGGAAAATATCCTCGAAACAGTGGTCAAAACATTCCAAGGAGGACCCTCGTGAAAACCTATTGTAATCGGCTTTTCTTAATTTTTTTGCACGTTTCACAAAACCTATGCACACTGCAGGATGACACTAAATCATAACAATCTTCCCCAAATAAGCATGACCTTTGTGCGTTTTGTAGTTGAGCAGATTGTTTCTGAATGTACAGCGGGAAAAACACTTCCTAGACACAGGGTGCAAAATGCTTGCCAAGAGCGCCCTGTTGAAGGCCTGTGTGGCGGCTCGCTTGCCCTTCCACCCTCTCTCTGCGTGCTCGGCTTCCTTCTCTGCACAGACATTCATCGACGAAAACGGGGCAATCGCTTGGGAGATCTACTACTGGATCGGGGCGAAGGCAACGCTCGACAAGAAGGCGTGCGCCGCCATCCACGCCGTGAACCTGCGCAACTTCCTGGGCGCCGAGGGGAGGTCGCAGCGGGAGGAGATGGACGACGAGAGCGAAGAATTCCTCGCTGTGAGTGAAGCCTCCCGATATCGTGGTGGGGGATCGGGGGGGGCCTGGAATAACAGGGAACGCTTAGAAGGGTTTTCAGGCAACATTTACACTCGGTAAGCCAGCGGGAATGTTGAGGAGGTGGAGGGGGGACAGGCCCCCAGGATTCACTTTACTTTCAATATTCTCTGAATGACAGCTGTTCTAAGGGGGAGAATGCACGGACATGGGATTTAAGTTCTTGTCTTTTTTATTCCGCTCGTTGTTTTGGTCATATTCCCCCTCCCCTTTCCCAGTCCCCACCCCTGCCTCGGTCATAAATGGAACCCAATATACCCTAAAATAGCCCCTGTTTTGGGAGAATGATCTACCCAGAGGGTACCACTCCTGGATATACAGGCCCTGCATGTATGTTTATGGGCCCTCTGCTATGATCGCGGTTTTCGGGTTCAATAAAAACAAAATGATGTTTACATTTGGGTCGGAGATATGAGGTTATGTCTCTGTGTAGGTTAGAGGCATTCTATTAGGTGGTCAGGTATTTCAGGAACGTAATCGAGTGGAATTATGGGGGGTGGGGGGGGGGAAGGAATTCATATAAGAGGCACTGGTTCTAAGATTTAGGGAAAACAGCATTGCTTTTGAATAAGTTTTGCACATTAGAAATTCCTGGCTCTTGCAGCCTTGTGTGCTATAATTAGACAAACTTCCATGTTTGGAGCATGGCAATCACACTTACGTCTACCCTGATGTTCTGTGACATCTAGTTCTATCTATGCAATCGAATTCATCTGTCCGATGAATGATGTGGAACTTGGACTTTTTGTCAGTTTTATATTCGCACTTTGACTATTGATCTTGCTGTTGTTGATTGGAATAATGGGCTCTTTTGTTTTTGCGTCTCTGCATGTGAGTGTATAGGTGTTTGATGGCTCCATATCGTACATTGAAGGGGGAACTTCTAGCGGATTTTTCACGGTGGAGGAAAACGCCCACATTATCCGGTAAGTTCGTGTCATCGGTGAAATGGGCTGCTCTTAAGGTGGACGTCGCAGTGGCTGCGGTTGAGGCGACGTTAATTGTGGTGATTTGGCAGGAGAAATCCTTTAATTCTGCTGTGTGCATCGCTAATGATAACTCCAACCTCATCTCCACATCCTACAGAAAGCCCTGCAGCTGCTGCTTTTGTGTTTTGGGTAAATGGATTAGTGACACCTGGATTTAAACAGAAGATGAAATGGATGGGTTCGTTTGGTAGGAAGTATTACATACTTTACAGTGTCATTTAATTTAATTGCTCAAGTTCAAATCAAATAGAACACTTAGAATTATAGATCTGCGAGAGCTTCTTTCAGGTTCAAAAGCGAATGCAAATGTGGTCACGAGCCTTTTATAAGTGTAACTTTCATTTGCTGGACGCGAAATGATATTACACCTGCACTGAATTTCTTATCTCTGCATGATATAATTTCTACAGCATGACAACGATTTTAAGCTTTTCATTTAAATACTTTTTTGAAAGAAAAAGTCCATATGCATTAGAAAAGTAAAGATAAAAAATTCCACAGTAAAATTACTGAACAGAGAAAGCCATTACATGTACATTAATTATCCTCCCATCTGCAATGCATTGGCAGTGCAGGGTCAGCAACAAGGCAGTTGCTCCCAATTAACCCTGCAGCCATGTGACCTGAAGCACAGTGGTCCTGGGTGACTTCAAACTGCACCGCATGGTTCCAGTTTACTTTGTTGAACCAGGCGAGAACTCGGAGAGACCAGGATAAGTCTCATTCGCTCACCAAAATGACAATTGGCAAAAAAACAAAGTACAGCGATGAAGTAAATAGTGATCGGAACAAAAACAACCGTGTCACATGACAAATAGAAAGCATTGCAAATATAGCAAATTGTGGTGATGCGAGTCGACACAGGCATAGTAAGAGATTGTGGAGCTGTTGTGTCTCACACTTTGAACGGGCGACACGATTGAAAGGGCCCCGTGTCACACGCTCGAACATACACGGCCACGCACTCGCACACGCTCGCACGCGCACATGTTTCCACACACTCCCACACGCACAGGCTTGCACACGTACAAGCCCGCGCACAAATATTCCGCACAAGTAATTTATTTTGGGTTAGATCGCCGTGTAGGTTTGATGTCAGATTTTTTACTGTAACCCTCCACCACCTCATAACCAATCAAATAAAGTTGCCACGTGGCCAAATGTGCCACTGTATTTGTTTTTTTCAGCAAACTAGAGAAGGAATGTTGAAAAGTCCAAGCAAAATTGTGGCAATTTAGTACGAATAACATTTCGCTGCAAATTACATCCAGCATCATCAGATGTTAAACAAAGCTCAACTCTCACACGTGCTCACGTTTCAACATTAGTTTGCTATAAAACAAAATCAATTTACATATTTGCCCATGTGAAAGCTTTATTTGATTGTTGAAGGCTTGTAAAAAAATATATTTTATACTTAAATTATTTAACCCAAAATAAGTACTGTAATAATGAATCCTAACATAGGTCGTGAAAGCCCACTTATAAAATTAAATATGCGTCAGTCTCGCGCATTTATGGACTAAACTGTCCACTGCCACCCACAATGGCTTACACTGGCATGGACACATGCACAAAAACGCGCAAATCACACGCAGTCATGCTCGCTCATATACAGACGCCCTCAGACTACTCACCACTCCACATCACCGTCCCCCAATAACCCAATAACCGCCCGAGTAGCGACAGTCGGTAAATCCTGCGCACGTGTGTTCTGCTGTGCTTGTTCATTTGGGCAGATTGTACCGCTGTCACGGTACACAAAGCATCCACCTGGAGGCAGTAGCACTCAAGGGAAGCTCGTTGGACCTACGGTGAGGACATGCAGCATGGCTAATCCTCACGCACGTCCCTTTCCATTCTGTCAAATTAGATCGCATCGCTTGTTATGTGACAGTGTTGTTTACTTAGAACCACGTAACCTGTAATTGAGTGGCTTGATACCCTGACATAAAACCACGAAGCCTTCGATGTTACACGTGTTTGTCTGGTATCTTTTACATTATGAGACCTCCTTTGCCAGTAACAAGATATAGTAATAGGTTTTACCCTTTTAACTGGCACAAAAACTGACACCTTTATTCAAGGCATCATGTTTGCAATAACCACAACACAAGCAGTCAAAATGCAAACAAAAGAGACAACTGATAATAATATGCACTGTCCTTGAATTTGGTCCACACCCGAGACAGCTTTTCTTAGAGTCTAGTCTCCACTGGTGTTGGACCAGAAGACGCCAAAAGGCGTACAACTCAAAAACAGCGCACCATCAGAGTATTGAGGGCTCGGGGTGAGCATTTACATCATGAGACCTCCTTTGCCAGTAACAAGATATAGTTATAGGTTTTACCCTTTTAACTGGCACAAAAACTGCAAACATGATGCCTTGAATAAAGGTGTCAGTTTTTGTGCCAGTTAAAAGGGTAAAACCTATTACTATGTCTGGTATCTGTTGCAAATCTCGGGCCTTCTGCAGCAGACTATATTGTTAAATGGAAGACTTGTTGCGAGTTGCAAACTGATCCTCCTGGCTTTTGCCTTTAACTTTGTGTTTAGGTCAGATGCTGGGCACAATTAGATTGCATCGCTTGCATGTGACAGCGTTGTATACTTAGAACCACTTAACATGTCATTGAGTGGCACGATACCCTGACATAAAGGATACAATCAAAAGGCCTCTGCTGCTACACCTGTTTGTCTGATACTCGTCTGCCAGTATCTGTTGAAAATCTCGGGCCTCTTGCAGCAGCCTATATTGCTCAATAGGAGACATTTGTTGTGAATTGTAAATTGATTCTCCTGGCTTTTGCCTTGTAGCTTTGTGTTTATGTTGGACGCTGGGAACACCATCTACATCTGGAAGGGACGACGTGCCGGCCTCAACGCCAAGACCAAGTGCAGGTGCCCGCCTCTCACCCACTTTCCTCCCTTGCCACAGTCGTTACAATCGTTGCAATAGCACTGGAGGCCTTTTTTACAACCGTCCAGTGTTCTTCTTCAAGCGTCGTGCTTCTGCATTGCGTTCACGAAGGTCTTGCGCTTGAAAACATCTCAAGGGGAAGAGTTGAAGGAAGAGGAGGGGCTGGGGGTGTAGGAGTAGTGACAAAACGTGCTGCTTGCAGCACTAAGTCTATAATTAACACTGGAAATCAATAATGTGTTGGTGAATGTCGTGCCTTTAGTGGCTGCTTGGGTCATGTGGACTGAATAAAAAAGCTAAAATTATTTTTTACTATGACATTTTTTATTTTACTAGGTAAAGCCCCCACTGAGCTATCAGCTGTTTTGCAGAAGTGACCTGGGCATAAATAACAGATCTACAAAGTGGCTTATAACATGGGAATTTATAGCAGCCAAATAATCTGAAGGCATGTTTCTAAATGTGGAGGGAAAAACCGGAGTGCCCAGAGAAAAATCCACGCAACCAATGTGAGAGAGAGAGAGAACACGCAAACTCCAAATATACAGGCGTCAGGGTTGGGATCGAACCCATGACCTCCTGCATACCAGGCGAAAGTGATAACATTTCACATCCGTGATGCCACTTTGTGTTATTTGCTAAAACATCTACAACTAATAAAAATAGGCAATGCATTGTGCATATGATTCACTGCATTTGTCCTGAGCTTAAGAATTGATTTAAATCGTTGAATCGACGTCCGTTATCTCTCTCTTAAGCACAAAAAACATTGCACACAACCACCCACAGAAAACGCGCGTAAAAATAGGCGCCACCTTTCCTCTCTCACCTGCTTGGATGGAGTTGGAGAAGCCCTCCACGCACCACACAATGCAACGTCTCCTCTCCTCCAGGCTGTTTGCGGAGAAGATCAACAAGAATGAGCGCAAGGGTCAAGCCGAAATCCTGATGGTGGCGCAGGGCGAGGAGCCCGAGGAATTCTGGACAACCTTAGGGGAGCAACCTGACTCGATTGAGCCTCACGTGCCTGCCGACTTCGTTCCCTGCACGCCCAAACTCTTCAGGGTAATGGGTCGGGGACGAGAAAACACGTCGCCTCGCGTTCTCCGGACGCCCCAAGTGTCCCCCTCGTGGCTGTTGGTGCTTCTTGCTGTTGCTCACTCTTACTTTTCTCGTGGCGCCCATCTCTCCCTCGCCGCTGCGTGCGTCTCCAGCAAATGCTGCCTCCTCCTCGCTCGGCCTTCCCCGATCCGTCACGTGTGGGGGGAACACCCCCCCCCCCCCCCCCACCCACCGCCTCCTCGGCACATGCTGGAACGGCGTTTCCCTTTCCGTCATAGCCTCTGCCTCTCTTCCGCTGTCTGAATCTCACCAAGAGAGGTCTGTGGTTTTGTCTTTTTTGTGAATCGTTTCGTGAAAATAACCAATTACTGCCGCTGTATCGCTCTTCTAAATAAATATATATTTGACGTTTTGCTTTGTTAAAGCACGATGCACGTTTATACATTCCTCATCCTCGCCGTAGAAAACGCTTTGTATTGTTCTCTGTATTGTGCTGGTATACTGTTCAGTCGGCGTTAGGCCATTGGGCCCTATCGCGTCTTGTGTGCTCACGGTCGTTGGGTCACTGCGCTATGAATTCAATTGTAAACAAATTCTCTGGTGGTGCTGCTGCGTTGGCAGTGGTCATTCGTCAATGACACTGTGTGGCTTGAAAAATAAAACTATGCAATGGGTGACGTTTCGAGCGACACCCCTTCATAGCACATGATGAGTTATTGACAAATGTTTTGAGTATTTTTGTGAATCCAACAGCGGCTATTGGTGTCTGATCATGATATCGGTTATCCTCAAAAAACATTCTTGGTAAAGTGCGGTGAATGTAAGCACGCCAGAGTTAAACGCGGCTAGACCCGGTACTTGCCACACCACCCCTCTGCGCGTACCTTGCCACTGGGTAGGTACACCACTAACTCATTCACAGTACCACCTCAGTTCATCAGGCTAAACAGTGGCCGTTTGTCCTAATGCATGATCTAAGAATGCAAATAACATTGAACAAGATCTCTATCTGAGCGGACCTGATGGCCACGAGCTTTGTTGGGACTGTCGCCTGTGGTGGAGGTTCATGATCGTTTTCACTACGCAGCTGTTTGGTGAGACTCCTTCAGCTGCAACAGGAGGCAGAGAATCGGTACGACACTGAGCAGCTGAGAATCGACAGATAAGGACCACGAGGCCAGACGCCAGGCAGTATCCAGTCTCTAAACCCCCTAGGGGTGTGCACGCAGAGACCATGGCCCTTGCCTCCGTAGTTGCACACTCAACCAGGTTGAGACATGGCGACGCCACCATGGTTAACCCTTTCCCGTTCCGAGACGTCTGCAAATTGCAGGGTGGGTCCCATTCACCGCTGACTCTCGGAACGCGCAAAGCGGCTTGCCGTTAATTTTATTAAGTGAGGCACATCACCGTCGGTTTTTTAAAGGCATTCTACTCCCCGCAGAGAACCGTAGCGACACGACCACGCTCTATAATAGCTGGCGCCAAACTGCCACACGCCCTCCCGCGTGGCCTTCTGGGAGCCTCGGTACCGATAAAGTTATTTTATTTTAGTTTTACTTTCGGTTTCATTTTGATGATGTACGTGTATGTCATCGGAATGGGAAATGGGTGAAGTGGCGAATGGCAGCGATTCCTAAGCATGCGGGTGTTGTGCCTGCAGGTGGGCCTGGGCCAGGGCTATTTGGAGCTACCGCAGGTGAACTACCGGCTGTCTGTGGAGCACAAGAACAAGAAGCTGTGCGCTCAGCTGATGCCCGAGCAGAGGCTGGTTAGTGCTGCATGGAGAGCGAGTCTCGTTTCAACGTTAACCATCGCGGGGGTAAAACGACGCCGTTGATTTGTCGATTAATATTCATTCTTAAGCTCGCACTACACGCATTGTAATCGCGTGTTTTTCAAATGGTATTTATTGCACGTTCACGTATCCCCTCTGCAAGTCCGCTAGAGGTGCTGCCCATTCACAGGAGCGTTACAAAGGAGAATCATCTCTTGAGTTGAATCACAACGATTCACGGAATTGCTGGGAGGGTGAATCCTTCCACCCCAAAGCCGTGGATAGTGAGCGATATTACCATGAATGAGCGATAGTGAGCGATATTACCGCATGCTGTGATGCTTGCCATGAGCACAGGTTATACACAGCATACATGCTAACCGCTTGTGTCCAACCCTAGTATACCTTCTGAAGGATTGAGACAAAATCAGGCGGGTTGAATTTGAACAAAAGGCTGTATTTCGTCCAAAATTCTGAATACAAACCAAAAGCATTGCAGGATCCGTTCAATTTCCATTCTGAATCGCTGGCGTGATGCAATTTCTTCCCTGAAATTTTCGCTTGAAAAGTCACGGGCGGAACTTTCCTCGCCCTTGAATCGACGTGGCGCCACTGAACCCCCCCCCCCCCCCGCTCGTGCGCACGCCATGCAGGTGCAGTCGTTGATGGACACGAGGAGCGTGTACCTGCTCGACTGCCACTCGGACGTCTTCATCTGGATGGGGCGCCACTCCCCGCGCCTGCTGCGCGCCGCCGCGCTCAAGCTGGGCTCCGAGGTGTGCGCCATGCTGCCCCGCCCGCGTCACGCCATCGTGCTCAAGAACATCGAGGGCACCGAGTCTCAGGTACCGCGATGCGTGGCGGAGCTCTTCCACCGTGTTTCTGGCGGGCTCAGCGGTGGCGCGTGGCAGTCCTTGTCTGCGTCAGCCCTGCCCACTTTTACGTAGCCACACACCCCCCCCCCCCCCCCCCCCCCCCCCCCCCCCCCCCCCCCCCCCCCCCCCCCCCCCCCCCCCCCCCCCCACATGGTTACTGGGCCACTTGGCCACTCCGTCACTGGACTATAGTTACTCGGACACTCGGCTACACGGCCACTGGACTATTCAGCCACTCGACTTTAAAGTCATGTGGCCACTCGGACTCTCGGCCACTCGGCCACTCTGCCCAACCACACGGTGAGTGACCTCGCTCTTTCTGATGTTGGGCCCCACCTATTGCTCTGAGGCCTCACCGACTCCTCTGCCATCCCCGCCCACTATACCTGCCATTCATGTATGGCCTCCCTTTGGCCCTATCAAGAGTCTAGTTTCAGACCAGACACATCTTATTCCGAGACAAGATCCTGGATTTTACAACTGCTTCGGGACACCTCGACAGGCTTTCTGAAACCGAGGCTGTCCCAGGCCTAACTGGACCACGATTGGTAGCTCTAATAATACAGCACAATCTAGGATTATAGAGCGTCTACATGCAACGGCATCTCTATAAATGTTGTACACACCAGCAGAAAGTGCGGGAAGGCTAGACAAAGACAAATGTCCCCTGTATAGCCCCAACAGATCGTTGGGGCAGGTGCTGCTCGCTAGCACTTATGAAGGCCGGTACGGCACACGAGGGGGTGGATGGCCAGCACCACACCCGCCTTTGTCTCCCTAGTGAAGAATGCCTACACACCGCACCAAGTACTCATTTGAAGCTGAATCGGCCTCGGGTTGACCCAGGACCAGTCCCATATGTTCGCTGGTTTCGTAACGCAATGCACCAACCACTAATTCACCGCTCCCCAGATCACACAGGCACACCCACTTGGTATGGGTCACATTTAGATAACACACCACACACACATGGTATGTTTCATGAGCGTTTTTACAACGTTTTTTTTTATTATAAATAGTTTAAAGTGCCTTGAACCTCATCATTAGAACTCCTTTGCCAGTCCACAAAGAAAGCCGTCCCTCGGTGTGGACCAATCAGTTTCAAGGACAATGCATATATTATCATAGTATGTTTTTTGTTTGCATTTTGACTGCAAGTATTGTGGTTCATGCAGACATGAATCCTTGTAATAAGGTTTCAGTTTTGTTGCCAAAAAATGGGAAAAACCCTATTATTATGCCTTGAACCTGGTCATATGAAAGTTGCTCTCTAAATAAATATTGTTAGTTTGTGCAATCCTAGGAACCATGACAATGTAAAAAAGCTAATCAAATCTAATTAAGCTGCGTGTTAACACCCGCGATGCTTTTGCGCTATAAATAACATGCTCTAATTACTTACTTGCCGGGAAATGTGTTGGTTTCTATTGTGTTGTCATTCGTGAAAAACATTCTCATTCTGATTGCACCCAATCCCAATAAACATGCACTCGTCAGTCTACTGCACTTGCCATAGCCTTAATATCCAACTGAAAACAAGGGGTGGCTGGGATTAGTTTGAGTATTAAAGAAAAGCCTTCCCCTGGGCCGTAACATTAGCTTCGTGACCACTCTCAGCGCTGTACATCCTGAGAGCTGCACTGCTTGCTTTTGCGCGCAGATCTTCAAGTCCAAGTTCAAAAACTGGGACGACATCCTGGCGGTGGACTACACGCGGAGCGCCGACGCCGTGGGTCGAGCCACCGGCCTCGATGGCAAGGTGCAGCAGGACGCTGCTCCCCGGCAGCAGCAGCAGCTCAAGGCCGACCTCTCGGCACTCTTCTACCCTCGCCAGCCGCCCATGCCACTGTCTGAGGTGCTGAGCGCTCTCCGACTCGCGCACACACACACACTCTACCCACGCCGACTGCACTGACTCACTCGCGCACTCACACTCCTCTACTCACACTGGCTTGTTTGCACACTCTCACTCCCTCTACCCACACCAACCACACTGACTCGCACTCCTCTACTCACACCAACCACACTGACTCACTCACACACTCACACTCCTCTACTCACACCAACCACACTGACTCACTCACACACTCTCACTCCTCTACCCACACCAACCACACTGACTCACTCGCACACTCACACTCCTCTACCCACACCAACCACACTGACTCACTCGCACACTCACACTCCTCTACCCACACCAACCACACTGACTCACTCACACACTCACACTCCTCTACCCACACCAACCACACTGACTCACTCACACACTCACACTCCTCTACCCACACCAATCACACTGACTCACTCGCACACTCTCACTCCTCTACCCACACCAACCACACTGACTCACTCGCACACTCTCACTCCTCTACCCACACCAACCACACTGACTCACTCGCACACTCACACTCCTCTACCCACACCAACCACACTGACTCACTCGCACACTCACACTCCTCTACCCACACCAACCACACTGACTCACTCGCACACTCACACTCCTCTACCCACACCAACCACACTGACTCACTCGCACACTCACACTCCTCTACCCACACCAACCACACTGACTCACTCACACACTCACACTCCTCTACCCACACCAACCACACTGACTCACTCACACACTCACACTCCTCTACCCACACCAATCACACTGACTCACTCGCACACTCTCACTCCTCTACCCACACCAACCACACTGACTCACTCGCACACTCTCACTCCTCTACCCACACCAACCACACTGACTCACTCGCACACTCACACTCCTCTACCCACACCAACCACACTGACTCACTCGCACACTCACACTCCTCTACCCACACCAACCACACTGACTCACTCACACACTCACACTCCTCTACCCACACCAACCACACTGACTCACTCACACACTCACACTCCTCTACCCACACCAATCACACTGACTCACTCGCACACTCTCACTCCTCTACCCACACCAACCACACTGACTCACTCGCACACTCACACTCCTCTACCCACACCAACCACACTGACTCACTCGCACACTCTCACTCCTCTACCCACACCAACCACACTGACTCACTCGCACACTCTCACTCCTCTACTCACACCAACCACACTGACTCACTCGCACACTCTCACTCCTCTACCCACACCAACCACACTGACTCACTCACACACTCACACTCCTCTACCCACACCAACCACACTGACTCACTCGCACACTCTCACTCCTCTACCCACACCAACCACACTGACTCACTCGCTCACTCAATTCTCTACTCACTGACTCACTCGCACACTCTCACTCCTCTACCCACACCAACCACACTGACTCACTCACACACTCACACTCCTCTACCCACACCAATCACACTGACTCACTCGCACACTCTCACTCCTCTACCCACACCAACCACACTGACTCACTCGCACACTCACACTCCTCTACCCACACCAACCACACTGACTCACTCGCACACTCTCACTCCTCTACCCACACCAACCACACTGACTCACTCGCACACTCTCACTCCTCTACCCACACCAACCACACTGACTCACTCACACACTCACACTCCTCTACCCACACCAACCACACTGACTCACTCGCACACTCTCACTCCTCTACCCACACCAACCACACTGACTCACTCGCTCACTCAATTCTCTACTCACTGACTCACTCGCACACTCTCACTCCTCTACCCACACCAACCACACTGACTCACTCACACACTCACACTCCTCTACCCACACCAATCACACTGACTCACTCGCACACTCTCACTCCTCTACCCACACCAACCACACTGACTCACTCGCACACTCACACTCCTCTACCCACACCAACCACACTGACTCACTCGCACACTCTCACTCCTCTACCCACACCAACCACACTGACTCACTCGCACACTCTCACTCCTCTACTCACACCAACCACACTGACTCACTCGCACACTCTCACTCCTCTACCCACACCAACCACACTGACTCACTCACACACTCACACTCCTCTACCCACACCAACCACACTGACTCACTCGCACACTCTCACTCCTCTACCCACACCAACCACACTGACTCACTCGCTCACTCAATTCTCTACTCACTGACTCACTCGCACACTCTCACTCCTCTACCCACACCAACCACACTGACTCACTCACACACTCACACTCCTCTACCCACACCAATCACACTGACTCACTCGCACACTCTCACTCCTCTACCCACACCAACCACACTGACTCACTCGCACACTCACACTCCTCTACCCACACCAACCACACTGACTCACTCGCACACTCTCACTCCTCTACCCACACCAACCACACTGACTCACTCGCACACTCTCACTCCTCTACTCACACCAACCACACTGACTCACTCGCACACTCTCACTCCTCTACCCACACCAACCACACTGACTCACTCACACACTCACACTCCTCTACCCACACCAACCACACTGACTCACTCGCACACTCTCACTCCTCTACCCACACCAACCACACTGACTCACTCGCTCACTCAATTCTCTACTCACTGACTCACTCGCACACTCTCACTCCTCTACCCACACCAACCACACTAACTCACTCGGACACCCACACTCCTCTACCCAGGACAACTTCCCATGCGACTGTGTGTGGCGCTTTGACGTGCTGTGCACGTGTGTTGTCTGCACGTGTATGACACTGTGTTGTGAGTATAGGTTGTATAATGTAAACCTTACATTCAAGGTTGGTGTTTTTGTGGGGCTCTCTTACGTGTAGGACTTTGGCACGTACAGCGGCGTAGTTATTGAATGTGTGCGGTACCGACCTCTGCGCGATGCTGTAATAGGAGCAGTAACCGTGTTGCGGTCACCGTAACCGAGTTGACAATGCTGTGCTGTCCTCAGGCTGAGACGCTGATGGACGAGTGGAATGAGGACCTGGAGGGAATGGAGTCGTTTGTGCTGGAGGGCAGGAAGTTTGTGCGTCTGCCCGACGAAGAGTTTGGCCACTTCCACACACACGACTGCTATGTCTTCCTGTGCCGGTACGGAGACACGTGCAAAGCCACACACACAAGTGCACAATACATTATTTTTTGCACCTGCAAAGACAGAGATCCCCTGTATAGCTTCAACCAACTTTTGGGGCAAATTCTGTTAGCGAGCACCTATGAAGGCTGGCACGGCACACGAGGGGCAGTGGGTCGCCAGCACCACGCCTGGCCGCCTTTGTCTCCCCAGTGGTGATGTTCACACACCACACCAGGTATTCATTTGAGGCTGAGTCGACCTAGGGGAGACCCAGGACCGGTTCAGATAATTGTCAATGGTGTTGGCCGTGAGCGGGAATCGAACTCGGGTCGCCGGGTTCATAGCGCAGCATCCTAACTACTACACTACCTGTAACTGCAAGAGGAGCTGCAGTGTTTCATTCGTACTACAGAAAAATAATAACAAATGCTAACCACTACAACCTGCACAACAGCGTACATGTACAAGTGCGTCTCACTTTTGTTTCATTAACTGCTATGTCAGCAGAAAGTGCTGGTGTCGTGGTTAGCACCCTACCCCATAGCCAGTTATGGTTCTAGATTAATATGCACAATATCTGGTGCAGTCGGTATTTAAACTTGATATCACAGTATGTGTGTGTAAATGTCATGGTGCTGAACACAACTGCCCCTCATGAACCACGCCCATCACGCGATAGGTGCTCTGCCAACAGAATTCACCCCAGCACTCTGATGCTCAACCAAGGCATCGGGTGCCTTCCGATGTGACCGCCGACGTTGGTTCACAACAAAATAAAGAGGCATCGTTGTTCTTTTCCTTGTCCCCAAGGTACTGGGTGCCGCTGGAGCGCGCAGAGGATGGGGCGGAGGAGGAGGAGGAGGCGGGAGAGCAGGACAGCCAGATGGAGGAGGACCTGCAGTCTGTCGTCTACTTCTGGCAGGGCCGCGAGGCCTCCAACATGGGGTGGCTCACCTTCACCTTCAGCCTGCAAAAGAAGTTCGAGAGTCTCTTCCCCGGCAAAAAGATGGAGGTGAAGCAAATGTCCCCGTCAACTCTCCTTGGGGTGTTCGGTCAGCCTCTCTTGGGGGACTCGACATGTTATGATTCTCCCACGCAGCAGCTTGATGAATAATCTAAATGATGATTTTAACATGAGAACTTTCCGTTTCCAAAATGCATCGGCGCAATAATAGTTATCATTGCTGTAGGAGAATTTAAATGCATCGGTCGAAGACGCACCGCACGTTCAGTTCATCATCGCCAGCAACGACGATCTTTTAAGTTGACCGGAGGTTGTCTGAGAAGGAAAGTACATCGGTCAAACCACCACGCCGCCGCTCCCGCTGCGTCGCCGCCTCCCGCGGACTCGTGCCGGCTCAAGTGGCGGCTCAGCAACGCGCCCGTGCCCGTGCGTGCGTCGCGACGAGTGCAGGTGGTGCGCATGACCCAGCAGCAGGAGAACCTCAAGTTCCTGTCGCACTTCAAGCGCAAGTTCCTTATCCACAGGGGCAAGCGGCGCGCCACAGAGAACGCTCTGCAGCCCAGCCTCTTCCACCTGCGCACCAACGGCAGCGCGCTGTGCACACGGTACCCTCGCCCGCCCGCCCGCCCGCCCGGGCTGCCACTTGCGCGTGCCGCTGCTGCAGCGTAGGCGGCTTCAGATGAGGCATGTTGGCTGGAGGTTAGGGAAAGGGGCGGAGGCTGCTGTTAGGTGTAAACGGAATTGTACTCGATTCTGTCATTACATACGCCAATGTGTTCAGGAGCTTAAATTCCAAAGTCGAGAGAGGGCTTTAGGCGTGAGAGTCTGCGTAGTTTTGCTCTTCCTCCATTGAAGGAGCACAGAATACAGTGGTTTGCTGTATTATAATGTACGTGATCGAACGATCCCAGTAAAACTAAACAGTCATACCACCGGTGCTGCTTGAGGGTGCAGAGACGTCGTTATTAGGAAAGAATGAAGATTGAGTGGGTGCTTAGAAGGACGGAGATGATAATTCTGAGATGGATGTCGGCAATACCTCTAAAGGCAAGCAGGAATTCGGTAGCGATTACTAAATATTCTCAAGAAGGTCAGGGGGGTGAGACTCACACTTGGGCGCGTGTTGAGAAGAGGCAGAGATGACGCAATGAGAAGTGCTGTGGAGATGCCACCGGTGCAAAGCAGAGGGAGCCCGAGGGGGGGACGGGATGGGAGGAGGCAGTGGAACGAGATACGGGGACGGTGCATGTGATGAGAGAAGAGGCGCAGAATAGAAGCTCACGGGGAGAGAGAGAAAACCCGAGCAGCTGTTTCCCACGCAGCAGTGGGACTTGTGGCTGAGAAAGGGAAGATGATAAGAAAGCCGGTTGGTTGGGTGGCATTGTCCTGATTTGTTTTCGTCAATAATTGTCCCGCTGTAGGTCCATTCAAGTGAATACGGACGCAAGTCTCCTGAACTCGGAATTCTGCTACATATTGAAGGTGCGTATTGGCGCAGGCCACGCTGCTCTTGTGCTTGCGGCTCTGCGTGGTGTCTGCAGAGTATCTCGCAGCCATTGCTTGCCGCGGGCTGTGTGCACGCACAACTACGTCTGCGTATGTATATATGTTGAACTTCTTTTGCACCGTACTTAGCCAACCGTGCTAATTTGAGGTGCGGGGGAAGAACAAACTAACCACAAAGAGCAGTTCTCAAGAATCTTGCTTGCCGGCAAGATGAACTGCAATATTTCATGCATACCACAGATTCAAGCGAATGCATGTATATGTGAATAATTACACTTTAATGGAGAATTTCTTACCTATATAACCTCTTGCCACGGCAGCTCTCTCGCCCACTGCATTGGCATTGTTGCTGCATTGGCACTCGTGCACCGCCCATGCTCCTGGTGTTGTTGGTACATTTGGGCTACGCCCATCCCCAAATCTTTATAAACAGTTTGCCTTTAGAGGCTGACTCCTTTGCCTGATGACGACCGCTTGTGTTGCGATCGAAACGTCGTGATTTATTGTATTTTAATTTTATTTCTAACTACGTGACTTTACCGAAAGAACCAAAGAGTATAAGAAAATATAGTCAAATGAGTTTCCCTGCATGTAAAAAACATAAAAACATTGTGGCTTTTAATCCCCATTTATCTCCATAGTTACTCACTAGGTAAGATCAAAGTGTATTTCCTTTGAAGTGCACTTTAATCTGAACTCCCCCCGCTACACATGCCCCAGTTGGTCTCTCACCAAGTGGCAGGGCCCCTCGCCCTCCCCTCCCTTGCCCCCCTCTCTCGGCCCCCCTCCCTCGCCCCTCTCCCTCGCTGTATGCACGTAATAGAGCTGCACTATCTGGCTAAACCGCCTAAAACACGGTCGATGGCACATTTTCACTTAGTTGAATTAATACCTAAAAATGTGTTTTACCAGGTAAGGCCCACTGAGCTGTATAGCTCTTTTTCAGAAGCGACCTGGCCACAAATGATAGCTCAGCGAAGTTGGCTTATCTCGTGGACATCTATAGCAGCCACATACTCTAGACGCACGTCGATTCTAAACGTGGAGGGAAAAACCCGTGGACCCGAAAAATAATCCACGCGCCCATGGGGAGAGATATGCATGCTCCAAATATACAAGCGTCGGGGTTGGGATCGAACCTATTACTTCCTGCATACCGGGCGAGGGAGTTAACATCTTTGTTCTTCATGGGCTTAGACGGGTTACATCGGAAGAAGGGATTATGACTGGTGGTTGAGACTAACAAAGGAGTAACAGCGGAAGTAGGGAATGTCCCTGAAGTTGACAAGTGGATTGTTACTTTAAAGGCCTTCATCTTACAATCGACTGATTATCACTGATGATGATGATGGTAATATTGATCTTTAATGCCAGGCATCTGAGCTATGGGATGGCTTCAGCTTGCTTCAGTCACTTTAATGGCAGTGTTTAGTGCGGCATCAACATTGGACGGTGACGCGGCTTGTTGCAGAGCTTCACAGTTCGAATCCAGCGGCCGCCCTGATTCTCACTGCGGGTGTACCAATCGTAAAAATGCGCAGCGTCTGATTCACAGTGGCCGGTAAAGGTCCCATGGCTTCATTCGCAAGAGAAGGCCATTGTGTGCCAGCATCACGGTCCACATTTACCAAAATGTAAAGAAAATACCCGTATATTACTAATTTTAGATATTCATCACCTTAACCAAAGCACTGTACATTAAACTAACTATGGTACAAGATGGTTGGCGAGATGAAACGAGATGAGTGGATGGGCTATATGTAAAATGAGGTGGTGACGATGCGTGGAATAAACGAAGATGGAAATATGAGTGGATTGATGATGGGTGGCCATGGGGAGTTGGGGACAGGGAAGGCGTTAGTACGAGTGGGGAGGACAAGAAAGGGAGAAGGAAGGGTGGCAATATCCTCCCAAAAAAGAGTCGAGTGAGTCGTTGAGGCTTTCCTGGATAAACATGCGTAATAATGGACATCAGCGCTGAGGAGACAAAGATGTGCAGTCTTGATGCGTAGTTCTGGCCACAGCAACCATTTGTGCGCCACGCCAGATATAAACATTTACTTGCTAAAAGGACATTTCTCAAGGGCTTCTGCGAATAAACAAATTAATCTTTTTGTTGTTGCACAAATTCATTGCAGGTTCCTTTCAACAGCGAGGACAGCCCAGGGATCGTGTACGCCTGGATTGGCCGTGCCGCTGACCCAGATCAGGCCAAGCTGGCGGAGGAAATAATGAACACCATGTTCAGCAGCGACTACAGCAAGCAGGTTTTCTCTCCAGCTGCCCGTCTCGCCGCAGCCGCCTGTGTTTCTCTCTCTGTGGCTTTTGACCAAAGGATACAGCCCCAGAAATGCTTTACACTGTTCCGCTGGTCGGGTGTGGATGGCCCATACAAAGCAATCACAATGTATATTCATAAAAATGTATGTATCCATAATAAAGGTTTTTGGGTTAGATCGCGTTTATAAACGCGTTTATAAACGCGATCTAACCCAAAAACCCTTATTATGAATAATATTGGTCGCGAAAGCCTACGTGTTAAAAATGTATGTATGTTCAACATCTTTTGCACCGTGCATCGACAACCGTGCTAATCGGAGGTGCGAGGTTCCATGGCGAATATGGAACTGGTACACGGTTGTCTCATTGTTCCGCGGCTGGCTAAAATAATGTGGCCGTAACGTTGAAATTTTTTTTATTTGGAGGCTGGCGCTGCCAATGCAAGGTTGCTCGCACGCATTATGGCACTCGGTTTGTCCCACAAAACCTCCCTGGGGGGGCTCCCCCCCCCCCCCCCCCCTTCTTCCCTGCAGGTGGTGGACGAGGGAGAGGAGCCGGAGAACTTCTTCTGGGTGGGGATCGGGGGTAGCAAGCCTTACGAGGAGGACGCTGAGTACATGAAGTACGCACGCCTCTTCAGGTGAGTGCTCGCGCCTAGCGCGTGGATACCTGCTCGGGCAGCCCTGCTCTTCCGGGGACCGCTTGCTCTTCCAGGGCTGTCGCGCTCTCCCCTCTGACGTGGTATTTTGTGTGCTCCTTGCAGCCGCTGCTCGTCCACCAGCCCCATCGGATGTGGTCCGCTACAATTTTTTGTTTTGTTTTTACACACAAAATAACATTTTTTTTTTTCCCCACTGCCCGTTACTCAACTGCTCAGATTAGGCAATGAAAAGCAAGTTGATCGTTGTCATGGATTTGTTTTAACGAACACATTACAGCAACAAAAACATTCCTTTTTCACTCGGAAAAATATGTTATCGATGCACCGTTGGCCACGAAATGATCCTGAGTGTTGACAGTGGCCCAGAGATGTTGGGAACCACTGCTGTAGAGGATAGGTGCAGGGGATTGACTATTATCTAAAAATCAATTTTTTTGGGGTCCACATTGTTTCTGAAGAATCCTCGCCAAAATATCAGCGTGCACGAGCTTGCACTCCTTCAGCATATCGGTGTGAAATAATAATCTGGACAGCGTATTAGCTGATAAATGTCCAACACCTATCCCTAGACCTGCTCGGTTCTATTGCAGCAATGGGAAGAAACGCAAGAAACGTATTTTTACGAGCATCGTTAACCATATATCAGATGCCACTTCAATAATTTACTGCAAAGCAATGGCTGTGATGACATTTGTTAGGCGTGGCGAATGGCGTTTCCAGCTGCTCGTGCCATTTGGTTGCGATAATTCGTGGCACAGACAGACTCCGGAGGGGGTGACATTTATATTTGACGTGAAATCCTCATGCGCATGCTCGGCTGAAGGCTCGTCATCTTCGAATATTCCAGAGCTGCTTGGGATATGAAACCCAATTCATTTCTGAGCATGGGGAAAACGTGCCTTTGAAAAATCATTCGCGGGGCAACTCGGACACTGCACAGACTGACTCTCGGAATGCCAAGTTACTCTCCTTGTTTTTTTTTTCCCCTTTAAGGTTCAGCGATGTTCTGTACTTGTTGTTAAGGTTTAGCCCCCTAGATGGGGATAGCCCAGCGTGTTTAGCTGCGTGTGCATTTGTTACTGTTAATTCATTATCTTTTGTCCTCGTTTTTTGGTTCCAGATGCTCGAATGAGAAGGGCTACTTTGCCGTGTCAGAGAAGTGTTCCGACTTCTGTCAAGACGATTTGGCAGATGATGACATCATGCTGCTTGACAACGGGCAGGAGGTAACACCACGCCGTCCCTCCAATGCGTCGCACCACTCCTCCCAACAACCACGGCCAACCACAAAACCCGATGCGTCGCTTTCATTCCCCAAGTCAAAGAACACTGCCTAGCACTGCACATCATTCAAGCGTGCCTTAAAAACAAGCCACAGTACGACTGTGGCCATGCAACCCAAACTATAAACCAATCGATGAACCGATAGAGACACGCAGAAATACATAGAGACTCGTAGATTATAGAGGCAAATCACAGGAGTACGGTGGTGGCCATGCAACCCAAACTATGGACCACATGGTAAATCTCTCTGTTGTGTGTGACCCTTCATCGGCGGAGGAATAGCAAAACTACAGAAACTCCTCTCTCCTTAAGCCCCCTTGAGTAGACCTCGGCATTGGCATTTGGCTCCTGAACGCATTGACACATGCAAGAATATAATTCAAGTACGCCTCAACCACCTTCAGAAATCTAGTTTAACATGTAGGAAGCTTTTGCGACCAATATTATTCACAATAAAGGTGTTTGGGGTTAGATCGCGTTAATATAAATGTGTCGTTTACCCACCACCACCCGGCACGGCCATTTATTCAGGTTTTTCACGTAAATAAAATGTGCCTCTTAGTTACTAGTTCAGCACACCGGTGTGTTGGAAATATTGTGGGCTTACGCTCCAACACACTGGAGTGCTGAAGTAGTAACTAATTGGAACGTTTTGTTTACATGACAAACCTTACAAATTGGCTGTGTCGAATGGTGGCGGGTTAACGACGCATTTACATTTACGCAATTCCACCCCAAAAAACTTTTTATTCAAAAATCTACGTGGTAAAACAACGTCTCTGACCGCCTTCTCACAACCGACTGTTTTACGCACATTGAGTTATCTACCAACGCCACATTTTTACTTCCTCTTGGCGGCCATTATATATATGCAAGGGGGAGGTGGGTGGGGGGAGGGGGGAGGGGGGCCCCCCTTCCCTAACCGCTACCATCAACTTAGTTTGTTGTAAAGCTCATCTTGAGACCCCAGTTTCCAGCCCGACGATCGCATCCGAGCGAACCGCCAACCCCGACTCTGCATTTTAAGTCTCCAGCCTTGTGAAGCACTTGCGACGGTGGCAGCAGGGAAGCAGTATAGCGAGTCGCAGAGCGAGTTTATTTTGTTTAACCAGGTGTGGGAACTAAAAGAGACCAGGATGAAAACCGTGTTTGAAAGAGTGACCTGGGTCGCCAGTTTTTCCAAAAGTAAAAAAAAAAAGTTCAGCAGCGAAGCGAATAAAAATCGGAGCAAAACAAAAGTAACCGCGTCACATGGGAATTCGAAAACACTGCGCAACACACACATCGATGCCAATTAATAAACTCCCTGTATCTCAAGTCAGCTCGGGCAGATGATCCATAGCCTGATCATAGCACAATTGCAAGTTAAGCTAAATAAGTGTTAAGGTGACCATTGTACGCACATGCAAACAGACAAGGACATTTGTCAAATGCAATTGCAAGTGACTCTCTAACACGAGTTCCTTCTGTGCAGGTCTACATGTGGGTGGGCACTCAGACCAGCCAGGTGGAGATCAAGCTAAGCCTGAAGGCCGTTCAGGTAAGAACCACTCTCTCACAGCCGTTTCTCCTCACTGTAGCTCGGTGGGCTATGAACGGTGCAAAAGAAGTTCAACATATATACCGAGCTGTGGTGATTGGGTCATCAGCGCCTGATGTCATCAGATCTTCAGAAGATCAGCACGTTTGAGCCAGGATAGTGCTCTGATGGGTTGTGACCACCTTGCGTAGCAGGGTGGAATCGTACGCGCGGGGCTGCGTGGCAAAAATACATTGTGATACTGTACTTCTATGCTTCCACGCCACTGCTCCGTGGCTTGCCCTTCACCAACCCGCACTGACCGACATGGTGAAGTTTGGTCAAATTACCCCCTTTTTAAAAGGCCCTCATCCCGCATTGAATTGACAAAAGGTCCTGTGTAAGTACACGCGTAACCACGTGTGTGGTTGGTGGCGGCGGCGGCGGGAGCGGCAACGGAAACCGCGATGTCGCCCCTGCAGGTGTACATCCAGAACATGCGCAGCAAGGACACCGGTCGCCCGCGCAAGCTCAAGCTGGTGCGCAAGGGCAACGAGACGCTGTACTTCACGCGCTGCTTCCACGCGTGGGGGGAGTTCCGCAAGCAGTGCGAATGAGCGGTGACGCACCCCCAGGCTCGCTCGCAAAAAAAAAACACTTAAACCTCGCGATCGTAAAAAAAAAAACTAACAAGTATAAAAATGTCACGGTCGCTCCCTTATTCACCCCGTACATCTGCTCACAACTCTCTTCTTTCCGTTATTTGCCTTTTAAAGGTTGATCCGTTTATAAATGCCCCACTGAAATACTAGGGGAGATGTTATAGGAAAGGGGAAAAAAAACCTATGCAGTAGAACCCTTCTTCACGACCACCCCGGTTAACCACTAATCGCTTAACAACAGGCCTCCGTAGAGCACAATGTGTTCGCTTACCGACTATTCCCCTGTTAACGACGGGCTGTTTTAGGTACAGTAAATATGAATGAATCCATTGATTAACCATGTTTCCTTTAATATGCGTTTACAATGTTAGGATCTTTATGCATTAATATCCATTGTTTAAATATTATCAAGTCCGTTTTTTGGGTGAAAAAGGGTAACTTTCGATGCTATCGGAAGGAATTAAGCCATTAACGTGTATTTCCTATACTCACTTAATGACCGGTTTCGTAGAACTAATTGCCGTCGTTAAGAGGGGTTTTGCTGTATTTTAATTCACAAGGCCGCATACGTGTCTCGCACCAATCCCAAGACGCTTACCGCCTTTCCTTCCCGTTCGCCTGTAAGATGTGAGAGGTGACACGGTCCAGTGGTCGCACGTTCGGGTCCAGCGGGGTCACACGTTCGAATCTCGCGGCCGCCCTGGTTAATGATTGGGCACCAGACATTTAGTAGCAAGTGTCGGAGCACGATGGCCTCTTCCGCAAGACCCGACCATGTGAGTTGCAGCTCGATCACATCCATTTGCAGTCCACACTGGCAAATTATGAAAAATCTTAACTGCCAACCGCGTTCATGGATACGGCGCGTTATTAACCGTAAAAATACTTAAAAAGCCCTCTTGCGTCACAGTGAATGTTAAGGATCCCGTGACATCATTCAATTGCGTGCCGGCGGTCACGGTGCAAATTTGCCAAATTTGAAGAACCGTGCCGCAGATCGCTCGGTTGGAGTATACACGCGGCACTCACCGGCCCCTGCCGTGACAAATTGGCAGGACCCTCCGGGTCCTGAGATTCGCTGAAGCCCTCTTGGGTAAACAACCATTTGTAAACATAATAACAGAGCCATCATTTCACAACAGTTCAATCACACCTTTTGAGAATATAGTAAGAGGTTGATTGCAAATAAGTGGGGTCGCTATAAATGGATCGCCGTTGTATATCCCAAGCTATCTGTGGATGAGCTCCATGTGTCGCGGGCTTCTCTGTCCCTCCCACAGCACAATTTAATTGAGGCCACTCATTAGATGCGGGTGAAGTTGCGCACTTTTAAATCTAGAATGAAAACTCATTGCGTTCAAACAGTTTTTTTTGTGTTTTGTTTGTTGTCCTTCCCCCGCACCTCCCTATTTGCACTCTCGGCTACGTACGGTGCAAACGGAAGTTCAACGTGCAGGCATGTTTTACTTATAGATGCAGGAGTTCATTTTCATTGACGCTCAAGTGAAAATGTAATCTCTTCATTGAACTACGTGTGATTCGAAAGCTACGTGCAGCGTTCGTTCAATGTGCTCTTGCACCACTGCTCCTGCAGTATTGCAGTTTCTCTCTTTAATTTTTGCCGCAAAATGGTACACAATTTATGGACCCTGGAGGGAAGACGTGGGAAGTGAGCCGACCCCTTATCCGAGATCTCGTTCAGCTTGGGGCATTGGGTGGCATGCGGAGGTTGCGATGCGGCTCCCACTCGTGGGGATATTTCACCGTTTTAACTGGAGGCTCCAGCTTTTCGCCAGAGGTCTGCAGCGGCGCGGTTCGAAACATTCCCAAAAATTCCTCGGCCCGCGTGTAATTATACAGCAGGATTGTTTTGCTAGAAATGTCAGTTGCTTTGTGACCGCGATTCATGCCGAAGTTTACAATTGTGCAACTCGGCACGGGTCTCCTTTCCCCAGTTATCCACCGTTTCATCTTCTTTGGTTCTTTCGGTAAAGTCACCACGTAGAATGAGAATAAAATAATGAATTGATAAAATAAAATAACACAGTAAAATTCTCACGACGTTTCGGCCACAACACAAGCGGCCTTCATCAGGTGAAGGGACGAGACTGTCTGGAGGACAGCGCTGGAGCGAACAAAGCCACGCTCAGATCGCGACCTTTAAGCTGTGTGAGAAGAAACAAAGCACCTTGACAAAGGAATTAGCATAGAATAGCTGAGTGATTAGCTTGTGACTGGTCACAGAAATGCGTTGTGGCCGAAACGTCGTGAGAATATTATTGTGTTATTTTATTTGATCAATTTATTATTTTATTCTCATTCTACGTGACTTCACCGAAAGAACCAAAGAAGATGAATCCTTGCAGTCACGAAAGCTTTAAATCGAAATTTATCCACGGTTTATGATGATCAATCACACGGCAAGGTCAAGACCCTGTTGAACCTTCACCCCTCAGCCAGCCGGTGGCTAAAAAGTATTCTAATGCCCATGAAGGGACATGTCACGCCGTGTCCACTTATCCTCGCCGCTCCCCCACGGATACTGGAGACCTTGGGTGGACCGCTGGAGACAATGGCCACATTGCAGCCAAAATTACTAAGGTCACCGGAGAGCACAAGGATCAGAAGAGCATGGGTAATAGCTACTCCGCTAAGGACATATCGGTTAAAGTGCCTCTACGCTCGGGCAAGCAAGGAGAAGCACAGTGCTCATCACTGTTGGCAGCCCAGAGTCGGTGATGGAAATTGCACATTCCTATGACAAGCACCAGTCGTCCCTTGGACAACCAACTACTGTGGACATCTTACAAAGTGCTACTAAATTTACTGACCCCCCCCCCCCACCCGGGAATAGGTTGAATTTGTCCCCCTGATCTATATTTGAAGCCCTCGGCCTTCCTTCCGACTGTGGGCATAGCGTTTGTGTCCAACGGCCGGCCATGGTGATCGGAGCCTAAACCACGGTCTCGTTTGAATTCGCACCAGCCTGGGATAAAATATGTTTTGTAATCTTGAGTGAATTGGGGCGTATTTTTGTATTCAATTCAAAGTCCTTGTGCTAATCCGATAGAAGTTATGCTTAAATATTTCATCCGAATATGGTGTATATCTGACGTGAAAAATGTTACGCCCGAGTTGCGAGCAACGCTGATAAGTGGATTGTGTGTAGCAGGGTTAAAAATATATTCTCTACAGAATTAGGGACTGAACAAGCACAATAGCGCTGGGTCCATCGTACGAAGAGAAAGCAATCTTTGACGTCTTGAGTCTGGGGTATCGGGGAAGTGGTTGGCAGGATGGTCGAGCAGGAGGAGCGAGTTCCAGAGGAGTGAGCACTCATCACACACAGGTTGATGGACGGATTCTGGAAAAGGCCTTGGTTGCCTGACCAGAGAGCGTGTGGAGGACAACAGTAAGACGAGCTCAGAGAGACGGGTGGAGGTGAGCTAGGGTGTGTGTGCTACACGTGTTTACATGTTGATTTATGAGAAAATTAGCTAGTTCCACCAGAGTACACATTGCATCGGGGTAGTTGAGTGGATTCCGCTAGTTCAATCAAGAGTACACGTGTTGTATCAGGGTAGCTGAGTGGAGTCTGCTAGTTCCACCAGAGTACACGTGGTGTATCAGGGTAGCTGAGTGGAGTCTGCTAGTTCCACCAGAGTACACGTGGTGTATCAGGGTAGCTGAGTGGAGTCTGCTAGTTCCACCAGAGTACACGTGGTGTATCAGGGTAGCTGAGTGGAGTCTGCTAGTTCAATCAGAGTACACGTGTTGTATCAGGGTAGCTGAGTGGAGTCTGCTAGTTCCACCAGAGTACACGTGGTGTATTGGTGTACCTGAGTGGAGTCCGCTAGTTTCACAAGAATATGCGTTTTGTATCGACAGACATCGGTGATTTACACCCGATCATTTGCATCTCACTGCATTCGCAGTTTGGCGAGTACTTCATCTTCCATTTATGGAGGGAATATGTACACCTCCTTTCCCTGTGTTGTTGTTGGGACGCAGTTGAGAGCGGTAACTCACCGGTGGGGCTGTTCCTTCGTCTGTTCTTCCGTCCGGTTCACGTTTTGGACTCCACCGTTTTCCCCCCACGTCTCGTGGAATTGGGGTCCTTTCTGGCCGGCACAAGAGTCGAGGCACGAGCCTACAAATGTAGATCACCATTAAAATCGTACCGTGTGGCTCACTTAATGCACTTTGTGCCACGTGACATCTTTGGCTCAATGGCGAACCAATCACATCTCCTTACTGTTGCCCGCTTGGAAGTCAGATTGAAGATGCATTCAGAAGGTCGTCGCATGTCAAATGAGTGGCAATGCGGTGCGCTGCAGCACGTTCCAAGGGCTTTCGAAGAGAGAATGGGAGATGCGGCGAAGGTTTAGAGAGATCACCCGGATCGAATCCAGATGGTTTTTTTTCTCTTCGGAAAAGGGTTGTTGAAGCAGATGTCGTGACACTGGTTGGAATAATGCCCACTTTGAGACTAGTTGAAAAGGCTGAAGAGGGAAGGGGATTGGTGGCAGGACATCGTCTCGGAGGAGTCTGGTAGGAAAGGGGCCGAGTGAGCGGCAAGTGGGGCGAGAGTCTTGAATAAGGTTATTGAGTTGAGTGGTGGTGATGGGAATAAAAGCCCTCAATAAAGAGCCTGAAAACCCAGTGGGGGGGAATGCTGCCAGTGGGAGGCGGGAATCGTTGGCATAGTGTGTATGTGTGTGTGCTCGAATTGTGTGGATTGTGTTCGGAAAGAACTTATGGATGGAGTTGCAAATGGCTGTGAAACGATGGGGAGGTTAGGTGCATTTCTCTTGCTCAAGAGCTGGCGTATAGTGGAGAATAAGGTCCTGGGGTTGTTCTTAGTGCGAGGCGACCGGTTATGTAGCTGGATCTGGTCCTTATAGATTTGGTAGTGCACTTAGAGGCCAGATTTCCTCCACTTGGGCTCTGCACAGGGGAGAGACTGGACAGGCGAGCTGCTGCTTGAAGGTGGATGGTGCTTGGATGCTGCGTACATGCGGTGGGAGAGAGAGAGTTCCAAATGCCTGGTGTAGCTACGGAGAAACGCCGCTCAGCCAAGACAGTCCTGGTTGGTGGGTATGATGAGCAGGTTGTTTGGATTTTGGATTATTAGATGTACGCCATAGTACATCGCCACGTTTAAACGACGTGTGTTTTAATGCTATCAAGTTACTTGGAAGAGAAAAAAATCTAGGTTTGACATTTTAAGAATCTATATACATTGACAATATTCGGAACATTCCTAGATTGTGTTTGTAAAAAAACAATTGAAATATATGTTTTATTCCACTGTTATATCAAATATATTGTAGTGCCATTGATCATTCTTTCCCCTTGATTGTTAGTTCACGAAATATTCATTTTGATTCCACATTCTGTTCTTCTTCCTCCAGTCATGTTCAGTCTATAATTCTGTTCCGCATTCCTTCCCGAACCCCCACTTAGAGGTAATGAATGTATGACATGTAAAAATGTATCTTTTTTTTTTTAAAGGTCCGTTCTGAGATGTTGAACATTCCTGCATTATTTGCTATAGAGTACTGCAAGTATACAAGCATTTTTATATACAGCTTTAATTTGTTTAATGTTGAAAGGGAATGCAGACAAAACCAAACTGGTTAATTGTGACCACGTGAAATATTTACGATCGTTAAACTAAAGATCGCTACAACAATGAAATTGAATGCGAGCCCCAGCCGTTGAAGTCGGCGTCTCCTTACTCATCTCTGCTGGCCAGCCCCCTTGGCCAGTGGTGGAAATTCCTATCACGATGACAGGGTCCGGTCTACTGATGCGACGATCTATGTTGACCTCTCTCTCGCAGAGGGGGGGGGTCACTTTGTTTTATTCACTCCAGGTGGACTGTGGGCCGAGTCCATCCCCTTGGGGCCTAGTGTTTTACCTCGCAGTCTTGCAGAGAATGGCCAGAGAGAGAGGGGGGGGGGTACGCACAGCTGATTGTTTTCATGGCATTGTTGTGAAACAATTTCTCAGACCCAACTGCATTTGTTTTTTTCTCAAACTCGGCAACAGCAGAGCTGCGC